TTTTCTAGTTCTCGTTGTTGTTGTGTGTGTGTGTGTGTGTGTGTGTGTGTGTCTGTGTGTTGATTTGACCTTTCTTCGGTAAGCAGCAATTCCCTGTGTTCCTTGCTCTTCTCCGCACACGCGTCACTCGGCGTCATACAAGAGCAAGTGGAGCAGCGCACCCAGTCGATCAGAACACGAGGCGATGCGCCGCTCTGGCTTCCCCATCGTCTTGGCCAGCACCGCCGCATCGCGCAAGAGCAGGTGAACCCCCGCCATCATCAGCGGCCTCTCCGCAACCTTGCGACAGCTGAGGGGGTATTTTCGGGCTTCGGTTAGCGTGTACGGCGCGTCCAGCGCCTGTGCGGCGTCAACGCTCGGCGACGCTAACACGTGGCTCTGTCCAATGCCCAGCAAGATGGGATAGGGCAACGTGCAACTGTACAAGATGGAAAGCACGATCAGCAGGTGACAAGCGTGTCCGAGTCCCACCGCCTCCTCGTGCATGGCGTCGGCGGTGCTCGCAACGAGATGCGACGCGGCGTCTGCATCGGCACGCCCAGCGAACAAAATGGGCAAGGAAGCGGTGTTGATGTGATCCTTCGCATCGGCCGCATTCGCGCAGGCGTGGTATGCGTAATGTGACGACAGCGTCACCGTGTACACGAGGCACAGCTCCCGTACACGGCGCTGCCGAACGCGCGCGAGCTGGGCACGTAGTTGCGCCCGCTGCGCCTCTTCGATTCGCACCTGCTCCCGCTGCACCTTCACCGACTCGGGAGACGTTAAGATGCTTTCGTACTGTTGCACAGCGGCGAGGGTCTCCTCCTCGCGCTGCAGACGCTGCTGACGCTGCCCGACACGTTCCCGCAAGCTCTCCAGCTCCAACGTGGAGAGCGTCAACGCCTCACGTGCGGCGGATAGCTGCACCCGCACGGCAGCGCACCGCGCCGCGACGGCACGCTCCGTCGGGTGTGCCGTCGCCTCCGCATCCAGCTGGTTGGCCAGCGCGGTTTTGCGCTGCTCCGCCACAGAGGCCAGTCGCCCCCACGCAAGTGTGCCATACGCGGCCGCCTTCACGTCCCCCATGGTGGCTCGCGGCTGACCAACGCGGGGGACCGCAAAGGCGGGGTAGCGCCACCCAATCGAGGACGGCGCACGACTCCACGGGAGCTCCACACACGCGGCCGCTGCCTGCGCAGCCGCCAACGCAGCGAGTGAGTTTCGACCCGCAATGGTGTTGAGAGAAGACGGCGTCGGCGAAGAACCGTGGAAGTCGGCCGCTGCGGGTGCCGGGCAGAAGGTGTGCGTGCGGGTGGCCTGCCACTCGTTAAACGTGCTCGCTACCGGAGCCTGCCAATCGGCGAAGCACGACGTTGGCACAAAGACGCCGTCCGAGCAGCGCAGATAGATGAGAGGACGGGGGAGGTGACGCGGGCCCTGCGCTCGCTGCTGTTCGAGACGCAGAAGCCGACTTAACGTGACATCGGCTTCTTCCATTGTTGCGCCAAGGTAGAAGGTTTGACGGACATCTACGCGGCAGCGGTGAACACACACGTCGGACGGAGCAGAGGATGCAGCGCCGTGTTTCACAGGTTCCACTTCGTCACCGATAGAGATCGCGCGGCAAGGAGCAGCTGTCACACTCTCTGTGGCCATCTGCGGTGGATCGGTTTCAGGACGTCCTTCATCCAGCGCGCACGCGTGAGAGATGCAGGAGCCAGTGTAAAAAAACGAAAGCTCGATGTGTGTGCTGTGCGCATAAGGCTGCAGCGCAGCAATCGGGATAGAGGACCAGTTCGGGTAGCTGCTTCCACGCACCACCTCGCTGGTGTACACGGGAGCTTCCGAAGCTCCTTCACCATCCGCCTTCACCGCGGAATGGCCTCCGTTCCTATCCGCCGGTTTCTCTTTCCAACTCAGGTCAGAAAAGCTGCGTGCATCGTCCCCGTTGGCTAGTTCATCCGCTGGGAACAGCTCAAAAAACGTCTCCATGCACAGCGCAGGGTTGTGCAGACCGATGACACGTGGCGCGGAGCCCGGCATGCGTGTCCCACACGACGATGATGATGCTGTTGGCGCAGTAGCGGAGGTGGACTTTGCCACGGCGGGGCTGTGGGTCGGAGAGGCGGCCTGCATGGACGGCGCAAGTGCCCGCTCAGCCTCCGGCGGTGGCAGCGGGGTTGCGGACGATGAAGTGCACGTTGCATTCGTCTCCACAAGCTCTGGAATATCCACTGCGCCTGGATTCCCTGTGCGAGGCGACGGCGGCGTTGCGTCGCCTATTGACGCAAGGACAGATGCGGTAGTTTCTTGTGCAAGTGTACTGTGCTTCTCCGTCGTATCACTGGATGCCGACGGCCATTCGAATGGTAAGCAGATGTGCAGAGGGGCGCAGCGAAGAGATATGCCTGTCAGTTGGCCGACACAGCGGAAGTCGAAGGGCACGAGGGACGTCATTGCGCGAAGATCTTCAAGTGGGGCCGCCCAAAAGGAAGGGATAACAGCCGCACCAGCAGCCGTACGAGCAGACAGGAGCGGAGTTCGAATGTGATGCTGCAACTCTGGAACTAATAAAATGTCTAGATAATGCAGCCAAGCTTGCGAGTAAAAACAAAACTAACTGCAAAAAGTGCGGCTCTTGAAGCGTCGCTTTACCCGTAAGTCTTACAGATACACCTGCGTCGATCAAAGCTGGGCAGGGCACGCACGAGACGGTCTCACCGCGATGACAGCATGAAATGCAACGCTGGATACCTGCGCGTTGCACATCTGCGTCCTTTAGCTCTAAGATGGTGAAGGAAAACGGGAAGAAATGCGACAACCCAGCAGATAAAGAGATGACGAATTAATAGACGAGCGTGGCACAGGACACAATAACGGCTGCGTTGTGCGCGAGTGGCGCGTGTCCTCTTTCGGGGGGTACTTCCGCTTTCCTCGAAATACGGCGCTGCTGCATTGAGCTTCGACAGATACACAAAGCCGGAAATGCTCCTCTTCCGTTTGATGCTAAAGTCTCGCCATTGAAAAGGAGGACACTTAACTCGCTGTTCAACGCCGTCGATACGATATCGAAAGCAACGCGCGTTTTCAGATATGATCGCCGCTCCTCACCTCGTTGGATTCTTCTTGTGTTCTGTTTTCGACACAGCTTCTGTCGCCTCTCTCGAATCCACACTGTTCGTAATGCGGGTGCGACGTCGAAAAAAGGGGGGATCGTGATCGCAAAGGTAATTAGTTAAACGGCTTAACATTAAACGACATCACAAAAAGTTTCTCTTCAAGGCATTCCGCCACTCATTCCAGATCTTCTCCCTGATCTACCGGGAACACCTCCCCCACGCGCGGCGCCTGCTGCTGTTGGTGATGTCTGTGATCTGCGCTCGTACTCGAGTTGCCGCTCATGTCCTTCGCACTCGCTGTGGTGCTATTGCTGGCAGTCACATCCGGCTCCACACGCGTGTGGCCCTCGCAGATGCGCGCGCTCTGCACGTGGGCCGTCATTGGGTACGCGGACAAGCACACCGACTTGGTAATGTAGTCGATGCCATCCAGGTTGCAATCGTCCGTGCAGGAGACACAGTAAAATGCTGTGACATGTTTGATGCCGCCCTGCAACGCGTCGTCGACAGGGGCGGCAGCGGCCTGCTGCGCGAGCTGGGTTGGCGTCACAATAGGGGCAGTCAGACCGTTTGTCAGCCCAATCACCTCCGCCCCGTGCGGGATAATAGGGGCGACAGACCCGGGCATCAGCCGCATCAGCACCTGCCCGTCCGTAGAGGTGATGCGACCATCCCGCAGCAGAGCCGCCATGAGACCGCGGAAACGCGCGTACGTACGCGGCGGGCGCAGCGCCGGCGACACCTCGATCACCTTCCCTTGCCGAGAGAAGAGGCTAATGTACACACGCAGGCGATGCTGGTAGGCCAGGTCAGAGTCGAAGAGCGCCAGCAGGCACTGATGAACAATGTCCGGTCGCACATCCTTCAACGACGCGTTCGCAATCTCCGTCGTCGCGGCGCGATCGTACGCGTCCACGAGTCCCATGTTGCCCATTAAAATACCGGCCTTCTCTAAAATCACCACCACATCACGCGGCTTTGCGGCTCCATTACGGCTGCGACCGCTGCCTTGAATTCGAGGCGCCGCGTTCTGCACGGGGTGGCTGTCGCGCCGATGGAGGTTGTCCCGTGCGCCAGAAGCGGAGGCGAAGGAGCTGCTGCCCACACTGCCGCCCCCGCGTCCGCGCCCACGCGAGCGTTCGCCGGGGAGGTGCGGCCGCGGCACCGACTCGTCGGCGACCTGCGGACGGTAGCTGCCGGACCACTGCCGACTGCTGGACATGCCGGATGCGCTGCGGTCGCGGTCACGAAAGCGGTCGCCGTCACCTCTGCCTCTGCCGCCTCTTCCACCTCGCCCGCCGCCGCGGCCTTCCGTGCGGGAGAACCCACGGCCACCGCCGCGACCGCGGCCCTCGAAGCTGCCACCACCGCTGCTGCTGCTGTGGGTGCGTTTAAATCCTGATTGCATGGTCGCACACTAAAGAAAAAAAAAACTGTGAGTAACGCCGTTCACCTCCGTTAAAGCAAAGGGGGGAGGTTTTTTATCATAATGAAGAATGATACGCCGTGATGTGGTTTGAAGGACGAGGAAGAGGGGAAAGAGAGTTGAATACATGCGCACTGAGAGACCTGAGAAGCACACGTGTATTTCTAGAGACGTATCATTTACGCTCACCCACTCAGCACCGAGCAGAACTGCCTTGTAGTAGAACAAAATGAGAAGAAGAGAGGTTTCTTTGTTTTCTAGTTAAAAAAAAAACCTGTAAGCAATAAGTGCAGCGGCACGTCGTTGAATTCACGGAGAGATCTGCTCCGATTAAATTGTCGGGATGTACGAAGGGGGAGAATTATAAACAGCAGTGAGATTGTCAAAGGCAAAGACGCATACAAACACACACACACAAACACACACACACAAGAGTTGTACGTATATATGTGTTGATCAGATGACAAAATGCGTTTCTACTCGATGTCAATTACTTCCGTGCTTGACGGTCTGCGACGGCTGGCCATTGATTCGGTGTCGGAGAGCGTGAACACCTGCGCATCCTTCTGCAGCACCTCTTCTGAACGACCAGCTCGAAGCTCGTCCTTGACGTTTTTGCTGATGGGCACTGATAAAGATGGCAAAGATGGAGTGGGCGTGGCTGCACCTGTGCCTCCCTCTAACTGCGCCAGTGTCGATCGACTCAGCTCTCGGATGCGTGCAAGCGTGCACGTGATGCTCGCGTGCTCCCTTTCACTTATGTCCACGGTGCGCCGCTCTTCAGAGCTTCCGTCCTCACCGCCATCGTCCACGCGGCGACGTTTGTTGCTGTGCGCTCCGTCCTCCGCCGTGACGGCGTTGGTGGTGACGTCATCGTGCAGTTGCTGAAGCACCGCCGTACAATACCGCAAGCCGCGAAGATAGTCAGCGACGGTGGGAGAGCTGCGAAGCGACATGGAAGACACTCCCTCGTCTCTGTCGTCGGATGTATTCGGGAAGACTACATCGGTGTTTTCCCCCGATGCGGTTTCAGCCATATCGCGCTGTTTCCGCAGCCACGCCGTTGAGGCAGACCACTGCCGAGTTTCCTCATCTTGCAGTACACCCCATCGCGCGACGGCATCGGCGTTGTCGCTCGCTTGACTGTCGCCCTCCACCAGCTCCACGAGAGCCGCCACGGCCGCATCCGACAGGTTCAGCGTCTCCAAATCCAGCGACGTGCACTCCTGTGCGAGACGCAAAAGCGATGCCGCCGCATCCGCGTATACGACGGCATCGCCACACCGACGCGCCGCACTGTCCTTTCGAGGCGGTACAGGCGAAGGCGACGTAGCGGAGAAGGCGACGTCCGTCCATCGGCGCACACACGCGACAAGCACCGCATCATCCGCGCTGTCCGAGACGGGGACCGCTGCCATCTCGTGAAGGAGCCGCGCCGCCACCCAACGAGCGACGCGTGCGCTCGCTGACTCCTCTTCCTCCTCCTCTTCCCCTCCAGTGGAGTTCTCTGATAAGCGCTGCAGCGTCTGCGTGAGAGAGGCGAGAAGAGAGGAACACGACAGCAGGGACAGCTTGAGCTGCCCCGGAGGCTTAGAGAGGCCTTCCTCATTATCGGGGAGAGAGCAGCTCAGCACTGACATGGCGGTAAAGGCGCCGACAACGTTGTGCAGCTTTCGTGGGATTTGGATGAGCAGCTGGCACAATAAATACGAGTGGTCCGCAGGAGGCGTATTCTGCTTCCATGTCTTCCTTGTTTCCTGCTGCAGTGATACGAGGGCCTCACGCAGCTCGGCGACCGCAACGGCTGGCGGAGCGTAGTCTTCTCCTTTTTGCGCGGCCGCACAGGAAAGGGTGGTCTTTGTGCGCATCACCTCAATAAGTAGAGAAAGCAAAACGACTGCGGCATGTCTCTGCTCAGCAGCACCTCGCACCTCATCATCGTCGTCGTTCGCCGGCGGGTTCGTCGTTTCAATGCACAGGGCTGACTCGCCGTAGCTCAGCAGCGCTACTGCGGCGCATATCCATTGCTCAAGGAGCGCGCTGGTGCTTGCACAGCCTCCATCGAGCACGGCATCTGGAGCATGCGTCACATCCTCCCGCTTTTGTAAGTGCAAGAGGCCTTGCACAAGGTCTGTCGCCGCATAACGTATGTTTCCCAATACGCGTAGAAGTACACGTACCGCGGTGCGTTGCATAGGTTGTGACGGAGACGACGTGGGTTTTGCGGCGCGTTCCAGGCGGTGGAACAACTCCGTCCACGCCTCTAGCGCCATCAGGGCCATGGTGGATGCATGCGGCACACACGTGATGGAAGACAACACCACTGTCGACAGATGCGCGCTCAGACTGGCCGCATTCGATACCGATGGTTGCACATCGGTGCCGCCGGACATCGCCCACGCCGTTGGCCCAATGCGACATCGAGAAGACGTACCGCCATCGTCACTTGTACTGCTATCGTTGTTGCCCTCTGCCTCCTCGGCGTTGGCGCAGAGGAAGATCCATTGCTGCCAGAGAGCAGCGAGCGCGCTGACCCACATCGCACGAAGTGACGTGGAAGCTGCGGTGGATGAAAAAGGCGAGACATCTCGCTTTGTGTCGGAGCCTCCATTTGGTGGTGAATAGGCGAATAAAGCAGTTGGAAGCTTCTCGGACAACGTCTGTATGTCTTGCTTCACGGTGGCCCCTGCGTTGCTGCAGCTGTGTTGACGTTCGCATGCGGACCCATCGCCGACGCTGCCGTTGCCGTCACGGTGCGTCGCTCTTTGGCCAGTCCAACACAGCAAACTCTCCGTCAGCAAGTGAAGCGTATCCCTGCCCACAGCAGAACTCCCAACGCTTCTCTCTGCAGCAGCTTTATCTGCCTTCCCTGCCCTCTTACCCTCGTCTCCGGCGGTTTCCTCGGTGGGCCCACTTGACGCCGCTGCCTCCGCCTCTGGTGTTCCACTACTGCCTGGCAGTCTCTTCAGCACTCCTTGCATTACATGCAGGTACGTACTGAGTCCAGCCGTGGCCGCGGCCTGCTGCACCTCTTCCCCACCTCCGGCTGCCTCCTGCACCTCGAACGCGGCTGAGGCGGAGACGCACTGTGTTAGCAGCGCCTCTACCGCGTTCGACACAATTTCAACGCCTTCGCCACCGACTTCTTTCTCTGTCCCTTGGCCGGAGTTGGTAGCGGTCCACTCAGCTTTGCGGTTTTCTGTCATCATCGTCATGGCAGCGGCAGCGCTGCCCAGGCAGTCGAAAATCCCGTGAAGGCGCTCCACGATGTTGTCGTACAGAGTGGTGACGGCCTCGTCGTCGCGCGTGCTCGTCGCGACTGTGACGCAGACAGCATAATATAAGCGCACCAGGTGGGCGAAAAACACATGGGCCGCCTCCGTCCCGGTCAGCAGCAGCTGCGGATGGGCCCGCACAGCTAGCACGAGGTGCGATGCGAAGAATGTGGCCAGTCGTACTCGCTTCTTGTCGCTCCAATCATGCGTCAAGACGCCCCATCGCAGCTGCTCCATCATGTGGACCACCGCCGTCTCGTAATCCCTCGGTGCAACATCCTGGTAGGAGGCAACGGCGAGGAGCAGCTTCCAGGCGGCATTCAGCATTGCCAGCCTCTTGGTTCCGCCAACGACCGGTGACGTCGCGTCACACGCGTCGACGATGCACGACAGCAGCGCCGGCGTGCAATGCGACGCAAGAAATGCCGCGGATGGGAGCAGCGTGGCGATGTCTTCAGCGTGACTGGAGGCGGTGCCGCCCCCCTGACTCTGACACGCGCTGCGGAGCATGTGCACCGCCTTCTCCACGTCCACAGGCCTGGCGGCCGCTTGGGCCATGTGAATGTGTACAGTGGGAGCTCTGTGTTAATAAAGTAGATAATCTTTATCTGATATTACCGCTTTCTGCCATAATAATAATAACAATAACGTTAGCATACGTGCGTTTCGTTTGTGATAATGCCGGCTTGTCCGATGAGAACGACGCCCAACGCGTAACACACGATTATATTATTATTAGTATTGGCTGTATGGGGGTGTGTGTTTCCTATCGTCTCCACGATGAGACGGAGCACGGTTCTGTGAAGAGGTCTTTTGTCATCTAAATATCCCGTCTATCGCCGTACCTTCTCAGATCCACGAGAAAACAGAGAAAGATGAGTCGTGAAGGTGTACGAGAGAAAGATTTTTAGGGCATGGGTAAGAGTTCTATACATGCAATAAAGACGTGCATATGGCCACAGCGAGGCTATACATCTGTCTTTCTGCCGAAAATGCAAAAGACGGCAAAAACAGGCGGATCCACTTCAAATCTGTGCTGGGAACTTCTGTGAGTGGGCGCCGTGGCTCGAAAAGCTTCAGCGCCAGTTGGTCTCGCGGGTACGCTTGCCCAGAGGGGCAAGATTAGCTTAGACGTTTTTTAGCCGCGTCTGGTTCTCCGTTGCTGCTGAACCGCAAAGCTCGAGCCAACTGCCTCTTCTTCTCAGTTATTTACTGAGGACAAAATTGTTGTGTTTGCACCGTACGGAAAGTTTTGATAGTCATCTCAACGTACGAAAAAAAAACTGTGTCGTGAATCTCTATCCATCTTTTCGCGCACATGGAGAAATCTTTAATCACGTCGTCTTCCTGTTTGCTTCGGCGTTCTTTCTCCAACAACCATTCGTTCTAACATCTATTTTGTATCTATTGTGGTTGAAAACATCTTCTACTCACGATTCTACTGCGGCGCATGCAGGTGTAGTATCATCGGCGGCGACGGTGGCAGACGCGCCACACAAGCAGACGTTCCGCAGCTCTCTGCACCTGCGCTGTTGCGGCGTGCCGGTGTCGGCGTCGCTCCTGGGGCACCCGGTAGCGGGCTGATATCCGCGCTACCCCCCGCGCTGCTGATGCTGCTGCCGCCATGGTGCAGGTTGATCCCCTCCTCCCCCTCCTCCCACGCGGCAGTTTTGTGTGTCATCACGCGAATAGGCGACGGAAGCCTCGCTGACTCAACGTTACTTGGCTCATGCATAGGACTCTTCTCCGTTGCATTGTCAGTGTGCAGTGTTGCAGAACCAGACGTCAGTGTCTCCGGGGTAGGCAGATTCGCCTCGGCATCGATGCTGCGGATCCACTGAGTGACTTTGCTCAGATGCTGCTCCAGTGCTGCATAGCGCGCCCGCCACTCCGCCTTCTCCGCAACGTGCTCCACGAGAAGCTGCTCCAAGGCAAGCGTCAACACGTTGCACTGCTGCTCCGCCCGTGTCGCCCTCTCCATCGCAGCGTCGCACGTCTGCTGCAACGTCTGCGCTGTCGATAGGGAGTCGCGACCCGTGCTGGTCGTTCTTTTTGGCTGTGTTGCGGAAGCAGACGTCACCGAGCGCGGGGTTGCCCGTGTGGCGCTTTCCACGTCGATGCTCTGGAAAAGCGCGCGGGCAGACGGCGGAGACGGAGGGGACGTCGTGGCATCCGCACCATCAATCGGGGACTGCACCGTCGCGAACTGCGCGACTTCGAAAGACGATTGGTGAGCCGACGCAGACGCAGCGACTGCAGCGGATCGCGGGACGGTGGCACCGAAGCGCACTTGCGGCTGCACCCGTTGCGGCGACTGAACACCCGGAAGGGAAGCACTGCGCCGGAAGGCGCGTTCAACGCTGTGCGCCGAGCCCTGAGCAGACGTAAGTGTTCCTCGTGTGGACGCAAACTGCGTCGACGGTGCGTGTGTGTGCTCCGGACTGCGTGAAGTGCTCCGTCGGGACGAAGGCGGCGGGTTCGAGCCGGGTGCGCTCACGACGGGTCGCTGCTTCTTCGGCGGCTGCCGCTGATTCCACGCCGGACGAGCTTGTGGGACGGGTCGTGGCACCCACTGGGGGTGAGGCGCGCCCACGCTCACCCGCTCACTGCTGAGGCTGCTAGCGCGCTGTCCCGCAGTCGCACCTGCGCGAAGCCAAAACGCATCTTCTTCTTCCTTCGTCTCCGCCGCGTCCACCGGCTCCGGTCGCTCAGCGCTGCGGGAACGGCGCCCACGTGACACGCCGGAACATCGGCTGTACTGCAGACTGCTACGCAGTACGCCACCCGCCGCGAAGAAGTCCGTGGAAGGCGCACGCGGATCCGGCGATATTGCGCCAGATCGCAGGGCCGTCGGACTCTTCGGTGGGCTTAAGTGCACTCCAACCACACCGTTCGCATGCCCCTTCAGCTCCGCCACAAAACCCTTCTGTGAGAGAGCTAGAGAAGAAAGTGGTGACGGACTGCGTGAACGCGGGCGGGACGGCGCTGCGGCACGCAGCATGACCTCCACCTCCCCCCAGTCATCGCCGTCCTTCGACTTGGCCAGCAACGATGGCGAAGTGGCGGACGTCGGTGAGGGCCGACGCGGCGGTGGTGAGCGACGAGTAGCCTTCGCGCTCTCTGCTTCTCCGTTGTTGTCTCGCAGCACACCTGCACAGCTCGCCCGCACCTGTCGCACCAGCCCTTCAAGAAACTCGTCCTTCTGGAGAAGAAACTCGGCTCTTGCGGCGCCGTCACTGCTGTTTTTTGTGTCTACCGCAGCGGTACGCATGGCGTCGGCGTCACCGCTGGAGAATTCGCTCAGCGTCGTAACATCCTCCACCTTGTCCAGCTCGTTGCCCACTTTTCTGTCCGCCACTTCTGTCACGTCCTCCAGTGACGGTGGTGGCGACTCGACCGTACCAGACGGTACATCGCACTCGTGAACGTGCAGCCCCGCAATGGAGGCGTGGCGTGTGTCCGTGGCGATCTCGCGAACTTCGGGATGTAGGGATGCAGGCCCGAAGCGACGCCGCAGACTCAGTGACGGAGCGTAGGTACTGCCCGCGGGCATCCCCGCACTTGGAGAGCTCAAGGTGGGTATTTTGACTGGCGGCGTCGCAGGCAGACGATTTTGACCGCGTGGGGTGAACATCGTGGTTTGTTTTGTGTCTGTAGAAACCACTGACTAGTTCTATACTACGAAAAGCGGTGAGCTCCGATAGGAATTCCTTATCGAGGGTGTTAGTGTCAATAACCGCAAAGCGTGCGGGATACAAAAAAAAAGAAGAAAAGCGCGTATTGTGACCAAAAAAAAAACAGAGCGGTTGATGAAGAGCGGATATTTACGAGTCGCGAGAGAAACGAGTGCAACAACCCACGCCGCTCAGTCAGAAGCGAAAAGGAAAAAAGAAAACGTGTGTTAAGTACCTCCGCCGTAGTTTCTTCTATGTGACTATGGTGCGTTACAGCAACATGCAGACAGCAAAAAAAAAAATTAAAATGCGGGAGGTTGAAAAAGTGAGAAGAACGGCAGAGAAGACAGAGAAAAATCTGCCTTCAAATTTTACAATTGGAAGTGCAGCTCCGTTTTCTTCCCTTTTAGATTTAACCGCGTGTAGAAGTAGTCAGTTCACGCAAAGTACAAAATAGCTTGCGCAAGCAACTCGCCATCATCCTGGACGAAAATCCGGCGTATATGCAGAGGCCATCACGGTGCCGAAACCATTGATTATTCTTTCTTTAATACAAAACATGATTATCTTTACATATATATATATATATATATATTTAACGACACAGAGAGAGACAGACTTTGACAAACGGTGTGCAGAACACAGACAAAATACGGCTACGTAATGATACACGAAGTAGAAATACAGAGCGCTCTCGCTGGAAGAGCCAGAAAAAAAGGGAGGTAGGATGAAAGGGCAAAGGAACGCGTGACACCATCACCGTCACACACACGCCTACAGTGAAAAAAAAAAACAGCATAAACACATATATAGCACTAGAACACCCACACAAACCACTCTAATTAATCCGGCATCAACGCGCCTTTCGCGATATCGTTGCGGTGAATGAACCCCATTACGTTGTTCAGCGCCTCGAACCAGGCGTCGCACTTGTCCTTCAGCTCCGTCGCTAGTTGCAACACTCGCTTCGTCGTTTCAATGAGCAGCACGTAGTACGTTTTCGGGAACCCATCCTCATCGACGCTCATCAAATCGCGCGAAGTCACCTGGCAAATGTGATCGAGACGGATGTTACCGCAGAAGTGTGTGTTGCGCGTCTCGCGGCTGCTCCATACCAGCAGGTAGCTCTTCGTGTCGACCCACACCCACCGCCGGTGCACAGCGTCGCCCCCGGCGCTCCACTTGTAAAACCAGTCACCGGCACGCAGCGTCTCAATGCTGGTGCGCAAGTTCATTGTGGAGCGGGCATCGGGTAGTCCAAGCGCGGTCTTGCGCTGCTCTTCAAACGGACGTGAAATCGGTGGAAGCCGACTTGGCTGCTGCGAACCGGGCGAACGCGATCGACGAAGGTGCGATGTGCCTTCTGCAGACGCTGGCGACGTGGCACGCATGGCATCAGGCTCGCCCATGTTCACCACAGGCGGGGCATAGCCGCGCCCGCGTCGTGCATCGCGCTCTCGCGGGCGTGCGGAGGAGGGGGCGCGGTGTCGACTGGTCGCGCGAGGACGTCCGCCGTTTTGAGATCTGCGACGGCGCGGAGGAAATTCGACCTCACCGTCCTCCTCCACGCTGTCATCGCCGTTGCGATGGCGGTGGCGGTGGTGCGAGCGATGGCGCGATGGCCGTCGGCGGTCTCTATTTGCGTCGCCCTGTCCGGACGGCCACGCCATCATCGGCGCCGCACTGCCTTCCTCGCGATGTATCGACAGCGGTGAGAAGTGAAAGCCGCTGTTGAAGTGACGGGCGTTGTCCGCGCCGGCTCTATTGCGCCACGTGCTCGTGAGCGGTGCGACGTTGCCGTCCACGAAGGGCCTCACCGGAGAGGAGGACGGCCGCTGCCAGCTGTAGCCGCCATAGCCCCCATTTGACGGCAACGTGGAGGAAGCCGACCAGCGATTTGCATAGGGTGTAAAGGAGTCTGGGCGCTGGTACAGTGGCTCTCGTGGAATTGAGCGAGGCCCGGGGATGTAGAGAGAGGGCGGCAACGGCTCCACGGAGCGCCTAGTACCCTCCCACGCTGGCGAGGGTGCGGAGACGGGCGGCTGCGGTGGACTGGAGCGACGCCGAGGGGATGACGATGCAGGGGTGCTGTACGCCAGAGACGGCACACGAGCAGGGGATTGGAACCGCACCCCGCCGTCTTGCGTTGCGTGTGGACTCGCGGACGTCAACGGCGGTGCAGCTCGGGCAGCGGCGGTGCCGCCGCCATTTCGTGGGCTGCCCTGACGCCAGTCTGACGGACCCTGTGAAGATGCATTTGCAGTGTTGGTGAAGGGCCGCTCTGCTGCTGCCCATTCCGTCTTGGTTTGCGTTGTCGAAGATGCTTTTCGCTCGTCTGCCGTTTGCGTCCCAGTGGCGGAGGAGGCGCGGCGAGGTGGCGGGGGCGGCGGTGGAGATGGGGGCGACGGGTCGCTGAACGCTGCTGGAACCGGCGCGGCGTACCGTCCGAGTACACCTCGGCGACGCCGTGCTTCTAAAATGCGAGACAAGTGTGCCTCGTGGATGTTATCCATTATTCACCTCAGTCCGCGTTGCTTGCCTGTGTTTGTCTGTTTTTGAGGGGCAAAAGCACACAAACTGTACAATTTGTGCAAATGATTTATAACAAATCGATATCTATGTGCGTGCGTCGAGATCGAACCGGTACAATAAATCCGTGTGGATCTTGCCTGCGCTGTTGGGCAACTAACAAAAGAGAGGCTCAGCGCCGCGTCGTGGTGACGTGTTGTGCTAGCGCCTCTCTGGCTAGCTACTTCCTTACCTGCAGCGGAATACCTAAACTACTAAAAGAAGAAGGTGCATTAAGGAAACGAGAGTGGGGTAACAAAAGAACAAGAAATTGTCTGTAATCAAGACGCTGACGCTCACAACGACTGTACCGAAGGTAACTTCTCTGGAAGAGGTAGAGCTCCAAAGCGTGGCAACCGCTCCTCTTTCCTTTGGGTGCCGTATCCTGCGTCGTCCTTACTTTTGGTTGTTGTTTTTTCGACGAGTAAATGAGTCGTGTGCACAACGCTCCTCTCCACAATACGAATACTTCTCGTTTGAACGCCTCTTTTTTCCAATTGTGAGGTGTTCGTGTAAAGACGCTCCGACGCCCTTTGCAGGACGGAATCCTTTTGCGGAAGAGAGAGAAAGAGGTGAAGAGGGGTGCGCTGCAAGGCAAAAAAAAAGACCTACCTCCACAAATGAAGCGCTCCGCCGTTTACAACTTGCGACGTGCGTACGACGGCTCATCGGCGAGGCCGTGGAACAGGTCAAAATCCTCCGAAGACTCGCGCATGGCCTCCTGCTCCGCCTTTTCACGACCCGGCTCCGCACGGCCTTTCGAAGACGACGACGTAGCGGCTTCGTGCAACGTCAAACGGCTCCCGCGCTCGATATGCGTGTTTGTCCCTGGAATTGTCCAGTACGCCTCCATGTGGTCGCCGGCGGCGCATGGAGCCAGAAACTGCTGTGGCACCTGCATCGCCTCCACCAGGTGCACGCACTGCGGAGCCAGCACCGTCACCAAGTTGTCAAAGTGACCCGCTAGAATCTCCGCCTTGCCAGAGCTCATCATCTTGGCAGAGAGGATAAAGTCAAGGCGGTCCATCTGCCGCGACAAAGCATAAATCCAGCCAATGTCTCGTAGAATCTTGCGCCCACGCAGGTCGCCGCACTTTTCCGTCTCCTGCATCATTACATCCATGTAGTACATCTCCATGAAAGCCTCGCCACAGTGTACGACGGTGCGGTGACGAAACATGACCCAGTCGTACCACTGGTGCTCGCTACCGCCTTTCCGCCGCTCCAACTCCCGAGACCGCCGCAGGCGCTTCTTCAGGGAGTAGTGCTTGTGACTGAAAAAGAGAAGATGGCGCCCCAGATCGGCGATGCGGGGGGAGTATAGCGGGTTCTTCACAAAGCGGTCCAACGCCGGAGAGACGGATTGCAGCAGGCTCGTCAGCCACCAACCCCAGTGCGTAGTGCCGATGTTCTTCGTAATAGACTTGAAGGCCACCTCTCGAATCAACGATGACGTGTCGAGGCCCTCCTGGCGGAGATGCACCAGCGTTGCCGCGGCGTTGCTGCCGGAACTCGCAAGGGACCCGTGAAGCCCCATCGCCCGGTCAACGAAGTTGTGCAGCTCCAACAAGTTCTCCTGGAGAAAGTGAATAGTGCCTGCCAGCCGCATGTGGTCCTCGTAGCACGGGCCTTTTCCAGCAGCATCGGTGAATACCGTCAGCAGCCGCTGCCACGCCAGCAGGTACACGTACGTCTTTGCCACCATGCTCACCAGCGGGGTTTGGATGTGCTGGAGGCCGAGAAAAGGGTAGTTGCGCCGATAATCTGGCCCGACCACGCACTTGTTTGCCGTGTACGTCACCACGTCCGTCAATAGTTTTTTGGTCGCGCCGACGTAGACGGCGCCGGTGGCAATGCGGCGGCGCGTGCGCAGCACTTCGGTGGCCGGCTCATCGCCGTCGCGGCCCTCCACGTAGCCGACTTTCATCTCTGGCGTGATGCAGAACGGGTTCAGGATGTTGTCGACCGGGATTCGCACGTCGTCGAAATGCAGTACCGCCACGCCGCACCCGGACATGACGTCGCTCTCGCCGGTGATGGCGCGGATGGAGATACCACGGCGCAGCTCCCCTTCTCCGGCGGCAAACGAGCTATCCTGCGGAGTTCCCTGTAAACCTCGATTGCTGCCACGCAGCGGGACCAGAAAGAGATGGGTGCCGTTGTCCTCCTTCGCCTTCAGCGTCAGCGTCGCCGTCACCACCGCCCACTCCGCACAGGCCGCCGCCACCACACCGAACTTGCCGGTGCCTCGCAGAACAAAGCAGTGTTCGTGTGCGTCGTAGCGCGCCTCCGTATTAAAAGGAGGTCCCTCCGCGATGAGCTCCTGCTCCGCGATGCAGCCGATGGACACCCCACTGTCCACGTTCGCCAGCACCGCGTCGCGCACCTTTTTCTTTGCGTGCGTTGCCACCAGTCCTGCGAAGGTGAAGTGCTCCGCCGCAAGGAGGGCCAGCGCCGGATGCGCAGTGGCGAGAGTCTCGTAGAACGAGGCGAGCCGGCGCGGTGTGGAGCGCACCTGGGCGTAGGAGACGAGCTGCTGGCGACACAGACGCTGAAATACCTGCATCATCTGCGGAAGCTTCCAATTATTTTCTGGGTCTCTCTGCGTGAAATTGGAGGGCGGCTGAGGAAGGGATTTCTTCAGCGCCTCACGGACCTCCTCCTTAAAGTCAATGTCCGCGCCTTCGCAGATGTAGCGGAACGTCGGCTCCTCAAATGCAGACTCTATCACGTACCTCTGCCTCGATGGGTCAATCTCAAAGAAGCGCGGACAGGTGCGTCGCACGTAGCCTCGCCGAGATGTGAGGAGAGGAGACAATGAAAATGACGTGGTGGTCACGCAGGTAGAAAGCTGCACAAAGGCGCCTGCTGCAACGCCATAGGAGACCCACCGGGACGACGCGAGACGCGACGGTGCCACCGCGGCGACGGCCGTCACCTCACCCAACGCCACGCGTCGACTACAATGCAGCATCGTGACTATCCCTAGATCTTTTTATTTCTCGCTGTTGCTGTCGGGGGAAAAAACAGTTCTTTTTCCTGTTTCCTTCACCGGTTCCTACACGCTACTTCAAACAACGCAAATGCGCTTGAAGCAGCGCAAACAGAATGATAACGAACACGAGAGGGTGGAAGAGCAGAGGAGAGTCCATTACAAGTCCCATTTCCAGGTGGGCTTCAAAGCCGATCACGAACGCCCCACGTAATACACAGCGTGAGAAAAGACGCGGTCCTTCATGGATACTTTTGAGCTCACGGCTGCACCTAACAGCACACAGGAATAAGAACAGCAACGATACAACTGCACAGAAGCGAGTGCACATGTCCAAGGCGAGCTCCTTCCTTTCGCGGTCAGCACACCGTCCTCCCTCTCTTGTCACATTCTAGGAAAGAAGAAAAAGAACCACGAATGATGATCGGGAAAAAGCGAGCAGCACAGTTGTCCAAGGGGAGAAGATGTGGAGCGTTTCACTTTACTGTCGCATTGCTCGTCGGGTGAGGGGGGAGGGGAAGTGTGCACGCTTAACTGTGGCGGCACACAGAAACAAAAGAAAACCCCAACGACCCACCGAAAAAAAAAACCGCACTTGCGTCAGCCTCGTTGCGGGGATCACGGATCCCTTTCCTGTGTCTATATGAATAAATACGCGTCAAGTGAGGTGATGAACGAGCACACTCCCCTTCCGCACACAACGCAGTCGGAGATCCTTTTTTTATTCTCTTTTGCAGTCAAACATATCACGACCCAGAAACAGTCAAAAGCAACTAGCGCGGGATCTGACCTCCAAGGATCCCGCTCCTATCTCCACCATGTCGTCACATGGGGAAGAAATTAACGTCCATCACAGAGCTTTCGTCCCAAATTTCGGAGTCGCGGCTCTGACCCGCTGACAGCCGCGCTGCAGCAGCTCCGTACGGTCCGGCGTTCATCGCTGCCGGTGCGCTCAGCGCCGGTGCAACGCGGCGATTCGTCTTGCGGCCGCCAAGGAGAAGGACGCAGTCTGCGTCCAGTGCCACCATGTTTGCGTGCAGCGGCGAGGCACGGCAGCGCACAAAGAGGGTGCGGTGGAAGACGTGTTCGATGCGGCCCGTCTGCCCCTCCAACCCGATCGGCGTCATCGGGTGCTTATCGATCATCACCTCAACTCCGCGCGAGAGAATGTTCTTGCGGCGGTCTGTCGTTTGCCGCGCGTCCCGCCCGACAGCCTTCACCTGCGCGTACGAAAGTGTGCGCACGTCGTTGTTCTCCGTCAGCACGTCAACGTCATTGCGGTTCAGGCGCACAATACAGCCGACACAATTCGCCTCCGTGCTCGAGACGAGGTCAAATAGCTGCCACACGCCGTTGGTGTGCGTCGAGACGCTGCCCAGCTTGCTTTGGTGGCAATCGTTGGCCTCCACCTTCAGCTCCACGCCAACAGCTGCGCGATCAGGAAACAGCAACACGATGCTTCCCCACGACTTGACCACCGTGCCAGACTCGCCGGTGTGCTCGCCGCGCTCCACCACGACGTGGGCGCCCTCCGAAAAGTGCTTTGTGCAGGCGGTGAGTTCCACCTGCACCTTGATCGGCTGCGCACGCCCCGGAACGGCACACGTAAGGACAGCGGTGCTGGTGTTCGTAAAGATGTTTTCCACCACGCCGAGTGTGTTGCGGAGCTGCCCCGACGTCACACGCACGGAGTCGCCGATGCTGATGGGCGGCACCTGCGCGGCAGCCTCGGCTGCCCTGATAGCCCGCTCGACCTTGTCGCGCTGGTTGTTGTAGAAGCGAGCCAGCTCTTCGGTGGAGGGCTGCTCCAACTGCACGCCTGACACGACCATGCGTGTCGACACAGACTTCAGCAGGTACCCGTCACGGTCAAAATGCAGGTCGCCCCACACGTATGCGTTCTCCATCTCACGCACGCCGACGGCCAGGCGCGGGGCAAAGAAACGGGGTGGCAATCGTTTCGTCGGCTTATTGAAGCTCTTCTGTACAAAGTCCTCGCGCGGCACCACCTTGCACGTGATGTGAACGCCGTCGGGGTGCAGCGCTGTCACCTGCGCGAGATCGCCCCGGTAGAAGCGCTGACGGAGACGCACAAAATCCCCTACACGAACCTTCAGCGTCGACGGCCGGGTCTCCATTGTCTGCAGCAGCTCCTTCGGATCCACCACAGCGATATTAAAACGAAAAACGCCGTCAAGACCGTTCAGCACATTTTCTACGAAGCGCTTCCGACTGGCCTCTACGTAAATGTACTCCTTCACGTGGTCTAACGCGAAGACGGAGATGATACCCAAATCCACTTTTTTCCGCTCATAATTGTGGCCCGCACGGTAGGCGTAGCACTTGTTCACGATGCGCGTCACCAGCACGCGCGCCATGCGAGGACGACACTTCACCGCAAACACCTTCGGGTCGTCCTCCCGCGGCAGAAACTGGGAAGCCAGCCGTCGCGAGGACAGGTCGCCTTGTGTGAGCATCGCATCGTTCGTGTCTCCATGCTTGCGATAGTGCCGGTCCGCCTCTTCGTAGTAGCGAGCGAGCTCATCTACGCTTTGCTTGTCGTCGCCTTCATGAAAGAGGTACGGCTTAGGCCGCTCACCGTAGTCCACGTCCTCCACCTCTTCATCATCGGCAACAAAATCTGCGTCGGAGAGCTCATCCTCGCCGTCGGAATCGCCGCTCTCCGCCGCATCCAACACATACTTGGATTTGACGCGCTCGTCGTCGGAGGAGGCGTCGCCATCCTCGTCGCGCGACCGCTTCTTCTTGTCCCTCTTACTCTTTTTGTGCTTTTTTTTATTCTTTTCCTTGCGAGGCTTTTCAGCGGCGTCGGCGTCGCCTTTTTCGTGTCCCTTGTCTCCGACAACAGAGTTTGAGGCTAGCAAGTCAGCCAGCTCATCGTAGTTGACGTCTTCGTCCGCCATGACACCTTTTTCAATCGATGTGAACAGAACTTTATATGTGTATGGCAGACAAAAACAGCGTTCCTCCGGCGTTTCGCACTCGGCGAAACTGTACAAATTAAAGCCTTTTGCACGACACCAGTGGATACTTCTTTGTACGTTTGCGAGCGGCAAAAACACCGGAGAAATCTGAAAAGGAAGAACGTGTATTACTGTGAAACGGCACAATGGCACGGTACTCGAGAAGGTGCACGGCTGCTCCCTCACGTATTTCAGAAAAGAAAACTCACAACTTAACGCGTGCTGTTGAAACTCGAGGTCAGAAAGTAGTGGAAAAAGAAGAGGTAAAAACGAAAGGCAGGAAAGTCAAACGAAGGTGGCAAAAAGGGGGAAGAACAGCGACGAGTAGCAACCAGAAAATCGAGAAGATTTGAAAATACGGACCTGCTTATCAAAAAAAGAACATTTTTACTACTTCATGCTTGGAAAAACAAAAAAAGGGATCCATCAGAGTCGAGTAACCTTAGAAACGCTGGAGACGAAGACAAGCTAGACAGTGTTGGGCAATGGACGAATGCCCAGCTTGCGCGTTTACTTTCCAACCAACGACGGCAAAGAAGAGCCGCTGGACTTTCACTGTTGTTGTTTTTTCCCAATAAGCAATTTGCAGTCATGACAACTTTCGCTCTTGTGTACATCGTAGAACAAAAAAAAAGAAACTTGCGTACGTTCAGTACTACAGCACAATTCTGGCGACCAGCTTTGCTGCGCTTCCGTTGCTAAAAACGCCGTGCCAGCGCTTTCCGGTGCGCTCCACGTATACACCGGTGCCGTGCATTTGATTTCGCTGCCATTCGCCCTCATAATAAGACCCGTCTGCCCAGGTGTAGCGCCCGATCCCGTGAAACGTGTGGTGTGAAAACTCGCCGGTGTAGTTGCCTCCGCTAGGCATGTAAAGCGTTCCGATACCGTCCATTTCCCCATTGTGCCACTCCCCATCATATCGTGCTCCGGATGCATCTTCCAGGCAACCGTATCCGTGTATAGTTGAATCCAAGCCGGTGGAACCGGGAGCTGAGACCGTCACGCCGGCTGCAGACGAAGAAATGGCTGGCGCGTGCTTCTTTGCAGTTGACGGAGAAGCAGAGGAGCCAAGCGCTGGCCCTTGTGCATCGAACCATCCATCCTGCTTCACAGAGTAATCCCCGCGATAAATACTACCGTCCGCGAAGCAAAAGTTGTCTGACAGCTGCCTCGTTGGTTCCTCCTTTCGTTTGGGTGGCATTGAAGACTACGCGGGGTTGTGTGTGTGTGTGTGTGTGTGGAAAGAGTGATGAAAGTGATCGCTGCTGACCTGCAACGATGAGGAAGCAGCCTCAATTACACGTCACAGAAAAGAGAACTAAATTTCAGAGCCACACAAGTGGCTTACGCTGACAAGGCAAGGAGTCTTCTGCCCAGAAGCCGCCTTTTTAAGTGTTCTTTCTCGCTTTATTTGTGTGTTTGCGTACGTAGACAATGGAAAAGGAAAAAAAGAGAAGAGGAATTGCACACAGCGAAAAGAGCAGTTGCAACAGCACATGCTTTATAAGAAGGCACCGGCAGTCGATTTAGCTCGGCGCTTTTTCTTCTTCTCCTCTTGCTGTAACCCAAATGTCGGCAGAAGAAATGTGCTTTGAGGGTTTTCATTTCTGAAATGTCACGGAGAGGAGAAGGCGAGTCGAAATCCAGCTTTCTGAATAACACCCTGCAGCGTCGTGTCTGAAAAACAAATGCATGGTGTGTATTCGAGCGCCGTCCTTTCTCATTAACAGTGAAGTTTTTCCTCTCTTTCCTTGAAGCAGCATCAGCGCAAGGTGAAAAAGGTCGTGTACGTGCTAGCCCGGACTCGTAGGCAGTACATCACCATGATCGCTGTCAAAATAAAATGTATCATGAAAAGCAACGAAACGAAAGGCTGAATGAAAAGAAGCACAATATTTGGCCACAGAAGAAGGTGTATGGCAAACGTAGTTGAGTAAATCCCACGCTTCAACAATAAGACAAGCGCGCCGATATCCGGGACTAATACCAGCAAACAGCACGCAGCAATCAGTCCATTCCTAGGTTTGTGCGTGGTGAGACTAACGACGAGCAACGCAATGTCAGCCAGAAAGATGGCAACAGGGAGAATAAACGCGAGTTGCGGCGGAGCAGGAAGCACCGTTCCAACAGCGTAGGGGTACTTCCTCCGAACACCGTCCCTGTGACAGGAGAGTGTGGTGATTGGCTCAGCGCAGTCCACATTGGGCAGGTTTTCGCCCACCGCTACGTTGTCGGTTGGACGAGGTAGCGCAAGGGACACCACTTTCAGTTTTTGAAAGGAGGGAGGAGGTATGGCAACTTTGCGTGCAAGGTAGCGCGGCACACGCGACGGCTGTTGGTTTTCGTCCGTTTTTGCTTCGTAGAGCAGCACCGGGGTATCGTCTTCGTTGTTTAAGGAGGTGTGCTTGCTCAAATCGGATGTTAAGTCAATTATAGGACCTTGCGGGACAGGACGCTTACGAAACGTCCCAACGACGCTCCACTCCGACACAGCTGCCTGATCCATGTGGTGAGAAGCTAAGTGTCGGAAATCACCAAGAGGTTATTTGCACTTTTCATCTAGAACTGTGTGGTTGTTTTTGCCTGGCACATAAAAAAAAGGAAAAAGAAAACATTCACAGCAACCAGTCAGTGCATCCTATTAAAAGATTCTCGTTGCAGTGGTAGAAGAAGATTGTGAAGGCAAAAGTGAAGAGGTTAGAGGGCATCTACTGGGGTTTCTTTTCTTTTTTTGTGTGTGTGAATATCCAGGAAATCAACGAACCACTATGCCGCCACTGCATCGGTCTGTCTAAACAAAAAACCAGAAGATGAGCCCATACGTGTGCTTTCTAAACAAGACATGAAGACACATTGTCATGTGTTGGGGCTTCTGTGCATCCACCAATCTGCTGGCATCCTCCCTCGGAGCACGTTAGGTCGACTAAAGCACCGCCGAGCTGGTGTCTCTTTCCTTTCCTGCTCACAGCAGCCGAGCATCAAGAGCCAGTGTCAAAACACAGGACTCTCCAAATGCGCAAATAATCTCCTGTTCGTTTTGTGTTTGTTTAATTAAGAAAGGAAAAGAAGACCATTAATGCCGTCGGCCTTCGTTTCTTCAGTATACACAGTGTTAAGCGCAACATTTACTCGCGTAAGCACCACAACCTTTATTGTCCGTCGTCCGGCAAGCTTTTCGCTAGCCAGCTATTCGGTAATGAACTTACTTTCCACCTTCTTTAAAAATGAGCTCTTAAACTGAAGTATTATAACCGTCATGTTATCTGTTCCGTAGGCAGTCGGGGTTGACGCGAGACAAGCATTCATTAAACGCTCGCAAGCAAGGGATATATCACCGTGGTCTGCTACTTCGTTGCGCACGAATTCTACTGCCTTCTCGTTTGTCATCATGTCCCAAACTCCGTCGCACGCAATAATAACGAACTCATCATGAGGAGTCAACTCTGTATGAAATACATCTGGCATCACCGTTATCGCCATGTCCTCTGGTTTCAAGTTCATGTCCTTGAATGCGTAGTCGCCGAATGCGCGGCTGAGGGAGAGAACGCCGTTTACGCGGCCTGCTTGCACAAACCCGCCAGCTTTCATGATCCGTTCCCGCTCTGCAGGGTCGGTTGGTTTGTGATCCTCACTCAGCGCTATTGCCTCTCCATTGCGACACAATACTGCCCGGGAGTCGCCGGTGTTGGCGCAATAGAGGTGGTTCTGAACAATAAAGACGCAGTTTCCCGTGCACCCGCTAAGCTCGCTTGGCATTGCCTTGTGCAGCGCCACATCGCCGGAGCAAAACGCGTCTTTGATTGCTTTCTCAAAGTTTCCTTTTTTGAACGCGTCAGTTCCCGTGACCCAGTCTCGAATTCTCGCTGCACACGACTGTGCAAATTTGCTACCGCAGTGGCCATCAAAAACGGCGGCGATGGCTGCGTCTTCGTCTCGAATGACTCCGGGCATATTAGGTATGGAAAGATAAACGGCGTGTGCATCCTCCATGGTACTACGCCAACCCTGCATGCTGCTCGCGCCGGCGCGAATCTTGTCATCTTCCATCAGAATAGAGTACTTATCTCGGACAGGGGAAAGCAAAATAGCCTGCGTATTCTTCTTCAGAGCCATCAGACCTTTCATTGACATCTTGCCAACCACTGTCAGAAAAACGTATTTTTTTGTACTACAAAACAAGGATAGAAAGTCGGAAAAAAAAATTGTAAAGTCTTGATTGTTATCCCTGGCTTCAACTGAGATGTACAAGAATTCGAAAATATACAGTGTGTTTCCTTCCCTTTGGTGAACTTTAAGAAAAAAAGACAAGCTCTAAACTGTGGGAGACCGAAAAGACAGAGATGGAAAAAGAGGAAGTCGGAAAAGAGGAAGTCGAAAAAGAGCAAAACACACAAAAGCAGGGAAGATGGAGAAAGGGAGAAATCAATATTCGGGGCTCTGGTTGCCACCGACAGAAAAACATCTGTATCTGCGTTCGTTTTAATTGGAACTTTTAAAGCACCTCCTTTTCTCAACTTAAGTCGCAAGCACTTATGCAACTTGAGAACAGTGTGAGCTTGCAAACATGGTGTATGAACCAGCAAAAACTCAGCCTTCAGCTCACCAAGAAAACTCCATTTACTTAATTTGAAGACGCACACAGTCACCTAATTAATGAGACGGCAGTGGAGGCGTTAAAATTTCAAAACGGCCTACTGCTGCTTACTTAAAAGAAACACAGGTTAAGGGGAGAAAAGACGAAAGAGGAGAAGAGCTTTAAGCCTCATCTTGCGGATCATTTCTTGCCGCCCTTGGCCGCGTTGAACTTGAAGAAGATGATGTCGCCATCCTGGACCTCGTAGTTGCGGCCTTGCTGGTGCTGCTTGCCCTCATCGCGGCAAGCAGATTCGCTCTCCAGACGGTCAAAGTCAGCCCATTCGATCACTTCCGCACAGATGAAGCCTTTCTCCATGTCCGAATGAATCTTGCCAGCAGCTTGTGGTGCTTTGGTACCGCGCTGAATCGTCCAGCACTTCACCTCATCCGAACCAGCGGTGAAGTAATGAATTAGGTTGATGCAATTGTACGCTGTATTGATGATTTTGTGGATCTGCGACTTCGTCTTCTTCTCTTCGCAGAACTTGTCCACCTCCTCCTGTGACATGCTCACAAAGTTGCTCTCCAACTCCGCCGAAAAGGGGATCATCGGCTCACCGGTGTGCTCGTCAATCCAGTCCTTCAACTTCTTGAGCCACTTATTGCGCTGGCGCAGGAAGTCGTTCTCCGACATGTTCACCAAGAACATCGCTGGCTTCGCGGTCAGAAGCTGGAGAGTGTTCAGGATGTCAACCTCCTTGCCGTTCCATTGGCAGCAGCGGATCTGCTTCCCCTCTTCCAGAACTTCCTTCACCTTGGCCAAGACCTCCAAATCAGCCTTCTTCGTCTTATCGAGTCCACGGCTGACGATGGGCGTGTACTTGGCTATCAGACCGTCCACGATCTGCAGATCCTTCAGAACAAGTTCCGAAAAGATAATTTCGAGATCGCGAATCGGGTCCAGGTCACCCTCGACGTGAGTAATCTCCAACTCCTCAAAGACGCGAACCATGTGAATAATGCCATCGCACGCGCTGATGTTAGACAGAAAGTTGTTTCCCAGCCCCTCACCGTTGCTTGCACCGCGCACAAGACCAGCAATATCACAAATGTGAACCTGAGCTGGAACGACAGAGACAGGCTTGTGGATGCGCACCAGCTTGTCGAAACGCTCATCCGGGATGTTGATATCGGCGGTGTTGGGGTCGATCGTGCAGAAGGGACGATTTTCCGCTGGGACACCCTTCTTGGACAGCACGTTAAAGAAAGTTGACTTGCCCACGTTGGGAAGGCCGACAATACCAACCTTGAGGTTGCTGCCAGGGCGACCCAGCAGTACAGTCTTGGATTCCTCCTTATCTTGCTTCTTCGGCGGCATCGTGGCGGAATATAGTCGTAATAGGAAGTTGTTGCTTTAAAATCTTTCAAGGACGAGGAAAAAAAAAATATATATATAGCACAGGATGCAGAAAAAAGAAGAGAAGAAAGGGGTGAAAAGTAGAATTCAAATATAAAGAAAGGCATTGGTATAATTACGAACACTGAGCAGAAAAGACATTATCTGCATTATTCATTTCTTGCACCTGATCATCTCAGATTGATGTGCCAGAATAAACACTGAAAAAGAAAGCGATTATGAGCGCAGAACCAACCGATGAGACCGAGACTTTACTGTTTTCGGCTCAATAATAATTCCATACCTGAAAGCAAATGAAACATGATAAATAGAACAGCCGTGCACGTTCATGCGATGACGATATGCATCATAGCGTAATTCGTGTTTGCTGCTGTGGAGCAGGGCCCGGTTGTGATGCATCTTGGTGAGAATGCGCGCTACAGCAACCACAACGCTGACCTTTTATAAGTTCCCTGAGCTGCGCCAAGTCCATCTCCTTTTTCGCGATAACGAGTACGTTTTCCTCCAACGCCTCTCGAAGTACGGCGTCGTCGTCTTCCTCCTCCGTCACCCCGCTTGCAAGCGCGACCATGGAAGACATCCCACCACCTTCTTCATGGTCCTCTCCATTCTCCCGTTTGTTTCGTAAATAAGCAGCAATCTCTATGTTGCTTTTTCTTAGCAGCTCGATGTGCCTCTCCATCTCGTCAATCTCCAGATGCAAAAGCTCTAAATTCACAGTACCATCAGCTTGAGCAACTGTGCTGATAGCACTGGCACTCGGCGCTCGCTGGATCATGTACACCCCAGGAATGACCATGTCACCCCACTCTTCGTTGGACTGGCTCATTGAGAATTAGCAAAGAAAGGGGAAACCGTTTGTGTTTGCGAGTTGAGCTTTTCGGATTGACTTTGGAGTACTTGCTTCTCGACCTTATGTTTTACTTTTTGCTGTTTAGTTGCAGTGAAGTTGACAGTTCAATCATACAAAGGAAATTAGAGCGAGATGATGAATAAGCAGGGAAGCCCAGTGGCAAAAAAATCTGAACCGTACCACTTTAGAGATGTACATCGCAAAAGACCAGCATTGAATTCAGTTTTGTTCGATGGTTGCAGACCATTTGTTCAGTTGTTTTTCTTTTCTTTTTCCAAGTATCACCAGAACACCGGCGCAATAATAATAAAGTACATGGAGAAAAGGGCGTCTTGGTTTCACTGTTTGATAACAACTTCGACCACGTTATATCTGGCATCGACACATAATGGATAATGCCTCCAGCACATTTTCCAAAATTTGCTGATCTATTATGCGAGAAACACGCGTGTGTGAGTTTTTCCGTGACTTCTTCTTTCCAAGAAAAAGAGTAAGTGCCACGTGAAATTGAAAGAGAAAAGTTGTTTTCCACGTACTGAGTAGCTCTGCAAGCACCACATCGTTCGCACAGTGAACTCGCTTACCGTTGACAGAACGAGTATTGTCAGAAGAACAACATTGCTTTGTCACAGCATCCAGTGTTTTGGGGAGATTTTGATCGACCACTTTCACGTGTACTGATAGCAATATACCTGCCCTTGTATGCCTTGAGTCTATCCAGCACTTCGCAGCTCCCTGTTTGCAATTCGCTTGCACGGAGAAAATCCATTCGCTACTATTCTCATACACCTGCCAACCGAGATTCCGACTAGACTGGTCGACACCTTCACGTCCTAGCCGATCAACGCAGAACACGCTGCACTGCGCTAAAAAATCTTTTACTGCGTCGCTTGCAAACCGCTGCACAAAAAATATGTTAACGCGTGAAAGCTCCACTGCTTTCCGTAGTTGAATGTAATTGGTGCAGTCATCAAGTTGCCGAACACAACAGGCTCGCGCGTGCTTTCGATTTTTTGACATTTGTGAGCAGAAAATAAGCAACTTCCCCGTCATTCTTGACTGTAGAAGTAAAAACGACATCGACTTGGACGCCAGTCGATCTTTCGATAATTTGGCTGCTGAATGCTGCACAGTTGTTTGGGGGTCGTGTTCAAGTGCTTTTGGTGACGCCCGAAACCCGCTACTTTCAAGCGCTCCGCAACCCGTCAACAGTTCAGCATTGCTGGTCGAAAGCGAACGCTTTTGGGCATCGGCATTTGCTACGTCAGGCGCTGTGTCAGGCCTTCCTAAATAAAGTGAGGACAGCAAAAAACACAAATGAGGTTTCAACAGTTTGCAATCGTGTAGCAACTCCATTAGTTTATCGGCTCTAGAACGGAGCGCTTCACAAATCAACCAGCACGCTAAAAGCTGCTCATCCTTCGACGCAATTTCACAAACGACATTTTCCACTGCACCACAAAACGCAGCAGCAAGAGATGTGTTGCTGCATTGGAACACGAGTTTTCTGAGTGCGAGGAGAAACGATGGTGCGTCCCAGACGTAGGAGTCGGCCAGAGTGTAAAATACTTGCCGTCTGTGAAGGCGTAACCGACAAAAGCTGCGGAGAAGGCAGATTAGTCGTTCAAGGGTCATTTTTCCGAGCCTGAACAAAAGCTTTCAACTTCGACTCGTCAAAAGAGACAAAAAGAAAAGACGGTGAGAATCAAGAAACTGAAGTGAGAAGATTTAAACTGGCGCAGCAAGAATCAGCAGAATCGCTCAAGTCGCACAACCTCACTCAGGTGCAATACCTCGTGAGGCAGAGCAGCGGCATTTTCATCAAGATACTGGCGAAGCGCTGGACGGTTCGTCTTTTGATTTTCACGGAGCGGCCTCTCCGAACAGTACAAGAAGCGAAGAACTAGCACACACTACAACAAGAGGAAAACAAGATGAGACAACAGACATCCAAATCTCACAACAGAGATCTGAGACGCAGAACGACGGGGATCGATCCTCGGCGGGGTTCGGGTGGGGGCGCCGCCCCGGGCACCGCGCGGGCGGAAACCGGGGCGAAATCCCCTCGGGCGAGCAGCCCCAGGGGTTTGCCTTGGCGCTGGCCAACTTGCTGCACGTGGCGGCGACAGAAAGGTCACCCAAGAGTCTCAAGAACGGTGAGGGGGGAAGGCGATCCCCTTTCCAGTTTCCAACTGCCTGTAGGGAGCCGCAAGCAGCAGAAGGGAACACCGCAATAGGTAGAGCCCAACAACCGTGAGAGGGGGAGTGCATCTTGTTCTGGGATTCTCAGTTTGTCTTTGTAGCGGTACCAAACTGCGCTTGGGTATCCCACTGCGAAGGCAAGGGTGGCAAAGTGCGTTTTCGTGTTTCACTGATGGTAGATCTATTACTTGACGTATCTCCTTGTGCTGGCTGGCAATGAGAATGGTTTAGTTAACTTCAGCTGATTAAGTTTTCTGTGAGTTCTTACACCGGTGTTGTCAGAGGAGTTCTACCACGCTTTTAGTATCGTTTCGTTTTCTTAGGTTGCGAAGATTATCTTTTCTTCTCTACTAGTGCCGACTGCGAGAATTGCAAGCCGAGTAGAAAAACACTACTCGCTGTTTGCATGATCTACCAAGCGCAAGACCAGAAACGCAACCATAACGTTTCCACATGTCGTTTAACGTGGCTTTACATTCGTTTACTCATCTTCGAGGTGCGTATGTGATCTTCAGCACTTTTCTAGCTTGCTTTCTCTTCCTTCTCTTCAATCTCATGGTCTCATCTTACGTTCACAGCTAAGATCGTCACACACGACTAAAGAAAATGTTACATGAAGAGCAGATTGAGGAGGCGAACAACGCCGTTCTCGCTATCCGCAAAACGATTGACAAAGAGTACTACCCGTTGTACCATATTGCACCGTACGCAGGGTCGATGAACGCTCCATGTGGAATGATATACTTCAAAGGCTTGTATCACGTATTCTATCAGCACAACCCTTTTTCTGCTGACTGGGGCTTGATGCACTGGGGACACTCGACCAGCGAGGATATGGTGCATTGGCGCCACCATCCTATCGCCCTCGCTCCGGGTGATGACTGGGATCGGGACGGGTGCTTTTCCGGGTCGTCTGTGGTCTACGATGACAAGCTTTACGTATTCTACTCCGGCCACCACTGGCTCACAGATGTTGCAGACAACACTCAGATTTATCAGGTGCAGTGCCTCGCCGTTAGCGAGAACGGATTCAATTTTGAGAAACGAGGAATTGTAGTCAAGCCTCCTGCTGGGTTCTCGCATTTCCGCGACCCATACGTCTGGTTTCAAGACGGACGATGGTGGATGGTGTGCGGTGCACGCGACTCAAAAGATCAAGGGCAATTACTCCTCTACAGCACGGACGACTTAGAGGATTGGGATGACAGCACGTACATGATCCTGGCAAAATCGGAAGATCGTAATGTGTATATGTGGGAATGTCCAGGGTTTTTCCCTCTCCAGTGCCATCAGATACTGACACTTTCTCCACAAGGAATACAACCAGAGGACTACGCTTTTCGTAATCGCTATCAAACAGGACTGCTGATCGGGGCTTGGAAGCCTAACGAGATCTTCAACGTAACCTCAAAATTCAAAGAACTAGACTTAGGACACGATTTTTACGGCGCTCAGGTTTTTCTCGCCCGTGATGGGCGGCGAATTTTTATTGCGTGGCTGGATATGTGGGACACAAACATGCCAACGAAACGCCACCATTGGGCAGGTATGCAGAGTCTTCCCCGCGTGCTTCTTGTGGACGAGGCTACTGGAAAAATTCGCACTCCTCCCGTTAAAGAATTAGAAAGCATTCGTAGCAGCTACCAGTATCTCACGCCACAGGTAGTGCGTCGCAACTCGCAACTACGCTTACTTGCTGATTGCACTGCATACGAAGTTCGCATCTTGTTTGACATAGAAAAGAGTACGGCGGAAAAGTACGGACTGTGGCTTGGCAAAGGACTGGAAATCTTTGTCGATGCGCAGTGCAAGCGCCTTGTCGTCAACCGCCACTATCCCGATTATGTCATTAGTGGTTATCGCAGCTACGCGTTGCCTGCGCAAGCATCTTTATTGTTGCACATGTTCTTTGACCGTTCAAGTGTAGAGGTTTTTGTAAATGACGGTGAGGCAGTGCTGAGCACGCGTGTCTATCCTGCGCGCAAGGATCGTGTCCTTTCTATATTTGCTGTCAACGGCATTGCACATGTTAGCCGCGGCGACGTATGGGCACTTAATCAGGCCATCATGCAATGAACGTTATCGAATGCAAGCCAGTCTCTTGATTTGAAAGAACAACTATTCTCACATTCCGGATGGTAAAACAATAGCATGATGGTACTCGAGGGACGAAAGGCTATTTGCAACGAAAGGAGTACGCTGCTTTAAACACGTTATTGCGATGAGTAGAGTGTAGAAAATATGATGACCTCTTTTTTCTTTTTCTTTTTTCTTATTCTGGCAATACGCTGATCTACACAGACCCGTTTATACGTGTCTTTCCAAAGTCTTAAATGAAAAGCTTTCAACTCCTTCAAAATCTTGCTCCAAGGGCAAAGCACGGCAGCACAAAACCTATCAAGCGTGCTTGGCATTCTAGATACTTGGCGCGTATTAGGTGAAAAGGAGCAGCTATTCCAACCAAAATCTTCTGCTTTTCCTTGCTGTAATGAAGCGATGCATCTCTGTTTTATGACGCTTTAATTGTAAACGACTGGATTCAAATGCTGTGCATAAATGTATACCACGATTTTCGCCTGCGGAGCTACCTGCGTGCGGAGGGTTAATACAGTAGTGTTCCTGACACGGAGCTTCAAGTGTTTTGAGCGCGTACATGTGCCATTACATCTCAATACGTTCATTGCAGTCAATCAAATAACTTGACGCAACTCACCCGCGAGGTGAAACGCACTTACTCTCTTTTTTTTCTTCGTCCCAATCTCCAGAATTTCTTCAACTAATATTTGTAACTGGTATGCGGCTACAACTTTCTGTTTTTATCCACGTGCTGCGCTTCTGAGGTTGCTAAGCATTTTATTCATCGCAAAGAATTCGTAAAAATGCCCATCAACAGTTCGTTTGTTGCTTTCGAGAGAAACATCATCTCGGAGGACAACGTGTCCCAGTCGATGCGTCCGGCTCTCCAAAAAACGCTTCATTTACTTCCTCGCCACGACTCCAAAGTTAGCTACCAATATGAGCAAGAGGTTTTCCACTTCCTAGTTGAGAATGAGATCGTCTACGCTTGTACAACGTCAGGGCCATATGAGAATCGCGTTGTCTTTGGATTTCTCATTCAGGTGAAAGACGCTTTCAAGACGGCCTTCACTGGCAGTGTAGATCGCTATCCGCGACGTTCAGAATTGACATCAACAAGGTGCCAGTCGTTCTCCTTGGCTTTAGCCTCTTCCCGTAAGGTTTTCAATGAGAATCCGCAGGTCGACAAGATTGGGCGTATCAAGGATCAACTGAACACGACCCGCGAGGTGATGCTACAAAACCTAGACAGCATTTTGGAGAGAGGGGAGCGGATTGACAATCTCTGCGACCGGACGGAACTGTTGCAAGAAGAGGCACAAGGGTTTCACTCAAACGCGAGCACTCTGAAACGTGCAATTCTTATGCACAATATAAAAATTATTATTGGCGTTGTTATTTTTCTTGGTGTCCTTGCTCTTGTCATAGCTTTCTGTGTGTGTGGTATTGACTTCAAGAAGTGCTAGAGGAAGTTTGAGCTACTCACTACGCATGTACCCCAACTATAGTCTCTAGGTACGTTGCAATACATTTTTTTCCCCCATTCTTTCCGGCAAAAGAGGTGACAATGCCACAAGTCTTTGTTTCTGTTTTGTGTCAATTCGAAATTGTGTATGCTCTACTCAATGCTTCTTTTCTTCTCTGCTACAGAGAAGACAGAAAGATAAGGTTGGTGGTGGTTCTTGAATGTTGTTAGTTTTGCAACCAGGCAATGAGAAGAATGGTACAACGTCTTCTCATATTTTAATTCCACAATCGGTAAATTGTAGCGCATCTTCTCTCCTTCACTTTCTTCTTCCCAACATTCTTTTTCCTCTTCTTTTCTCCCCACTCGCCTTCCATGTATTGCTGTTCAACTGTAGGTGCTTGCTTAGTTTAGTTAAGTGTTTTAGTTTGAGCAAAGGTACGTCTTCCATCACTTTCCTTTTTTTTTCTGACGAAGGGTAGAAATGTCCGCTGCTGGTACGCTTTCCATTGACTCCCGCAAGTGGGTGGAAACGATTGAGGCATCCGGCGTCGAATGCCTTTGCTCTCCTGTCTCAGCCAAAAATGTCACGCATGTTCTTTCCACAGCCACAGTGCGCGGCCCGCAGAAGCAGCTCTGCGCAGCTGTGAGCAACTTCGTACCTGGGATGCTGGAGAACGCGCACGGCATTTCAATTTTGACTGCACTGGTGTGCTATGGTACTCCCGCAACAGTGGAGCTAATCTCCGGCAAGCTTATAGCTGTCGATGAGGGCGTCTGGTCATTTACTGCGGCGCCAAGCAAGGAGCTAACGAAGCCGCTGTCGCATCTGCTAGAACGACTTGTGTACCGCGAAGACTGTACCGGTAAATCTCGCAAAGCCCTTCTGGACAAGTTACAGTCTGCTGAGAATCAGGCCCTTTTCTCCTCGCTTTTCACCCTCCCGGCTGCTGCTCGGCTCATGGTTGTGGACCCTTCTGTTGCCCAGTCATTCGCGGCATCAGCGAATTCTCAAAAGACCTTCGCGGAATCCTGCCAAGATCCCGTGCACGTTGCAGGTGCAGAAGAATTCTGCCGCATCCTTTTGGAGACGCCGACAGACGTCGCAGTAGAATTCTTGTGGAAATCGCTGGCCGGAAGTCTTAAGCCTACTTCCAAGACGCATCCGCGCGAAAGCGTGCTTGCTGTGCTCGCTGCACGCGCACCAGTGTTACTTGTGAACAAGCTCGCCGGGGCGGTAGCACAGTGGTCGAACCTTCACGCACTATGCGAACGGGACGCCTACATGGAAATTGTGGCGCAGCTGTTGGAGCGAATGGATGATGAAAAGACGGGGAACAAGTTGGTGGCAGCCGTCGTTACTCAGAAAACTGACATTACAGATCGCGTGCAATCTCGCAAGGCTGCTCCGCACCACTTACTTGCTGCGCTCACGGCCAAACCGTACTATGCGAAAGCTCTTGAAAAGCAGCTGGGGGAGTCGCAGACGAAGCTGCTTACGGCGGCAAAGGTGCGCTTTGTAAATGCGACGCAGCCTAAGGCGGTGTCAACCCAACGGTCCATCTTGGAGAAGTTGACGAAGCTCAATGCTTCCGGCGCAGGGGCAAAGCGTGCGCGAGAGTAGATTTGAGTCTTGACCCACTTAACGCCTCTGCATAGCTTTCTTGTGGTAATTAATTTAACGATTAAGCAAAGAAGCACAACAACAACAGCAATCAACAGCAATCTGTTTTTTTCAATGGAAATTGAGGATTTTTGTAGGCGATTGTTTTGGCCATTTTTACAACAGCTTTCTCTCGTCTTTCTTCATTCCAGATAGCCTGCTCAAGCTGCCTTCTCAATACGTTAGCGTTGAACCGAAAAGTTTCGGCCCAAATCGTGGCAAAGCACCTTCGTTGCCCTATTGTAGTTTGACTTTTTCTTCTTCTCACGCACGTTCATATCTTTGCCTTGTCTTCTTCGTGTCATCTCTCCTTTGTCTCTTCTCTTTCTGAATTTCTTTTTTCTGTGTCCGAGCAAATTCTTTGCTAACCGTTTGCAGGAGGGTCAGTCTACACTTAGCTGCCTCTTCCTGTGCGTTTTTTTTTTCTGTTGCTGTTCGGTCTCAATCTAGTGTTTTTCTTTCGAGTACCCCGGCGCATTGTGCACATGAAACGTTTGCAAACAAGTTGCACCGTCTCTGCGGTGCCTTTGTGCGGAGCAGCACTGCATTGCAGTCGCCGCTGGAGCATGTTGCAGCACAGAACAAAAGGCTCACCATACATGAAGCACCTCGACCTTTACGCCCGCCGTGATCCGCAACTTGCGCCGTATCTGCTTCGAGAGGTGGATATTGAATACAAGCGCAAGTGTCGCAAAGTATCCTTTCTTGTCTGGGTTATTATTTTCACTGTGGCAGTTGCGTGGCAGACACGCATGCAAGGTGAAGCGCTGCACTTCATGCGCCTCTACGCGTCGTATGTGCGGGCAGAGCAGGATGCCAAGGATGAGGATAACATTCAGCGCCGTAAGGCGTTTGTAGGCGTGATGAATGCAGTAAAAACTGCCTTCGATCGAGACCAGCGGTGGACTCCTGCAGATGAGGCGAAGGCGCTCGAAGAGCTGCGTTGACAAAGTCACGCACTTGCAAGCACGTGTATGCGAGCAGGTTGATCTTCTGTGTGTGTGTGTGTGTGTGTCACGAACGTGCTTGCTTTCTGTTGCTTTATTGGTCACATATGTTAGGTGGATGCGCTGCAGCCGCTTTCATCTTAAACAAAATCGGAAGTATTATAGGATAAAACCACAGTAGCAAAAGAGAAGCATGACACAACAGACTGAAAAGAGGTCTCATGCTCATAACACTGACATGAAACGAAAAGGAAGCTGCTGTTCGTACGGTGAAATTTGGTCTGTCTCTCTTTATTGGAGACAATTATGGCTTATCCTTCGTTTTGCTCCTTCCTTACTACGATGCATCAACGTCTTCTTTCTTGAGGCCTTCCTACATTCCACATGGTAATCTTGTTTTCTTTCTCCGACTTTGACGCATTTTTTCCTATCTCCTACCTCATGAAAGAAAAAGCATTTGTCTACTGAACACAATCAATGCTCTACTTTTTAGGAATTGTGTTGCTGACGTTCACGTCCACCTTCATGGTGGCTGACACCGTGGCACATATCTGGCAAGCTCTTAACAAGAACCGCGTGGCCCTCCTCTCGTACGGGGTGTGGATGGCAGCTTTCACGCTTTCGGTGGTGGATGTAGATTGGCTGACCACTCTTGGGTTCGCACATGCGCTTTTTTTTATCGGATGCTGGATGTTTGCTCGACCGAGCGATACCCAGCTTTTGCCACAGTTAGACGATTACGTGCGGATTCCTTTCTCTGTGTACGTACCAGCGTATTTTGCTCTGTACTTCTTACAAAGCTGGTTGTGGTAGCTTGCGAAATGCATGTTTTCCTGTTTTTTTTTTGCCGAAGTGGCATACCAATGAGGATTCCTGACAATGTGTTTCAGAGTGTTTGTGGTGGCGTGAGCCGTGATGTGCGGCTTCTGATTTTGACAGAGATGGCGGCCACCTGGAGGAGTTTCCCCGTAGAGGGGTTAAACAAATCACCTAAAGAGACAATTGCGAAAGTGTGGCGTGCTGTCGCATTGATAGTTTATTATTATTGTTTATGATTACATAATCTCGGCTGGCTGCATTGGCGACGGCTACCATAACAATTCGTCCGCTACTATCGGTTTCACAATGTTGTATAATAAACGAAACCTGAAACAGCACGGATATTACAACAACTAAAGTTAAAAAAAAAATGGGAAAAGAATGAAGCAGCGACTTTGATGCCGACCGTGTTGGTGTGCTACACATTTATCCTCATGACAATCTGCTAAGAACCTTACCAGCGCTTCGCACTCTTGTCTGTATCCTGTTCTTTGTTCACTATCCTCGCTTCAGCAAGGTTCTCTTTTTGCAAATCTTTTATCTATTCATATTCGTTTATCTGCAGGAAAAAGCCCACTTCCATTAGTCTTTCGTGTAGCTTTAAATGCGCATATTCCAGAGCATATATTTATTCGTCTCTATTTAGTAATTCTCCTTCTCTATTTTTTGATACTGGGTTGTGATGGACCGTGGCGTTGCGGAAGCCATTCGGCAACAGTCTGAAGATCTTTCTGAGGAGCTTAAAGAGCTCGAGCAGTGGGAGGATGCAGTGAAAGCGAAAGAGGCTGCAAGAGCGCAGCGGAAGGCGACGCAGGCAGTGGAAGCTGCGACGGTCGTACCCCCTATTCGAGGAACAGTGCCGTCACTCAAGGAGGCTGTGCGTCAGCAGCAGACTTTGAACAACTCCTCCAGCAACTCGGCAAAGGCAGCGGCGGACCCCATTCAGGAGGCAAAAGAGAGAGGCAATGCCTTTTTTCAAGCTGGTCGCCTTCAGGAGGCCGTGGCGGCGTACACTGTTGGCATTGACCTCGACCCTGCCAGTTCTACTACGCACGTCCTTTACGCAAACCGTGCCATGTGCTATATAAAGATGGGCCAGTGGTCTGCGGCGGAAAAGGATGCGACAACGTGTGTGCAGATGAACACCGGCTACGCAAAGGCGTACTATCGTCGTGCCATAGCTCGCAAAAACCTCCACAAACTGAAAGAAGCCCGCACAGATTTGGAAGCGGTGCTGGCTCTCTCTCCCAAGGACGCCACCGCACAACAGGAGATGGTGGAGGTTACGAAAGCCATTCAAGCAGAGCGGGCTGCTGCGGCGGCGTCAGCGCCGGCGGCAAACAGCGCCAAGAAGCGCATTGTGATTGAAGAGGTGGACAGCGAGGATGACGAGGCTGTTGACGGTGCGGACTCCGTCCCTGCTTCCATCAAACCGGACATCTCTGCAGGAGAGCAGCAGTTGCGCCAGGCACGCATCGACGAGGACATGAAGAAGCTGGCTGCGGCACGGGCACAGCATGAATCACAGACGCGTCTTGAAGCGCAGCGCGAGGCAGCAGCACAAGCACAGCGCCAGCGGCGCAATCAGCGGGTTGAGATTATTGAAGAAGATGAAGAGGAGACGAGCAAGGAGGCATCGGCGGGTCCGCTTCCGACATCACCGCCGGCAAAGTCCACACCGGCACCACCGGCAGCACCTGTTCAACACACAAAAACAACAGCGGCCGCGGCACCTACTCCTGCTGCATCCCCTGTCGCACCACGTCCGCGGCCCGCCGTAACAAAGGAAAGCCTCACAACACCAAAGTCTTTTACGGAGTTTGAGCGGCGCTTTCGTGAGGTGGAACAGATGCCTGAGCTGCGCAATCATTACGTGAGTCTGCTGCACCCAGCTGGACTAAGCAAGCTTTTTGGGAGCAACATGACACCCGAAATCCTCGTAGGTGTGCTGGAATCAATAAAAACGTTCAATGGGACGACCGCGCTCCAATTTGCCAAAGGAATTTGTCAGGTGAACCGCGTGGAGGATATGACTCTCTTCTTCAACTCAAAGGAGAAGGCGGTGGTGCAAGAAGTTTTGGACTTGCTGAAGTCCAGTGGAGGCTCAGAAAAAGAAATTCAGTCTATTCAGCGCAAGCTGAAGCCTTTCTAAGCGGCAACGGCGCTTGTTAGGGAGAAGGTTGGAAACACCATTCGTTGTCTCAGCGTTTTTCTGCGAGAGAGGTCTTTTTTTAGTCCTGAGAGTTCCGGCGGTGCGCCTTGCACTGCCTCACGGAACAAATCAATGTATATAAGTAACAAAAGAGCCCCGGCTTTAAAGCGACTTTTTTCGTGTGAACTGAAGACACCAAATGGGGACCGAAGCCATACAGGTTTTCTATTTTCTAACCGAAATGTCAGTTTTGCTTAATGTCGTTGTTCTTTCTTCCTTTGGGCTTTTCATCCTCTCTCCGCTGTTGCTTGTTTGTGAGGCGGAAGGTTTTCTGTCCACCGGGTTTCGCGAATCATTCGGTTGGTAAAGATCAGCGGATTTCGAGAAAGGGGAGGGGGGAACGCAACAGGTCAAAGGGAGTCGTCTACGACTTATTGTTGCTATTCGTCGGTGTTTACTCTAACTAAAGGAGCTAAAATAAAAGAGGTCAACATAAAACCTTTCTTTTGGAAGCCTGAGTTTTTTCGCATATCACGGCCATTTCAGGAGCACAAGTCCACTTCACAGACACGCCGACTCTCTGGGGTTTTCTTCCGTGTGCGCTGAATTTTGTATCTGACGTTCTGCGTGTTCAATCTACGCGTTGCGTCAAAACGGAAGGGGAAGATAGCTTGTATCACTCTTTTTCCGGCGGTTCAAAAGCGCCGGCAGCCATGAACTTACATCTCGATTTCAAGAGAGGCAGCTTTCTAAAAGACTTTCCCAACACTCTTTTCCTCCTTTTCCCGTTCTCATTTTTTTTTTCCTCTTCGGAATCGTCCCATCTTACAACTGCTTTCTCAAAGGATCGTAACTTTCACTTTTCCCGCCTTGCTAATCTCGGCTTCTATTTCACGATTTAAAATCGAACTCCCTTCTACTATTAGTGTTATTGTTTTCATTGTTCTGTGCGTCACTACACGTCCTCACATAAAGTTGTCAAAACCGTTGTGGTTCCAGTGCATACACAGGTGTGGGATCTTTTCTTTGTAACAAGCGCGTTAGTTAGCCTTTCACTTTCGCCCCATTCACCTCTATTCAGCTTCAGACACACTTCTTGTCTGTACGGGTGAAGCAAAACTCGAAACGATGGTCAAGGAGACTGCGTACTATGACGCCCTCGGCGTGAGCCCGGATGCCGGCGAGGATGAGATCAAGCGCGCCTACCGCAGGCTTGCCCTCAAGTACCATCCTGATAAGAATACCGACCCCGGGGCGCAGGATAAGTTCAAGGAGGTGTCCGTCGCGTACGAGGTCCTCTCCGACCCCGAGAAGCGCAAGCGCTATGATCAGTTTGGCAAGGATGCCGCGGAGATGGAGGGCGGAGGTATGGACCCCAGCGACATTTTCGCCAGCTTCTTTGGTGGTGGTGGCCGTCCTCGTGGTGAGCCGAAGCCGAAGGACATTGTGCATGAGCTGCCGGTGCCGCTCGAGGCTTTCTACTGCGGCAAAAACATCAAGCTGGCTATCACCCGCGATCGCCTGTGCACGCAGTGTAATGGTACGGGGTCGAAGGTAGCAGGCGTGAGTGCGACGTGCAAGGATTGCGGCGGACGCGGTGTTCGCATGGTGACTCGTCAATTGCAGCCGGGCTTTATTCAGCAAATGCAAGTATCGTGTCCCACTTGCAAGGGCAAGGGAACGAATCTGAAAGAAGAGGACAAGTGCGTGGGCTGCCGTGGGCAGCAGATCCTCAAGGATAAGAAGATCTTCGAGGTTGTGGTGGAGAAGGGCATGCACCGCGGCGATAGCGTCACGTTCACCGGTGAAGGTGACCAGATCCCCGGCGTGAAGCTTTCTGGTGACATCATCATCATCCTGGATCAGAAACCGCATGCTTTCTTCACTCGCAAGGGCAACCACCTCCTCATGGAGCACACGATCTCCCTGGCGGAGGCTCTGACCGGCTTCTCCGTAAATATCACCCAGCTCGATGGCCGCAAGTTGCGAGTTTCCTCCACCCCAGGCAGAGTGGTGGACCCGTCCACCATGTACAGCGTCGACCGCGAAGGCATGCCCGTTGCGAAGACCGGTGGTATGGAGCGTGGTGATCTGATCATTCGTTTTCACGTTGTGTTTCCCAAGACGCTGGAAGGGGGTGCTGTCCCGGAACTGCGCAAAGTTCTCGGCTACCCACCGCAGCCGACCGTGGAAGCCGAGTCGGAGCCGCACACGTTGCAGGAGTCGCACATCGACTTTGAGAAGGAGGCACGCCGCAACGCGTATGATGACGAAGGCGATCAGCAGCCGCGCGTGCACACTGCCGGCTGCTCGCAGCAGTAGTGAATTACTTTTTTCTGTAATTTGTTGCTGACGAAGGCCACCGTGCTGGTTGCCTGAGCTAGCATGTGGTATCTGTTTTCGCTGTTTTTCTGCCTTTTCGGGTCAACGAGGCAGAAGAACGCATACACGCAACGCGATGGTTACAGTCTTGTTTAGAAGTCATAAAGAGGGTATGTGTGGCTGCTCTTCTTGACTTTCTTTCACTGCTCCTTTACCCACGAAAGGTACCTGAGAGAGAGAGGGGTAGAGAGTAGTTGGTCTGCGGGGTGGCGCTCGGCATGAGAGTGTGTTTTGCTGAGCAAAAGGGACGAAACGCTTCATTAAGATCGGTGTTAAGAGGGTAGCGAGTCGGTACCGCATGTTTCCGCTTTTTTGCCCCTGCTTCTCGCACTGACAATGTGCGCTTACTGGTCGATGCGCATGTGCGGGGAGTGGCCGCACCATCTTCGCTATCTCACTTTTGCGTTCCTTAGCATCGCTTTAGAAGCAGCTCGCCCCTTTTTTGTATTTCTCTTAAAAAAAATTCTTTTATTATTGTTATTCTAAAGTTTTTATTTTTAAACTATTTCTTTCGTGCTTTCGCCCCGTTTCTTGCTTTCTGTTCCTTCAGCCTGCCTTCGTCCTTTCTTTTCCCTTTGTTGCCGTGGGTTGCACCTAATGATGCGTTGATGTGTCTCCGCGTCGAAGTGGATGGCAAGGGCTAGGGGCGGGCAAAAAGCGAGATTTGAAGGTACGTGCGAAAGAAGCGCGTGTGAGCCTGTGCGCACACATGTGTATTGTGCTTAAGTTACAGTTGGTTGTCTTAACTAGGGCCGTGAAAATCAAAATAGAAGAATGGGAAGAAGAAAAAGACACTTTGGGGAAGCCACTTGTGAATGATCCTGAAAAGAGTACTTTCTAGCGTGCTTAAAGGCTGCCAAAGGTACAAAAGCGACTACAGCGTTACTGCAGCGGCGTGAGAATGTAATCGAGAGCTCTTTTTTGTGTGCTGTCATTGGCGCCGTTGAGACTACTTCACGTTGGCGTTACTAAACTAGTCGTGCTCACTCTTTGAATGAAGCGTGCAGGTCGAACCTCTACCCTCGTTGTGTTTCTCCCCCTTGCTCTGCTCTCTCAACGGAATTGCGATGGAACCATTTGTTTCCTTTTATGTGCCTGTATAATTGTCGCTCCACGAGTTAGCAACTTCACATACTTGAAGAAGAGGAGAGCATGAAATCTCAACGGAAAGACGTCCATCATGAACGCCATGTCATTTCGTCCGCTAGGGGGTTCCGTAGCGGCCATCTCGAACCGCTTAGTTTTTCACAACGGCTGCACCGTCCCGCAGCTTGGCTTTGGCACGTATCGAATGTCCGCTGATGAAGCCGCGGCTGCGGTGCCGTTTGCCCTATCGTGTGGATATCGCCACTTCGACTGCGCGAAGGCGTACAACAACGAGGCAGCAGTAGGCGCAGCCCTCTCACAGGCGGCGCGCAGCCACAATGTGCGTCGCGAGGAGCTGTTTATCACTTCTAAGCTGTGGCCTACGGACCAACATCCTGATCATGTCGAGACTGCCTGCCGCGCCAGTCTGGAAGCTTTACAGTTGGACTACCTAGACTTGTATTTGGTGCACTGGCCTGTGTGCATGCGTCACACCAAGGAGTGGAACAGCGAGGAGGACAAGTACCCCTCCGACTCCGATGGGCGTCTTGCCATCGACACGTCTGTTACCCTCCTCGACACTTGGCGTGCCATGGGCGAGCTCGTTCAGAAAGGCCTCGTCAAGTCCGTTGGACTCGCGAACTGCACGGCAGCGCAGATCGACGCTCTCGCTGAAGGCGCAAACGCAGCTCAGCTGCCTCACTTGCCTGTGCTAAATCAGATCGAGCTGCACCCTGGTTTGGTGGACGGAGTCTTGACAGCGTGCCACGGCACCCATCAAATACTAACAGGTGCCTATTGCCCTCTTGGTATGCCAACACGTTTTACGCCACCGGACTTTCAGCCGCTTATTGAAGACGAGACGCTCAAACGGTTGGGTGAACTCACCGGCTTCTCACCGGCACGAGTCCTTCTTAACTGGAACGTGGACCGCAACAACGTGGTCATCGTAAAGTCCACAAACAAAGACCATATCAAGTCAAACGCCAAAGCTGCCCGCTTCGCCTTGGAGGATCGATCTCGGGTCGTCCTAGACGGCTATCGATTTGCCTCCCGTAACTTCCGCGTGATGAACCCAACCCATTTCACAGTGGATAGATCGCCCTTTTTCGCCGCGGAGGACGCGCGATTACAAAAGGATATTGATACTCGTGGTGCGCACAAGAAGGCGGAGTGAGACCTACAACTTCGCCGAACTTGCATGATACTATTAGGTGAGCACCGAGGCGAAACAAACGCCTTTTTTTTGGCTGGAATGATGTTGTGTGGATTCACAGAACTTTTCTTCGAAAGCATGGATGAACAATCTTCAACATTAGCGTACGTTATTTGAAGCGCATAGCGATTGAGGCCAGTAAGAAGTAATATGTATGTAGTGTAATGCTGCTAACTCAGCGCCTTCACGATTAAACGCTGTGCCAAGAATGGAGTCTTCTTTTTGACTTTTTCTAAATGGCTAACTGGTTAATTCGCATCTGCAGAATCGTGGCTTAAACATGCTTGATTGGGGTGAAAACTGCGCACACGTCTTCTCATAGAGAAATACAATAAGAACACACAATTTGCAAAGCTTCAGGCCTCTACGCGTCTCTGCTTCACTTTCGACGGCCTTTTTCTCCTTCTCCTACCCTTACCCCTCTTTATTCTCTTTATTGACTTTTTTATTAATATTCTGGTTAACAAGCACATAAAACGCTGCTCGATTTCGCCCCCTTTCGCTGTCTTCTGCGTTTCCTCACTTCCCACCGCGTGCACAAATGAGTGGATGCAAGACTTCGATTAAAAAAGTGAAGGACGTGACGGAAGCAACTGCGTTGGTTCATGACTGGTTTGAACGAGAGAACAGGCCAGCCACTCCGCAGTCGCTAACTGACGCGTTGGGTAGTCGTGTTTCGAAAACGTGTATTCAGAAGATCCTTGACCAGCTGCACGCTGACAGCAAACTTTGTGTGAAAGACCTGAAAAAGATTCGGTTTTATTATCTGCGTATTGATGAACCAACCGCTCACCGTGATGGCGAAGGCAACGCGATTTGCGATGCACCAAATGTCACGACTGCAACAGGGGACGAAAAGGCAGACGCCTCTGCGGAGAGGGACGACTCCGCTGCCCTTTGTGACGTGAGCCTGGCGGCTTCTTCTCTGGCTGAAAAGTACTGCAGCCTAGCACGCTGGCGCGGGTGGCCGTCACAGGAAGAGCGGGCGGCGCAACAAGATGCACTGACAAGAGAAGTGCGACAGCTAGAGGCCGATGTCGAGGTGCTTCAGGGAGGACGCAAAGCCGACGAGAAGGGAGTTGCCGATGCGGAAACGCGTGCATCGCGGGTGCGTCGAGCTGTGTGCCGCTATCGCCGCGCTCGTCAATTCTGGACAGAACGCAAAGGTTGGGCAATGCGCCTTTTGGAGGCCACCGGCGGAGACGCGCATTCGCCTCAGCACATGGCCGCTTTGTTGGGCTGCACCACGGATGCTGATGTTGGTGTCTCGTTTGAGTCCACCGCTGTTGCACTACCCCGACAGATGCTGCGCGAGATCGGGCTGAACTAGCGCAAAAAAGAAAGAAAAATAGCTGTGTAGGTTATGGGCGTCAAGGAGTCGAATGTGAGCAGCTATTCATGTGATTTAAAACACTGCAGCATTTTTTATTTTCCGCCTCCTTGGCAACTGTGGGTGCATCTACTGATGCTGAATAAGCGTGCGCCTTTTTTTTTCACGTTTCAGCTGCTTTTCCCTCTGCTTACTTTTTTTCTTACTACTCCTTTCCACGTCTATGTGAAAGGTTCACTTGCCAAATACCAACAAGAAACAAATTCAAGATGTTAATAAGAGCTCAGCGTTAGTATGACGACCGCGCTACAAAATTATGGTGGGGGTAATGAAGCCTCTCCATGTTTGCAGAAGAAGTAAGTTTCCGTTCTCCTTCTTTCTATTTTCCCTTTCATTCGTGCTGTTCGTTTTCATTTAATAAAAAAGAACCGATAACGTATCGACAGATAGAAGCAAGCTGAACGCATTTCCTCACTACTGAAAGGCGCATTTTTATTTCATTAGTCTGCTTTGTTTTTCAGTTTCTTGCAACGGCCGCGGGAAAAATTCTACGTGTCAACAGTCATTTAGTGGAACACGAAATCGTAGATGGCTTCCTCAGAAAGCGGTGGTGATGGCGACGTGGCGCTGAGTGAAGGATTTGAAGAACTGAGGGAAAAGGTCAAAGGTCACTGGAATACGCAAGCTGAGGCCACGCTCCTGACCACACTGGAGCAGCTGCACACGCGTCTCATGACACGCACCGCTCAAACGTACCAAAAAGTTGAGGATCTCAGTGTTCGCACTGCCGCAACGCACGTGGCGCTGACAAACACGTTCAACTCGCTTAAGCTGCTCTCTCAACAGAAATTTGTGCAGCACCGCATCGCGATGGAAGACCTTCAACTGCGACGGGAGCGGCAGAAGCAAATGGAGGAAAGGTCTGACTCCGACCCTGAAGAAGGCGAAGAAGGGGAGGGAAGCGTGAGTCCCGCTGCGAGTCCCACCCTTCTCTCTGGTTACCAACAGCGAGCTAAAAAACAAGTCATCGTTCGACGCATGCACACCTACGTGGAGGCCTGCCGGGAGGCTCTTGTGGAGGAGGGTGTGCGGGTTCCGCTGTGCCCGGAGGATGTGGAAGAGCTCGCAGAGGAGAATCCCTACCGGCGCCGTCGATTGTGCGGCCTTTTTGGAACCGACGCTTTCTTGCGCGACGCAGAGATCGGCTGCGCTGGGAAACGCGGCGAGGAGTCAAATGGGAGAGCTCTCCCGGCCGCTTTGTCCACATCGGCACAACCTGCAAACTCCGTAGGCACAGCGGTGCCTTCTCTTCCGCCTGCCGCAACACCACCGTCTTCTTCGCCTGCATCCATCAGGGCGGCTGTGCCCTCTGCCCCCTCTCAAGGCGATCACAAAGGAGCCGCGCCAAACGCCGTGGCCGCGACGCCTGCGCAGACGACCAGTCGGCCAGCGGCGTTGGTGGTACCGCCTCCCGTAAAATCTGTTGTCCCGCCGCCGAAGCCTGCTGTGCCTCCTCCTGCGAAGGCGACGGCCATGCAGCGAGTTGCAGCGAAAGAAAAGCAACGGCAAGCGCTTTTCAGCTCATCTTCCTCCTCGGCCTCCTCCTCTGCGTCGCCCGCAACGTCACCACCGCCGCCGCCGGCGCGTGCATCACAAAAAGCTATCCCCCCCAAGAAGGTGAAGCCGAAGAAAACACCTCCGAGGCGAGCGGGAAAGAACCTGTTTGGCTCAAGCAGCAGTTCAGAAAGCGAAGTGGAGACGTCTTCCTCCTCTGACTCGTCTCCCCTCTCCTCCACCACCAACGAGAGTGTCCCGTCCGTCGCGGCAAAAGCGAAGCCAGAAGGCAAAGCGGTCGCATCTTCTCTTGTCCCGCCTCCGCCGCCGTCGGTCAAGCGGCCCCCTGTATCCCCGCCACTGCACTCCTCCCCGTCCTCTTCCGCACCCACGAACCAGGCAGCAGTGCCATCTCCCGACTCGCCCCTTCCTCCACCCCCGCTTCCACCTCCGGCGTCGGTGAGCCACGTTGCATCGGACTCAACGACAGCAGAACATGATGAGAACAAAGCCGCCTCCCCAAAGCCAATCGCTGCTGCCCAGTCATCTGCACCTGCGCCGCCTGTGCCGCTGCCGCAATCAGCCACTTCCTCTGCGCTCCCTCCCCCGCCTCTCGTGTTTGCTTTCGACGACGAAGCAGTGCCAACAGGAGTACCGCGGGCCGCGCCTGCCGCCGCCCCTCCGGCTCCTCTTGCGCCACAAAGCGGTGCCGCTGCCACATCACTTCCCATGCGCGGTGGCAAGCTGCTGAGCACTTCTTCTGATGAAGACGAATGAGGGAAGAGAAAGAGATGCTGAGGAAGAGCGTTTTGGCGGGAAAAGGGGTGTGAAGTTGCGACCGAAGTATTGTCGGCTTCTTGCTTTGGTTGCTAGTATATATCATCTTTTAACGGACCATCTGGTGTGCAAGGTCTCCGGTATACACGTAAAACGAGCTTCTATGCCCCTTCCCCCCAAAACAAACAAACAATTGCAGCTGAGTAAAGCGGAGGCGTTATGATTTGTTGCTGAATGTGAACGTACTGCCTCATTCAAATATGGATCTTGCCATCGATGGAACGAGGAGTACACGCATATTATCCTTAGCTCAGCAATCGTCTTGGAGCACTTTTTTTTGAAATGAAGGACAGGTACTCTCTGCCGTTTGCTTCCCTGTAGAAGGGGCGTGAGCATCTTCTACGGGCACCTGCTTCACCTTCATCTGTTTCCGTCTTTCTGCTCGTCTCACAGGTTCATGAGCTGATGTACGCACTGTAGAAAGAAGGAGCTACTTTATGCCGTGAGATCTACCAAAACGGAACATATATACAAGAAGGAATGGCGTGGAATGTTGAAGGCAAGATTGGCGTCGTCACCGGCGCGTCTTGTGCGCTGGGCCGAGAGATCACGCAGCGGTTGGCTGCTCATCATCGTATGAAGGTGGCGTGCGCTTCACGGAAAGCTTTTACGACAGCCCTCCCCACCGGCTGCACGGCATTCGTCGCAGATATCAGCCGCAGCGACGACTGTGATGCTCTGTTGTGCAACATCAAGGCGCAATTGGGTCCTGTGTCTCTCCTTATCAACTGCGCCGGTGTCACACTGAGCAAGATGCACATGCGGTGCACAGACGCGGACTACGACGCCATCATGAACACGAATCTGCGTGGTGCGCTGCAGGTCACGCGGGCGGCCTTGCGACACGGTGGGCTTCTTCAGACGCAGGACGGCTCTGTGTTGCACATCGGCTCTGTCGCTGGTGTGGTGGGCAACGAAGGCCAGGTGCTTTACAGTGCCTCGAAGGCCGCGCTGACGGGTGCGACCAAATCGTGGGCGAAGGAGTACGGCGTACGAAACCTGCGCTTTAACGTGGTGGCGCCGGGGCTGATTGAGGGAGAGGGCATGGCGGCTTCTTTGAGTTCGGAGCAGCGACAGCGGTGGCGCGATGCGTGTCCGCTCAAACGTCTGGCCACAGTCACGGAGGTGGCTGACATGGTTTTAGCAGTGGCGCTATGCCCGTACGTAAACGGTCAAACGATCTCCGTGGATGGCGGTCTTTCGTAAGACTGATTTAAAGGTGCATGGTGATGAGGGAGGACAATTCTATTCTTTTTTAAAAGCGCCAATCATCATCTGGGAGCTATACATGTTTCAGAACTCTGCACAGCAGTTTGATGGTTTAAAAAACGGAAAGAAGAGTATTAAACAGGTAACGTGGCCCACCGCTTTTGTTTAGCATGCAACCATGATCTTGTTGTGTTGCGGGAAAGCAAAGCTCATGCGGCACATACCTCTTTGTTTTTTTGGCTGTTGCGGGGTTGCTGCTCCTGTAAAGACAGTCTAAAACGACTTTGTTCGCGACGCCGCTTTTTTGCTTTCCTTTTTGCGACCTCAACCCCTTTCTCTACTTCTGTTGAAGAAAAACGGTTTTTTTTTTCTTCTGCGCGTCTTGACAATCGCTAAAGTTTTTGTTTTTCACCAAGGGAAAGTGTAGGGGAAAACGAGTAAAACATGTCATTGGATGCCGACTACGAGGTGGAGCGGTACTCATTTGCAAAGGGCTGCACGGTGGAGGTATGCCGCTGCACGCACCGCAGCTCCGGTGCGCGGCGGGCGGTAAAGATCTGCAACATCGACACCTTGGGCCTTCGTCGTGCTGCGATGGCGGTGGAAGAGGGTCAACTGGCAAAAAGCCTGCCTCAGGCTCCCCAGCTTGTGCGTGTCTTTGACGTTTACCAGGAGGAGGGCCGCGTCGCCATCGTGATGGAGCTGATGGAGCGTGGGTCCCTCTTCCAACGACTCAGCACACAGGGCCCAGTTCCAGAGGCGCTTGCCCGCGTATTGGCGCGGCATCTCTTCACCGGGCTCCTTGTACTGCACAGCAGCGGCGTCATGCACCGCGACATCAAGCCGGAAAACGTTTTTCTGCGTGGCACGCAAAGCTCACCCGCGGACGTTCTTTCCATCGGCGACTTTGGCTTCGCAACGCGGCAGATTCCGAGTGAGGACTTCGTCGGGTCGCCGCAGTACTCCGCACCGGAGTTGGCGCTCATCGGCCTTCAGCAAAACTCACACGCCCGCGCACCTGGCGGCCGTCCACTATATAACGAGAAGTGCGACATTTGGTCGGCTGGAGTGCTCGTGTTTGTCATGTTGAGCGGTCTGCTGCCTTTTGATGGGGCCACCCCCACAGACGTCTTCACAGCCGTCGTTCGCAATGCCGTGCCGTATGAAAAAGCAGCGCCAGGCAGAATCAGCGCGCAGGCTAAGGCGTTTATGCAGTTGACGATGTCTTCCAACCCATCGAAGAGGCCGTCAGCGAAAGAGGCACTGCGTCATCCGTGGCTAGTGAATTAACTCTGAGATGGCGGAGAGCATGCTGTGCCGCTCAGCTGTCACGAAACGCGCTGACGAAGACGACGAAGAGATAAGAAGAGGGCGGAGAACGCGGTGTGACAGTCGAATTTAAGTACTTCTTTCGTTCAGCAATTTTTTTGCTCACTAGCATTCAACTTGCTACCTTGTTGCTCTACACACTCACAGAAAGGACTAAGTGATCGTGGCACCAGTGTCCTTGTTTTCGATGTAAAGGGAAGTAAACGCATGCGCACGGATAATAGAGTTTTCAGAGTGCGTCATACCAAGCAATGACATCCTTTGAAGTGAGGAAGGCAGAATTGGGCACAATGGTGTCTGTCCTGCTTGTATTTCTGATGCATATCTTGAAACGGCAGCACGATATATATGCAGCGACACACATTCTGCTGCGTCTTTCATTCGGTGAACATTTTCTTCTCCCCCCTCATCTATTTTCTTTTCCACGCTGCAATACTGTTGCCCTCGTTTCTTTTTTCCCTCTCTCTACATACATTTACTCAAAGGGAGTCACCGTGAGGGCGCTAATTCATCACATCTATATCAATTTATTGCTTTTTTTTTCGTTAGCTCAGAGTGCTCACAGCTTCTCTGTTAGTCTCAACAACTCTGCGACTTCTTCGTTCTCTTTTTTTTTCTTGCCTTGTGGACGATTAGGAAAGAGAGTGGCGCTTGGGCGATCAATTTTTTCTTCCCCTCTTTCTCCACTTAACCGCTCACTCTCAAATTGCGTTGGGTATTTGTAGTGTGCGCGTGTTTGTTTCTGCGTGTTGATCTGCGTTGCTTTTCATCACCGCGTATTACCCATTTTTCTTGAACTCCTTCTACTTCACATTTTTTTTTCTGCTTTCGCTTTTGAAGACAATTTGCACCCCCTTTTTTCGTCATGGGCGTTGACACCATTCCCGCGTCTCCGGGCCACTTCAAGGACCGCTACTCGCTGGGCGAGCAGTTGGGCAAAGGCGCGTACGCTGTCGTTTTCCAGTGCACCCACCGTGAAACCCGCAACGTGTACGCCGTAAAAGTTGTGGACAAGTCGAAGGTGGGACCGAAGGACATCGATGACATCACGCACGAGATCAACGTAATGGGCCACATCGGCTACCACCCTCATGTCGTACAGATGATCGAGTACTTCTCGACGGAGCGCCACTTATACATCATTCTAGACCTGCTGACGGGTGGCATGTTGTTTGACCGCATTGTGCAACTGAAGCACTACAGCGAGAGCGACGCCTCTGTGTTGGTGCGCAACGTGCTCTCCGGCCTCGCCCACATCCACTCCAAGGGCATTATCCACCGTGACCTGAAGCCGGAAAATCTTCTGCTGCGCCACCAAGCCTCCGAGTCCAGCTCTCCCAATTCCCACCTCACTGATGTCTGCTTGGCAGACTTTGGTCTAGCGGGCTACGTGCCCAGCACGACGTGCTGCGGGTCGCCGTCCTACATCGCCCCTGAGGTGATCAATGTGGGCTACTACCGCACACGCAAGCAGCCGTACGACACGAAGTGCGACATCTGGTCCATGGGCGTTATCACCTACATTTTGCTGAGCGGCAAAATGCCTTTCCACGGCCGCAGCTTCAAGGAGACCTTCGAGTGTATCGTCAACAACCGCTGTTCTTTCAACGGCGAGGCTTGGAGCAACGTTTCGCTCGACGCCAGGAAGTTCGTTGACGCCTGCCTGACGCAGGACCCCGACGCCCGTCCCTCCGCCCAGGCTCTGCTGGCCCACCCGTGGGTGGCTGAGAGTCAATCGAACGAGCACCTTGAGGGCAGCCTCGAGTCTCTGAAGAAATTCAACGCTCAACAGAAGGTCCGCGCCGCTGTGCGTGTCTTCTGCTGGACGCAAAGCCTGTTGGGTCCGTTGGATTGGACGCCGCCGTTCATGCGCTACCTGCGCCAGACCGACAAGTTCTCGACCGTGCTCACCCATCAGTCTCAGACGGATCCGAAGAAGGTGCACACCATCGACTTCGGCAAGGCCCTCGACCACAACAAACCCGGCTGGCGGCTGCAGGACTGCTGCACGTGCCCCTCCGAGAAGGTGTGCCGCCACATCCAGAACGTGCACGAGTACCTCTTTGTGGGCAAACGCTCCATGGAGGTGTACCCGTTTATTGACGAGCTGCGTATGATGCGCGAGGAGGCGCAGGACGACCTCAACGAGAACCCCAAAGATGCAGACGCCAAGTCGCGCCTGAAGAAGGTGAACCACTCCATCGAGGCCGCCTGCGTCTTCTCGGACGAACTTGCCAAGGTTCCAGATGCGGAACTGAAGTCAAACATGATGCTCGACGGATCCAGCAACCTGCTCTTCCGCAAGTCGGGCGGCTCCAGCCGCGTCATCGGGTCGTGGAATGATAACGAGTGCAGAGTCGCACAGAATGCGGTGCACAAGATGGAGACCAAATTCCGCGTCGCCAAGACGGGCGGAGCTGCGCCAACCACTGTTTCACCAGAGAAGACAGACCCAAACACCACCCGGCCACAGATTTCTCCGGCCGCCGGTTCCAAGTCTTCTCCCAAGCCCGCTAAATCCCCCGCAACAAAAATTCCAATCCCCAAGCGCTGCTGATTCGAACGCACACGCCACAACACGAACGAAGCACCAGCCAAAGGAGGTACCGGCAGAGTCACGCAGTAGTAAAACCGTTGCGAGTTTTGTTGATCTAAAAGGCGCTCGAAAAGCAGTGCTTTGTGTGCGGCGTCGCAAAAAATGCCATCGTGACATTCCGCCTTTCTTTCTTTTCCGTCTCATTTTCTCCATTCCTTCAAACCCATCAAAGTCGTTTTTACGTCATGAACCTTGACTGTCTCTGTGCGCATATTCCTCGTATCAACGTTTCAACTCTTTTGTGTTGCCGTTGCTTTGAGATGAACGAGAAAGCAGCGGGTTTTTTTTCTTGACTGAGACGAGGTGACTCTCACCGATGGTAAACACCGAGACGACAGAGCTGCATCGAAAAGGCAAAGTAACGCACGCCCAGGTGCAATCTACGTTTTTTTCCTTTATTGTCCTGATTGCGTTCACCTCAAGTTGCGACAAGTGGTGAGTGTGAGGTCATCTTTTCATGCCTGTTCCCATCTGTGTTTATTTATCCTTTTTTTCTTGAACGCAATAGTGCTGTAATCCTCAGTCGCGCCAACAGGCGCTTTTTTGAATCTATTCAAAGCATCTTTATACATAGAAACCCAAAACGTCCGTTAGTGACAAGTTTTACTTATATGATGCATAGCGCGTAACCTGTTTCTCTCTCTTTTCTTGGTTGTAACAAGAGTGCGGTTTTCCTGAGCGTTTGCATGCTCTGTGCGGTAATGTTTCGAGGACAGATGGATGTTCATCCGTATAGGTCAACCAAAATGTGAACGTTTATGGATTTGTTTTTCTTTTTTCCGTGTACGAGCGACAAGGACAAAGCCTCTGATGTAGGAGGTGCTGTTGGGACTGTGGGCTGTTAAAGAAAAGTTGTCTCAGTTTCTCATCGTATTTTTTTTTTTGCATTTTGCATTTTTCTCATCTTTATCAATGCCCGCACTCCGGAACTGAAAGTAATCGAAAACAAAGCACCGTTATCGCAGTCGCAGACCTCATGGTCTCTCGCTCTCTCTCTCTCTCGACATCTCCTGTTAACTGGACGTGCTTGCCAACGTCTCAACGCCTGCTCCCATGTCTCCCTTTTCTTGCGGAGCAACGAAACGGCGAGAACACGGAGCTCCGATTTCCTGTCACAATGCCCTTTTTTTTTTTTGTAGCTGCACTCGTGTTGTGTCGACTTCAGTTCGTTTCCCTCTCTAGTAGAACGCTGAGCACAACAATCGGAAGTTTCTTTATCTACTACAAAACACCTCCCTTTGTGTTTCATTTTCTAAATAATATCATTTCTTTCTCTCTCCTTTCCTTTTCACTCTACCTGCTTTGAGTGCGCATTCGGCATCCGCCATCACTCTCACAAATCACGCACATAGCTTTACCTACCATGATTCGCTGCAACATCTGCCAGCGGGTGCCGCAGCACCCCGTCGTGTCTGTGAAATCGGGACACATCTTTGAGCGCACCCTTATTGAGACGTACATCGACGAGCACGGGCGCTGCCCTGTGACAGGACAGCCCTTGCGGAGGGAGGACCTAGTGCCGGTCCAAGGCGCCACTCCAGACACCACGGTGGCCTCCAGCGGCAGCCTCGGCGCCGCCTCTGTGCCCACGCTCTTGGAGCGTCTCCAGGCGGAGTGGGAGGGCGTCGCACTGGAGCAGTTCGCCTTGCGTCAGCAGGTCACCCAGATGCAGCTGGAGCTCGCCCACGCCCTGCAGCAGTACGATGCCGCCTGCCACGTCATCGCGAAGCTCAACAAGGAATTGACGGCGCTGCGCGGAGAGGACGGGGGCGCCGCGGGAGCCCACGACGACGCGCCGGCCGTTGACGTGCCGCCGGCGCTGCTGCGCGCGATGGACGAAGTCGAGGCGGCGGAGCGCAAAAGCCGCAAACAGCGCAAGTCCGCCGCCGCCGCCTTCCCGCAGAGCCTGGCCGAGGAGGCGCAGTGGACTCTCGATGCGTCGCACGCTTCCGCCGTGCGTGTGGCAGTATCAGCGGACGGCGCGAGCGTCTATGTCAGCCAAATCACGGGCGATCACGCGGTGGTGCGCTATGGCCTCGGCAGTCTCGCCGAAGAGTGCCGCGGCGTGGGTCACACGGCGGCTGTGCACACGATTGCGACGGCACCCGATGCCGCGCTGTCTGCCGCCGAGGACGGCACCGTGCGGGTGTGGAGGGCGAAAGGGGCGGCGCTGCACTGCGCCCACACGTTGCGGTACGCCGGCGGTGTGGCCGCGATGAGTCAACGCATGGTGGGCGGCGCCTATGCCCTATGCGGTGCACCGGACGGCAGTCTCTACTTGTCTGACGTGGAGCAAGGCGCTCACGTCGTGGTCACCGCACCCCTCGTACAGTCTTCAGGAGGACTGTCGTGTGTGGAGCTGCACCCCTACTCGTCCTTGGCGGTGGCGGCGACGCAGCCGGAGGACGTGCAGCTGTGGGATATGCGGGCGATGGCACCTAACACGATGATCGCCCTCCCGCAGAGCGGCGCCACAAAGCGCGTGCACGTCGCTTCTGCGTCGTTTAGCGCCGACTGCGTGTCGTTGGCCGCCGGCCTGTCGGATGGATCGACCTACGTGTGGGACCTCCGGCAGGTCTCGTCTCCCGTGGCGGTGTTGCCGCCAAACCCGCAGTCAATTCCCGCGACGGTGCGTTACTCCATGGATGGTCGCACTCTCGCTGTTGCCGGTGCTGGTCTTTCTCTCTACACCTCCTTCAACGCGTCATCTGCGAGTGCGGAGCCGACGTTGACGACCGGGGCGGCGAACGCTGCGATGTGCGACGTGTGCTGGACACCGAACGGCGTGGGCTTAGTGGGTGGGTCGGTGGACGGCGTTGTTCGTCTGTACTCTACGTCCGTGTAAAGCGCTTTTGTTTGAATGTGATGTCTTTTCTTTTGGGTGTATTTTGTGGAAGAGGAAGACGCGCTTTCAACATCGTTCTCGGAAATGCCTCGCTTCGTGGTGCGAGATCAGCAGCAGGAATGACGAACGGGGACGCTTTCTCGACAGCGGTGAGGCTGCCCGTACGTGTAATCGTACGTGCTGAAGATGACGCGGCCCGTGAAAGCGTGCGTGCTGCAGTTTGCAAGCACTAGTATCTTCGCAGACAAAACCAAGCATACTGTTGCTTCTCTTCTTTCCCTTTCTTTTTGTGTGTTTAATGGTTGCACGGAGCTGCGTGACGGGCAAATACGTAGTGAAAGCCTTGGCCGAAGATGGATGCTCATGGCACAAGCATTGTGGACCAAGACCGTAACTTTACACTTGCGTTGTAACACCTGCAACTTAAAGAAAGATAAGGTGTTGGAAGAATCAAAAGCGAAAAGTACAGCTTGTTTGTGCTCTTTTTGTTTTCTGTCGGAGACTAGAAAGAGGACTTTGAGTGCCGTTGACGTACCGACACCGTCTTCATCGCTCTCATCCAACGGACAGCGTCGCCTGGACTTTTGCTGCTCTCTTTTATCTCTTATATCTTTTCTTGTTGTTGTGCCGGATGCAAGCTAGCGGAGTCTGTGCAGCTAATCACCCTCGTGGAAACGACTCACTTTTCACTTATTACTTTTTTTCTTCTCTTTTCTTCTAAATTTTGCACATTTGTTGTCACGGTGCGTCCAAGGTTCTTGAACACTTATTCGTTTTCTTGGTGCGTGGAGACGCGGCTCACCACGAACAACTCACATGAAAGACGGGACAGAGACTCCACAGAAGTAGAAAGCGTATTACACGGATGCCTACATCTCCTACGTCTCCCGGCAGACGGGGATCGTACTTTCTCGGCTCCTCCACCTTCTCCGTGTATGAGGAAATGGCTCGACAGCTGCGTGAGGAGGGTTGGCGGCGCAAAAACGAAATGAACGTGGCCACTGCCGATCTCATCTTAGGCGATCGCTTTCAGATTCCGTACTCCCTTCTGCGAGGGGAGAGAATGGCGCTGTCCTCGCTGTTTCACGGCACGCGATGGATCAATTACTTCGAGGGTTCCCACCGACTGACGCTGAAGGCCTGCATGGTAAAGCTAATGAAAGAAACGGACACACAGTGGGCCAACTGGCTGCCTGAGTCGTACGCCATCGGCGGTGACCAGCTGAAGTGTGAAGACGAACGACAGGCGTTGCTCGAAGCCGTGGCAGCCCAGCCTGAGACCGTGTGGATTGTAAAGCCGAGCAGTGGGGCAAAGGGCCGTCGCATCGTTCTTCTGCACGCCGCGGACGTGCCGGAGTGGCTGGCGAGCCTGTCGGAATCTAGCAAAGCGATGTATGTGGTGCAGCGGTACGTGGAGCGCCCTCTGCTCCTCAGCCACAACCGCAAATTTGACATGCGTGTTTGGGTGCTGCTGATGAGTCCCTACAGCGTGTACGCCTACGCTCAAGCCAGCTGCCGAACCGCAAGTGCGTCGTACGACATGTCGGACATCCGCAATGTGCACGCTCATTTAACGAACCACTGTCTTCAAACGGACGCTGAACACTTTGGCGAATATGAAGAGGGCAATGAGATGTGGCTGCCGCAGCTGCAAGCATTTTTAACCTCCATAGGCAAGCCTCCCGACATCCTTGTGAGCACAATTTTGCCGCAGGTCTCGCAGCTCGTCACGCGCACGTTGGTGGCCATGATGCCAGAGATGGCTGTGCCGTCTACGGAATCCTACCGCTGCTTCCAGCTGTTCGGCTACGACATCATCCTGACGGAGGATCTCGAGGTGAAGCTGCTGGAGATCAACGGATCACCCGGCATCGCGGAGCGGCATTTGCAGCCTCTTGTGCGCAGCATGCGCGATATTTTAGGGGCCGACAGTAAGAGTAGCGCCGCTTCTACGCCTGTGGAGAACAACAAAAGTAACAGCAGCGTTGTGTCGCCGACGACATCGTCAAGGGATTGGCGCCTGGACGACGACGGGTTCGTGTTGCTGTGGAAAAAGGGCGACCCTGTGCCTCCCGGGCTGCTAGGTGTGAATTGAGCGGATTCATCTCCGGTTCACCGTACGCACCCGCACGTCTGCACGCTGCTCTTTTTATCGTTACTCCTTTCCGTTCGCGGGGTGCACATCAGCCGGGAAAGCAGCGGGTTTTTAACGAGCGCCCCCCTAAACCTTTTCCTCTCTCCCTGTCCTCGTTGGTGTCCAGCCGTTTGCTCCGTCGATGCACGAATCGAACAATTCGAATGGCTGACTTACCACCACTTCCATTTTGTATTCTCCCTGTCACGGCAATAAAGGTGATAATAACAGTAGTTCCACCTCTTCTTTCTCGTGTTTGACATCGCTGATACACGAATAGCACTGTTGGCACCCTCGACTTCGTATTTCTTTCTAGAGACTTGTTAGCCCGCGTCTTTCACCCACTTTCCTCCCCCACCCCCACCGCCACTTCTGTCCCCTTTGCTGCTGTTTATTTCCAACTTTCTCCAATCTGCGTTAACTCACACGTGACGACGTAATTCGAACGTCCGCGTGGGTACAACAGTCACGCACACACATCAGACACGCTTTGGGCGATCTTTGTTCCTTTCACCCTTTTAACTCGCTTAATAATTTAATGCCCGCGAAGCGCATCGCCCTCAAGCGGGCAGCAGAGCCGATTCAACCCGAGAAGGAATCCGCTGCGCCGTCTGCCGCACTCATTCCATCGACATCCGCCCCTGAACCGGAGACGCCGCCAAAGGTGATCATGTCGAAAGCCCAGCGCCGCAAACTGAAGAAGCCCCCGGTTGTAGTGACGACGGAGATGAAGGAGAAGGCTCGTGAGGAGAAGCGTGAGCAGCGCAAGTACCTCCGTATGATCAAGTCCAACGGTGCGCGGCGGAAAGTGGCAATATTTAACGCGAAGAGAGCGCGCGAAACGAATGCGAACGAGGAGGCGGTCAGCGCCTTTGATTCGGACTACCGCCCGCTGAAGAAGGGACGGCGCATGGAGTAAGCTCTTTCTTTCGCTCCGAAAGGACATCGCAAAGACACCGTCGTGCTGCACTTGGCAACCGACGCACTCACATTGCATTCTCCTCAACGTCTAGTTTTACGGGCTCACAGGTTTTCCCCCTTCACTCACGCCTTCTCTTTCGGAGAAGCTTTCAGGGTTCGGCTCGTACAGCTAGGTTTCTAATTGTGACTACTGAATTAACAAGAACAATGTCGTTCGATTGTTGTACTCACCCGAGTGTCTCTGTTGTCTCGGAAGCACGCACCATCACAGGGAGACTCTAACACCAGGGATACTACGTTGTGCACTCTGCTTCCTGTTCAGTATTTCGTACACAAGCGTTGCAAACTGCGCCTGCTCAGAAATGAGAGGTGGTTACGTAGGAAAAGCATAGTAGTTATCTAGAGAACGTACTCTCGCGCAAATGTCTCCTTCCGTGATTCATCAGAACGCTGGGCTTTCCTCCTCTCATTACCTCTTTCTTTCCTTCTCTACATCGTCTAACTTTATTTGTTTATTTACCTCTTTCTGCCTCCATTACACGCTCAAATTTCATTACAACTTAGTAGGTGTTCAGTTCTGACGCTCAGGACAGGGCACATTATTTTCTTTAGTGCTGCGTAAATATTTCTGCTTTGAAATTTGCAACGTGCGGCGAATCTATCAGTAGCCCCTGCGCTTTTGCTCTGTCGCATACACGCATAGCGCTTTGAGGTTCCATGTTTTTCGAGCGTTTTTTTTGTTGTTGTTTTCTCTTCTTTCTTTATGCGTCTGTGAGCGTAAAAACGAGACTTCTGCACGCACGCTTTTTGAACGTCTCCCGCAGCTGCTTCGTTTTCTCGCTCAGTTTTTTTTTTCTTTCCTCTCTGTACATAGAGCCCTTCCGCCCATTTGTGTGTGTTGCTTCGTGAATTGACAACAGAGAAGCACGCAACTGTGCGTTAGGTCGCTTTTTCTTTTCTTTTTTCAGTGCTTTGTTTTCGTCGGCAAGTTAACATTCTCTTTACTGGGAGTAGATTGGCAGGATCGTTGCGGCAGCAAGTCCCTTTCCTCTTTTTTTTTTCCCTGTAAACTCTGCAAGTCTCTTTCGATGAGTTCTTCTCCTAACTCCAACTGCCGTGGAGAGGGCTGCGATGACGATAAGCCGGACGCCCTGCGCGGGGTTGCGTCGAGTCAGCGCATGCGCGAGATGGAGGCGTTGTCGATGGAAACCCTGGCCATGCAGCGGTACGCCTACAACACACCGTCTAAGCTGCCACGTGGAGTCCGGCAGGCGGCACCCCCCACGCAGCACGGGTCGACCACAACGACGGGGCGTCGTCGACGCAGCGCAGATCCATGTTCTCCAGTCCACCCCGTGCGTGTGCCACGGACTATTACGCAGATGCTCGCACGCTCAGCGCGAGCGGCGGCGAAGGGGAAGGACGCTGTCAGCGGCGAGACCAAATCGACCACCACCGTCGCCAATGCCGCCGACTGCGCCGTGCACGAGCGTATCGGGCTTCTGTACCATCCGCTGGCCGCCATGCGCACCACGTTTGGCGAGTCAGAGATGGAGGCGCGTGGACGTCTTGCTGCCGGAAGCAACAGAGGAGGCGCTGCCGTCGTCCCCTCTGCGGAGCCGTCAATCACCTCTGCAAACTCTGCAGCGGACAAGGCGTACTTCGACCTCGCCGACTTCGATGCCGCCGAGGACGATCTCCACACCCCGGAGGAATGGGTCGCACTGGGGGGTGCAGAGGGCACTGCTGCCACGTCGCGCTTCTTCGATGCGGCGCACGGTGGCGGCGTGGTGTGGCGGGCCTGCCGGGTGACGGACTACGACGCGGCGCAGCGCCTCTTCTACGTGCGGTGGGCCGACGGTACCGGGCGGTGGACGCGCCGTCTCAATCTGCGCTTTGACGCCGAGGACGTGGCTCAGTGGGAGGACCGCGTGCGGCGCGCCGATGCCTACCGCACTGCCACGGAGGCGGCCATGCGGCAGGAGCTGTACCTGCAGTCCATTCCGGATGACTGCGTCACCCCGATCGACGACACGCAGGTGGAGCGGGTGCTGCGCTCCGTGGCCACGCGCTTCCCGGTGGCGCAGTTGCACGTCATTCAGCAAATGACGGAAGAGGCGGAGGCGTCGTACTACCGTGCTATGAAGATGGCCGTGCACACCTACAACATGCGAAGCGCCGCTGAGCAGCAGCGGCTGCAAGGAGCTGATCTCCCTCTCCCACCCATCCCGTCTCAGCCCTCTCTGCGAGGGCTGCGTGGGACCATTGACACGCCGGCGCCCAACTTCCAAGCCGCGCGCGCGTATCTCGCCGAGAACTGTTTCCAGGTGCACGCCCTCATTCAAGATACGCTGCACAGCGTCCATAACTTGTGGAGCAACTACAGCGGTTACCTTCTGTGCGCCATGAACTACGCCCCCTCCGCGCTGCCGCTGCAGCTGACCGTCTTCGTTGCCGGGCAGGAAGAGCACGCCACAACAGTGGGTGATCGTCTGCGGGGCGAGTGGTCGTCCACGGTGCAGTCGACGGTGCAAAACAACCTCGACGCCTACTTCAACTTTTACGAGGACAAGATGGAACGCTACATTGCCAGCCGCATGTTTCGCTTTGTGCAACTCGTCAACGTCATGATGAACACGCAACTGCGCGCGCTTGTCGTGCAGTCGTTGCAGTCGTACGCGGTTTACTTGGAGAGCTTCCGCGCGAAGGCCGACGTTGCGGAGGAGGAGACGGAAATTGCAGAGCTTCCTGAAGACGTGGCGGAGCAGGCCTACTGGGCAGAGCGTGTCGCTACACTGGAGGCGCATCAGTCAGCAGAGGTCGGCTCTCCGGCAGCGACAGCGGCGAGAGCGGTAGCAACGGGCAAATCAAAAGGTGCCACAGCGTCGTCGAAGAAGGCAGCGGACGAGGAGGCTCCCGCGGTGGAGCACCTTCTCTGGAGCGTCGGCACCTACCAGCCTGAGGTGCCCTACACACGGCGTGTGGTGAACCTCATCCAAAACGTAAACGGTCTGCGCCCTCTCTTTTTCACGAAGCTAACGGTGTCGACGAGGGTGGGAATTGTCTTCACGCCGGCTATCTCCGACATCGAGGACAGCGTGTTGGATGTGCTGGACCGCTGCCTCACGCACAGCGGCAAGGTGGCCGCCATGGGCGACCAGCTCTTCCCGCTCCTGGAGCTGGCGCCGCAGTACGTGCACATCGTCGCACCCGATGAGGCCGAGGTGGTCGAAGTGCGCGAGCGTGTTTTGGCGGTGCTGCAGAGCAACTGCGCCGCCCCGCAGCAGCTGTTGCAGATGTATAAAGAATTTGAGTACGCCGCTACCGTTGATGTGCAGGCGATGGTGGAGCACACACTCCGCTACGTGGACCAGCTGGAGGAGGTGGAGCTCCTGTTTGGGCGGCTCTTGCGCGACCGCCGTCGACTGACGGAGCGGACGCCGGACACGGTGAAGTTTGAGCTCTACAACGTGGACTGCCGCGGACTGAAGGAGGCGCTGAGCGCCAAGATGGCGCAGCTGCAGCTGGCCCTCTTAGAGGCAGTGGCGGCCAAACTGGCGGAGGAGTGTGCAGATGTGGTGGCGGCCTACAACGCGATTTACGAGCCGCTGGCGGTGGACCCCACCACGCCCGAGGAGCTGCAGACGATGCGCAGCACCCTCGACGGCGTCGCCGCGCGCGAGGCGGAGATTCAGCAAGTCTTTCAGCACGTCACGGCGGGCAACGAGCTGCTGCTGCGCTTCAGCTACTTGGTGCCACAGGAAGACTTTGTGCAGTATTGGGAGGCCTACGAATGGCCCAAGAAGTTGGCGCAGTTCGTTGAGGACCGCAACTTTCGTGCGAAGGAGTACCGGGCGGTGTTTATTCAGCAACTGCGCGAGAACTCCGAGCAGCTGTCGTACTCCATCATGCAGCTGGCCGCCAACGTGGAGGACTTCTCTCACCTCGGCGACGACGCGCGTGCCGATGAGTACTACGAGCGTGCTCGTGGCATCGACGCGGCCATTCAAGCCAGCAAAGCTTCCATCAGCCTCTACTCGAGTCACGAGGAGCTGTTCGGCATGACCGCCACGCAGTACCCCCAACTCAAGGAGATCCAGCAGCATTTTGAGCCGTACTTTGCGCTGTGGGAAATTGTGTGCCACTTTAACGCCGAGACGGAGCGCTGGATGAGCTCGAAGATCGTCTCCCTCACGCCGTCCGACGTTGATCAGAAGATGACGGACTGGATGAAGCGGGTGGCGGTGCTGTCCAAGAAGATTAAGGAGCCAGAGCCGAGCGAAGTCACGCGCCAGCTGCGGGCCAACATGGAACAGTTCAAGCCGCTCGTGCCGCTCCTTTACGCATTGCGCAGCCACTTGCAGGCAACTCACTGGCGCGCCATCTACCAGCAATGCGGCGTCCCGCGGGAGCAGCAGGGCTTCGGCCCAGGCGGCATCGACAACAACGATCAACGCGCCCTCTCCGAGTTTGTGCAGCTGGGCATGATGGAGCACCTGCCGCAGGTGGAGGCCATCGCCTCAGCCGCGCAGAAGTCGTACGAGCTAGAGACGGAGCTGATGAACATGGAGACGGAGTGGAAGCGGCTTGTGTTTGACATGGAGCCATACCAAGACACCTTCAAGCTGAAGGCCAACGACGCCATGCAACTCACCTTGGACGAGCACATCCTCAAGACGCAGTCTATGCTAGGCAAGCCGACGGTGCGGCAGACGCCAGCCCTGCAAGCCCGCGTGTCACAGTGGGAAAAGCAGCTGGACAACATTCAATGCACGATGGACGAGTGGTTCCGCTGCCAAGGTACGTGGGCCTACCTCGAGCCCATTTTCGTCTCTGCCGATATCTCGCGCAGTCTGCCAGCGGAGAAGAAGATGTTTGTTGACATCGACACAACGTGGCACGCCGTGATGGAGCGGACCCGATCGACGCCGCAGATTCTGACGCGCTGCCAAGACGAGACACTCTTCAAGGCGCTGACCAGCGCCAACGCAACCTTGGAAATCATTCTGCGGAAGCTTCAGCAGTTCCTCGAGACGAAGCGCATGGCCTTCCCGCGCTTCTACTTTATTTCCAATGAGGAGCTGTTACAGATCCTGTCCGATAGCCGCGACCCGTACCTCGTGCAGCCCTACCTGTGCAAGTGCTTCGAGGGCGTCAAGTCACTGACCTTTGCGGACCACCACGACATGGTGGGCATGGAGTCCGCTGAGGGAGAGCGGGTGCCGTTCACGCGCAAAGTCAACCCGAGCGACCACCACAACCAAGTGGAGTTGTGGCTGCAGGCGGTCGAGACGGTGATGAAGGATTCGGTTCGAGAACAATTGCGGCAGGCGATCCAAGAGTACTCCGAGCAGAAGCGCACCGACTTTATTCGTGCCTGGCCGGGTCAGGTGGTGCTTGCGGTGTGCTCGCTCTTCTGGACGATGGAGGCGACGCAGGCCATGGCGGAGAACGGCACGGGGGGACTCATCACCTACCATGAGAAGTGCGCTGCTCAGATGGACGACCTCATCGTGCTCGTGCGGGATAGCGGACTGGGTGTGGTGCAGCGCTTCACCCTGGAGGCGTTGGTGGTGATCGAGGTGCACTCGAAAGACATCATTCGTATGCTGGGCGAAAAAGGCGTCGACTCACCGACGAGCTTCGATTGGCTTTCGCAGCTGCGGTATTACTGGGACGAGGATCACCTCATAGTGCAACAGATCAACGCTTCGCTGCGCTACGGCTACGAGTACCTCGGCAACACTGGCCGTCTCGTCATCACGCCTCTGACAGATCGCTGCTACCGCACCCTGCTGGGGGCGTTGCACTTGAACTACGGTGGGGCACCCGAGGGCCCTGCCGGCACGGGTAAGACGGAAACCACGAAGGACCTTGCAAAGGCGCTGGGGAAGTACTGCGTCGTGTACAACTGCTCCGACCAGATCTCTGCAAAGGACATGGCGAAGCTGTTCAAAGGCCTCACCCAGGCCGGCGCCTGGGGCTGCTTCGATGAGTTCAACCGCATTGAGATTCAGGTGCTGTCTGTCATCGCGCAGCAGATCGCGACGATCCAGGAAGCCGTGATTCAGAAGCGGCCGGAGTTTGTCTTCGAGGGAGCTCAGATTCGCTTGGATCCCGGGTGCGCCATCTTCATCACCATGAACCCTGGCTACGCAGGACGCGCAGAGCTGCCGGACAACCTGAAGGCACTGTTCCGTCCTGTTGCTATGATGGTGCCAAACTACGCGATGATCGGCGAGATCCAGCTTTACTCGTACGGCTTCCTGCACGGCAAGGTGCTGTCTGAGAAGATCGTGGCGACGTACCGACTCTGTTCTGAGCAGCTCTCTTCACAGGACCACTACGACTACGGCATGCGTGCGGTGAAGACGGTGCTGACCGCTGCTGGACGGCTCAAGCGGACGTATCCGGACGAGGACGAGATGGTGCTCATGCTGCGCTCTATTCAGGACGTCAACCTCCCCAAGTTTCTCTCGCAGGACGTGGAGCTCTTCAAAGGCATCATCTCCGACCTCTTCCCTGGCGTGCAGCTCCCCGTGCCGGACTACGTGGACATGCATCAGGCGCTGCTCAGCGTGACGGCGCAGGACAACCTGCAGCTCACGCCGTACTTTGAGACGAAGGTGTACCAGACCTACGAGATGATTTGCGTGCGCCACGGTATGATGCTAGTGGGGTTTTCCTACGGCGGCAAAACAAAAGGTCTGCAATCCCTCGCAGCGGCGCTGGGTGTAATGGAGCAGGCGAACAAGTCGGAGCACCGTGCCCGCATGATCACCATCAACCCGAAGTCTGTCACGATGGCGCAGCTTTACGGCAAGGTTGAATTGTCAGGGGAATGGACGGACGGCATCTTGTCCAGCCGCTTCCGCCAGCTCGCGCAGGACACATCCGAGGACCGTGTGTGGCTGGTGCTGGACGGCCCGGTGGACGCGGTGTGGATTGAGAACATGAACACCGTGCTGGACGACAACAAGAAGCTGTGCCTGCAGAACGGCGACATCATTCCGATGTCAAAGCGCATGAACCTCGTCTTTGAGGTGCAGGATCTCGCCCACGCTTCACCGGCCACGGTGTCACGTTGCGGCATGGTGTACGTCGAACCGCAGTCGCTGGGGTGGGCGTGTCTGATGGACTCCTATCTGCACACGCTACCGCCGTACATGACGGAGGGCGAGGCTGGCGACCTCGCCGAGACGTTACGGTCGTTGGTGGACGCGGTAATGGCAGGCGCTCTCGAGGTTGCACGGAAGCACACCTCCTCGATTATCCCACAAAGCGCCAGCACTCTGGTAGCGAGCTGCATTAAATTGCTGTCCAGCTTTGTCGACAGCTTCGACGAAGAGGAGGCGCTGGAGAAGATTGGCGGAGATGCAAAGCAGCACGCGCGCAACATGGTGATGCGAGTGGAGGGCTGGTTCATCTTTTCGCTGGTGTGGTCCGTCGGTGGCTGCCTCGATCATAAGGACCGCGAGGTCTTTAGCGCCGCCCTGCATGAGCTGCTGGCAGAGGAGTCGGCAGCGCGGCACAAGTTCACGCTGCCGCTGCCTGACAAGGCAACGTCGTTCTTCGAGGTTCGCCTAGAGGACGGTGCAGAAGTGCGCTTCGTGAGCTGGCAGGACCTCGTACCGGAGCTGCGTATCCCCGAGGAGAGCGAGTACCAGGACATCATTGTGCCTACGATGGATACGGCAAAGTACTCCTTCCTGGTGCATCTCATGATACGCAACATGCATCCTGCCATGCTGGTTGGCGACACGGGCACCGGCAAGACGATTATGATGAAGGCACTCCTTCAGAGTCTGCCAAAGGACGGCTACTCGCTGAACACGATTCAGTTCTCTGCAAAAACCTCGGCAAACCACCTCCAGCGCCTCATCGACGGCAACTGCGAGAAGCGGCGCAAAGGCTTCTACGGCCCGCCCTTAAACAAAAAGATGGTCATCTTCATCGACGACACGAACCTGCCGCAGCTGGAAGAGTACGGCGCACAGCCGCCAGTGGAGCTGCTCCGGCAGTACCTCGACCACGGCGGGTGGTATCAGCACAGTAAGGACGGCATCGAGTTCCGCCACCTGGTGGATGCGCTGCTGCTGTGTGCGATGGGGCCGCCAGGTGGAGGCCGCAACGTCATTACGCAGCGTTTCAGCCGGCACTTCAACGTCTTCAGCGTGCCGTCCTTCGACGAAGCCACGTTGACCACCATCTTTGGTCGCTTGTCAGATTGGATTCTTTCGCGTGGCTTCCCGACAAGCTTGCGGTCGCTGAGTGGCCCGCTCGTTGCGGCTACCGTCGAGCTGTACACGACGCTGGTGGACAACTTGAAGCCGTCGCCGGAGAAGTCGCATTACACCTTCAATTTGCGTGATGTGAGCAAAGTGTTTCAAGGGATGGATATGGTCTACGCCCCTCGCATCAAGGACGAGCTGTGCCTCGCGCAGCTCTGGATGCATGAGGTGTCGCGCGCCTTCGCCGACCGCTTCACCGACGACATCGATACAGCGTGGTTCCACGAGCAGGCGAGTAAGACGTGCGTGCGCCACTTCAGGATGACTGTCCGCCCCACCAACGAGGACGGCAGCCCGCTTCTCTTCTCAACCCTCTCGAACGAGGAGGGGCAGTACGAGCGTATCACCGACGTCGCCGCCGCGCGCACGACGCTGGAGCAGAAGCAGGACCTCTACAACGTCGGCTCGCGCACCGGCGAGCTCAACCTTGTCGTCTTCAACTACGTGCTGGAGCACGTGGCACGCATCAGCCGAGTGTTGCTCCAGCCCGGCGGCCACTTGATGCTCATCGGCGTCGGCGGCAGCGGGCGACGCAGCTGTGCGCGACTTGCCGCCTACATCCAGGAGTGCGACTACCGCACCACCACACCAGCCAAGGACTACGACCACAGCGACTTCCTTGACGACGTCCGTCAGCTCCTCCTGCAGACGGGGCAGAAAGGCTACTCGACCGCCTTCGTGCTGGCCGACTCGCAGATCGTTTCGGAGACTTTCTTGGAGGACATCTGCAGCCTCTTAAACACCGGTGAGATTCCGGGGTTGTGGGACACGAAGCAGGACCGCGACGCCTACGAGACAGCCCTCACCTCCCTGCGCGACCTTGGCCGCGGCCTCGGCCGGCCGGACACGATTGAAGCCCTGCAGGCGCTTTTTGTGGAGCGCTGCCGCAAGCACCTCCACCTCGTCTTGTGCTTCTCGCCGCTCGGTTCGGTGCTGCGGGAGCGGCTGCGTAAGTTCCCATCGTTGGTGAACTGCTCCACCATCGACTGGTTTAGAGAGTGGCCCGAGGACGGCCTGCGCTCCGTCGCCGCCCGCTTCCTCGCTGACGTCGACCTGACAGAGACGGAGCGGACGTCGATTCGGGAGATGTTTGTGCAGTACCAACAGGAGGTGCGCGAGCTCGGACGGGTGTACTTTGCCGAAGCCCGCCAGCAGACCTACGTGACGCCCACCTCGTACCTGGATCTTCTCTCGACCTTTGGCCGCATGCTGGCGGAGCGGCGATCAGCACTGACGGCGCAGCGCGATCGCTACGTCAACGGCTTGCGTCAGCTGCGTAAGACGGAGGACCAGGTTGAGGTGATGCAGCAGGAACTCGCGCGCCTTCAGCCGGAGCTTGCAACGAAGCAGGCAGAGACAGACAAGCTCATTCAACAGGTAGAGGCAGAGAGCAAAATTGCCGAGGATCAGAAGGCGGTGGTGGCAGTGGACGAGGCAGCGGCGAACACGCAGGCGGCGGCCGCGAAGAAAATCAAGGATGCCTCGCAGGAGAAGGTGGACGAGGCACAGCCACTGGTGGAGCGGGCGGAGCGCGCGGTGCAGGACCTCGACCCCAAGGCGCTGCAAGAGGTGAAGGCGCTCAAGACGCCGCCGCAAGGCGTGAAGTTCGTCACTGAGGTGCTGTGCACGCTGCTGGGCGGTAACTTCAAGCCGAAGCCGGTGCGCGACCCACAAACAGGCAAGATGAGCACCCCGTACTGGGAGCACGCCAAACTGACGCTTCTGACAGGCGAATTCAAGAACATTCTACTCACCTCGTACCCCGACATTGTGGATAACGCGCCGGACTCGCAAATTGAGGAGGTGAGGAAAAAGATGCGAAATGACATGTTCAAGATGGAGAACATTCGCAAGACCTCGGTCGCGCTCATCGGCGTCGCCACTTACATTCAGGCTGTCGTGGAATACTACAAGCAGAACAAGGTCATCAAGCCCTTGCTCGCGCAGGCCGCGGCCGCACAGGCGGAGTACGATGAAGCGATGGTGGGTCTCAAAGCCAAGAAGGAGGAGCTGCGCATCATTACAGAAAAACTGCAGTCTCTGACGGACCACCTGGACAAGGTCAACAAAGACAAGCAGGTGCTGGAAGATCGCGTGAAGGACACTGACACGAAGCTGACACGAGCCAAGAAACTCATCGAGGGCCTCGGTGGCGAGAAGGCTCGCTTTGAACACGAGGCGGAGCGTTACGAGGAGGAGCTGAAGTACGTTGTGGGCAACGTCATCGTGAGCGCTGGTGTGGTGGCGTACATGGGACCGTTTCTGCACAAGTACCGTCTGCAGATGACGCAGCGGTGGCGCGACACGTGTGCGGCGCAGGGGTTGCGTGTGTCGGCTGACTACGCCTTTGCCAAGTTCTGCGGCAGCCCCATAGAAATTCAGGAATGGAAGCTGCAGCAGTTGCCTTCTGACCCCTTCTCCGTCGACAATGCTGTCATTCTCAGCAACTCAAGTCGCTGGCCGCTGCTCGTGGATCCACAGCAGCAGGCAAACACGTGGATCCGCAACCGCGAGCGCGACAACGAGCTCGTCGTCGTGCGTCTTTCAGAGAAGGACTACTTGCGCACCATCCGTCAGGCAATCATCGATGGCCGGCCCGTTCTGCTCGAAAACGTCGAGGAGACTCTTGACCCAATGCTGGAGAACCTTTTGCTGAGGCAGCTGACCAAAGAAGGCGGCATGTGGGTCATGCACCTTGGCGAGCCAGTGGAGTGGAACGAAAATTTCCGCTTCTACATGACCACGAAGCTGCCACGGCCGCATTATCTGCCGGAAGTGAGTGCGAAGGTGACACTGATCAACTTCCGCATTACGGAGCAAGGTCTGCAGGACCAACTGTTGCAGCGTGTGATGCTGACAGAGCGCCGCGAGGTGGAGGAAAAAAAGCAGGCATTGACACTGGAGGCCGCCGCGAACCAGGCGGGTCTGAAGGCCACGGAAGACCGCATTCTCGCCATTCTCTCCACGCAAGGCAACATCCTTGAGAGCGAGGAGGCTATTGAGGAGCTCGACAGCTCCAAGGAACAGAGCGACCGCATTGCGAAGCGGCAGGAGGAGATTGAGGCGATGGAGCGCATTAGTGATCGCACGCGCAACATGTTCATACCTGTTGCTCACCTCGGAGCCATTCTGTTCTTCTGCGTCACGGAGCTCGCCAACATCGATCCTATGTACCAAAACTCGCTGCAGTCCTACATGTCCATCTTCCAGGAGGCGTTGATGAACAGCGCCAAGTCGAGCGAGGTGGAAGAGCGCACCGAGGCCATCAACACCACCTTCAAGCGCAGTCTGTACCAGCGAATTTGCCGGTCCCTCTTCGCGCGAGATCAGCTGCTCTTCTCCTTCACCATGTCGCTCAAGATCTACGATGTGGACCCGACGCTGTTGCGCTGGGTGCTGATGGGCGACTTCGAGGAGGAAGACCACCACGCCGTGCCGAACCCTTTCACGTGACTGCCGGAGTTGATCTGGAAGCTGTTGCGCCGCGCGGCGACGCAGTTGGACGGCTTCGCTCACGTGACGGAGCTGGTGCAGCAGCATGCGATGTTCTTCATGGACTTCTACGAGTCTTCGAACCCGCTAGAGCTGGAGCTGCCCGGTGTGCTGAACGACATGTCGAGCATAGAGAAGCTGGTCGTGGTACGATGTCTGCGCATGGACAAAGTGGTGCCAGCCATCCGCAACTACGTCAGCGAGACGCTTGGCGAGTACTTTGTCGAGCCGCCGCTCTACGCGTTGGAGACGGTGGTGGACGAGCTCTCCTACGACCCTTCGGTGCCGATTATCCTCGTGCTCTCGCCCGGCGCAGACCCGAATGCGGAGCTGGACCGTGTCGCAGAGCTGCGAGGCATGGCGCAAAGCAAGCTGTTCAAGCTCTCGCGCGGCCAGGGCCAAGACGTGCCTGCCTGTGAGATGATGGATACCGGGACGAAGGAAGGACATTGGGTGTTTTTGCAAAACTGCCACCTCTACGCCGACTTCATGCCGCGTCTGTCGCGCATGATCGAGGACTACAGCGATGCGGCGGCCAAGGAGCGGCTGCACCGCAACTACCGCCTGTGGCTGACGTCGCTGCCCAGTGACGTTTTCCCGATTGCCATTTTGCAGAACGGCGTGAAACTGGTGCAGGAGCCGCCGAAAGGACTCAAGAGCAACCTGCTGCAGTCCTACCTGTCCGACCCGGTCGCGGATGCGGAGTTCTTCAACGGCGCCGACACGCCCCAGGTGTGGCAGAAGCTTTTGTTTGGCCTCTGTTTCTTTCATGCTGTTGTGCAGGAGCGGCGGCAGTACGGTCCCCTGGGGTGGAACCGGCCATATGAGTTCAACGACATGGACCGCCGCATCAGCGTGCGCCAGCTGCAGATGCTGCTGAATGAGAATGAGCTGGTCCCGTACGATGCGCTCCTCTACCTCATTGGCGAATGCAACTACGGCGGACGCGTCACGGACGACTGGGACCGTCGCTGCCTGATGGCTACCCTGGAAGTCTACCTTACACCGATGATGCTGGAGGATGACTACGTCTTCAGCGACGACGCGCTCGAGTACTTCTCGCCGCCGTACGGCGAATACGAGAGCTACGTGACGTACATCCAAAGCCTACCAGTGCAGCAGCCGCCCACCATCTTCGGCCTACATGAGAACGCCGACATCACCAAAGACGAGCGCGAAGCGCGTTTCTTGCTCGACGCTACGCTGACGACGCAGCCTCGTGACGCCCCGGCGGCGTCCTCCTCGTCCACGTCCACTAGCACCAAGGATGCTCAAAAGGACCCAAAGACAGCTGTGAAGGCCCTCGCGGCCGACGTGCTGCAGCGTCTGCCGCCCCTTTTTGACGTGGAGGCAATCCAGGCGCGGTACCCCATCGACTACTCCCAGTCTATGAACACGGTGCTGTTGCAAGAGGCCATCCGCTACAACCGCCTGCTTGCCGTGGTGCGCAAGTCCCTTGCAGAGGTGCAGGATGCCATCAGCGGCAAGGTGGTGATGAGCAGCGAGCTGGAGCAGGTGTTTCTCAGCATGTACGACGGCAAGGTACCACAGCTGTGGAAGAAACGTTCGTACCCCTCTCTCAAGCCGTTTGGCGCGTACGTGGCGGATCTGATTGCACGGCTGCAGTTCCTCCAGACGTGGTACGCGGAAGGCCCGCCGGCGATGTTCTGGCTGAGCGGCTTCTTCTTCACGCAGTCCTTCTTGACAGGTGTGATGCAGAACTACGCACGCAAGAACCACATTGAGATCGACAAACTGGTCTGGGACTTCACGGTGGAGACGGAGGCGGCGGAGACTTTCACCCATGGGCCGGAGGACGGCTGCTACGTGAACGGGCTCTACTTGGAGGGTGCGGGCTGGGCTAACGGCGTGCTTACCGAGAGCAAACCCAAGGAGCTCTTCATTTCGTTTCCTGTGATGAAGCTGGTGCCCTTGGTGCCGGACAACGCGATGCAGTGTCCTGTGTACGCCTGCCCATGCTACAAGACAACCGACCGAAAAGGCGTGCTCTCCACGACGGGACACTCCACAAACTTCATCCTCACCGTGAATCTCCCACGGGATCCGCAACAATCGGAGAACCACTGGGTGCTGCGTGGCACTGCACTCTTCACCCAGTTGGAATACTGAGTCTCGTTGTTCCTTTCTACCTTAACGATGGGTACGATGTAAATCAAAAGTACGATGTGCATTCTGTGTTTTCTTCTTCTCTACGATGTTCAACTGTTAACGAAATCAACTATTGTGAGTGTGCTTTTGTGGAGCTGCACGTTAGCGAGGCGGCTGGAGAGGTCACCAGTATTGTCGCGCGACTTGACGAAGATGCTTCCTTGTGAAGTGAAGAGTCTCTGCGCTCTATTTGTAAATCTACGTCACACTACCTGCATGAAGTAGTGAAGAGAAAGTGCGCAACTGAGTGTCCAGCTTTCTTCCCTGAGCTACCACGTCTTTTCGCATGACTGGAGAAACTGGGATGACCAGTGACTGCGGATTCTTCTTTTTATGTATGGCGCCATTCTCTTCTCTGTTTACTTTTATTGTTCTTGCCCTCTTGTTTTGTTCTCTCGTATCTCCGTCTGCACGTCACAGCAGTTCCAGTTCATTCCCTTTAATGATACCAGCGTGCATTCTTTGACCCTTAACACGCTGCTTTCGCGGCGTTTTTGGGCAATCTCGTTTGCGTGGTGTCTGGCGCTGGCCCCTCTTGATTTCTCCCGTTTCCGTTTCGGCGCCGAGCGTCCGCGTCTTGATGGTGGCCGGGCCCTGCCCCCAGGGCCCCGCGCCAAGCCGAACTGGTCCTGGCATCACCGCCGGGCCTGGAGAGGCGCGTTGGCGGCGCCATATTCGTATTCCCTGACCGCCTTTCCCGCTCTCATCTCCTTTGAATCTCGAATTCATGCATAAGTTCTTTGTTGACCTGTTTGCTCAGTATCATTGTATGACCTGTGTTCTTTACTGCGAAGCATACAAACGCGTGAGCATATACGTGGTGGCGTCCCATGCACAACCAATCGCCGTGTGCTCTCTCTGTGTGAGTGTTGTTACGAAGTTGGAGTATTGTGAAATTCGCTGAACGCAATGCAGCTGACACAGCTGTACGCGAGTGCGGACGCCTTCGTGTTTCCGTCAAAGGCGGAAGGCTGGGGGGCTGCCGGCGCTGCTCACGGAGTGAAGTGGACTGCGCGGCTTCATCACACCGGACACGTGCTTCCGCATCCCGCTGGACGGGCTGGAGGAGATCGCACCCGACTCACCGTACGGGTACAAGGAGGGGATGAAGATGGCTATGCCGAGCCGAGAGAAGACGGCGGAGCTGATGCGGTATGTGCTGCAACACCCGGAGCACGCGCGGCGTGTGGGGCAGCGGGCACGTGCGCTGATGATGCGTGAGATGAGCGAGGAGGCGGTGGCGGACACGATGGACAGTCTTTTCATTGAAACCGTGACCAAGCGCCTCAAACGTCTCAGACGTCATAAACGGCGGTAACGCACAAGAAGAAACTCGAAAAGAAATGGTCTTCTGCCCTCATGTCGTACAGAGAAAGAAATGTAGGAGTTGTGAAGCAGGACGAGCAGTTCAACTGGGAGCCACAGCAAATGGCTACAGGGTCAATCGCCATATCGTTCTGATAAAGATCGCCACTACACCGCGTACGAAGCTTCCCAATCAGACACGGCCAGTAATGTGACGTACACTTGTTAGAGGATGTTCAGCTAGGCATCGTGTTCGTGCTTCACCCCCTGCAGTTTCCACCTCCGTTTATCTTCCGTCTTCATCATTTTCTCCATCACCACCAACTCTCGTGTGCACTGCGGTAAACCTCAATAGTGATAAACACCATTCTTCACCACTATTAAGTTCGCCCCTTCGTAGGTCTACGTATCACCTCGCTTGCATAGCTATTGAAGAAAAACGGATTATTTCTCTTTCTTCCTCTGAGTCGAACGGTGCTGCTTGAAGTGTCCGTTTGACGAGCACGCCGAGCGAGGCGGAGGTTAGCGGGTGATAGCACTTTTCTCCTTTACTTATTGCTCTTACCCTTAGTACGACTTAAACCAAATTCCTTCCTTCCTTGTCGACCCACCGCTTTCCGTACGCGAGCCCGTCTGAAGAATGGAAAAGTCACCCCACAGATTTCCCAGACCTCGTGGCGGGCCTCCACACTACACTTCCCGATACGCCTAAGGATGATGGCGCTCACGTAGGACTGTCGCGTCTGCAGGAGAACGACCTCACGCGGGTGATACGGCCACCGAAGGTGCAGAACGAGTTGTCTTGTTGCGGAAATAAGAATGTACCTTGTGTTTCAAGGTGAGTCGGTGAGTGGTGTTGGAACGTCATCGCTGCTGGAGAACGTCTTGGCGCTAGCGGAACAATTCAGATTGCCGCTGCGGCTTGATCCGCTGACGCCCCTCTCCGACAGTTTGAGAGAGCGAGCTGAAGCGCTGCACGTTTGGCTGCCGCCGTCGATGGTGCGCAAGCTCCGCAGTGCGGCCAGCGGTGAAGAAAACACGCCTCCCGTGCAATAGAAGCTGCGAGACCTTCCCTTGTGCTCAGGCAGCGTTTCCCAACTTGAGAGAACTATCCATTCAGTTCAAGGAGCTTGATGCTGCATACGTTACTACTGGTGTGAAACGAGTCGTATGTGCGGCAGCAAAGCTGTCGGTCAGCGAACTTGCGGAGTGCGGTTGCCTGCAACTGGATGAGGTGTCTGTTATGTCTGGGTCGCAGCGCTTGCGTTGTCTGATTATCAACAACTGTGGACCGGGATTACTTGCAGATCCAGCGAGCCATCCGCTGCTCCCTCTTCTCTATGATTCTGGCAACACAGAGTTGCGTGACCTCTCTGGCCCTTGCTGGTGCGCCACGCTTTCAGGTCCTCAGCGTAAGCTGATGTGAACAAGACGGTCCCGATGGCCTTGACAACTGCCTGTAACTGAGAGAGCTCGATGTGTCTCCGCAGTCTAGCTAGCGCGCTTTGTCTCAAAACGGTATTGGCGTGGGATGGTGACTTGCGGACACCTTCTTTAAAATGTAGGCGGTGATTCCAAATCTAACGGGATGAAGTAACTGTAAACAGCACCATGATGAGAGGAAGGGGAGAAGAAGAATAGAAAAGGGAGGTGTGCGTGAAACGTTCTGGAGAAAGACGACGAAGCAAAGCAGAGGTGTCAACGGTGAAACAATCAGAACAAAACAATACATGACAAGAAGACAACGACAGAGAGCTGAACATTTCTTCTTAAACTGAAAGAAAATGAAACCGGAAAGATTCGTGAAGTTTTTGATGTTTTTATTCTTCGTCATGCAGCATTGCGTCGCCGGCGTGCTGACAGAACAGCCCGAAAGCAACCACAGGGTGCCTGCGGTGGTGCTGACCACGTACGGCTCGGCGCCATTGCCAATGGTGGAGGAGCAGCTGCGCTCTGTTTTTGCCCCCGTGTGGCCGGGGCTGCGTCTCGTGAAGAGACACCGTCCACAATGATGGCGCTACAGCAACGACTGCCGCCTCCACATGACCGCAAACTGTATGGGGAGGTTTTGAACGTTCTTACGGTCGTCCGCCACGACTTGCCTGGGTGTCTGCGCCTCCTGCTGTTCATCGCGAAGCAGCAGAAACCGCTGCAGCACTATTCCCTCGAGAAGATGCGGAAGGCGCTGACGAACCACCGCATCTCGCGCAAGAACCCCTTCTGCGAGGAGATTGCACCGGCGCCGTGGAAGAGGCAGAGGGCGTGGCCGTGGTGGTGTGTGGCGGGCTCTTCGGGTGCCGGACGCGGCGCTGTCTACCGCGCCGAGGGACCAAAGAAGGTGCGGCAGCTGCCCACCAAGAAGAAGCAACTGCAGCAGCAACGGCGGCTTCCTGCTGAACGGCGGAGTGTTGCAACGCCTCGTGCTCAACCGTCGGCACACCGCGCCAGCTCGGACGTGATGAGCCCTCCACTTTCTCGGCGACCGCACGGCAACAGGCAGAGGAGACGAGCAGGGGCATGAAAGGGGTACGAAAGGGAGCTGACTCTTGTCGGGAGTTTCTTGCGGGACAGGCGGACGCCATCACGATAGCGGAGGTGAACAGAGCACCCGCGCGAAGGAGAGGCATGACACGGCGAGGGCTGCGACAGTTGCGGCGATGTCTGTGCCAGATGTGGTGGTGATCGACTCGAGGGCTTGGCCACGCCGAACGCAACACGGCCCTCTGCACGGCATGAGAGCCGGACCCTTTACTGAGCGAGCAGGCACGCGAGCAAGTCGTGGCGGGCGACCATCAGAACGTTAGAAACGTGCCCGAAACGGTTTGCAGTCATGTAGAGGCTACAGTCGTTGCTGCAGCGCTCTTGACGTGGACGGTGTCCCTTCACGAGACGCAGCCTCGGCCACACGCGGGCAAAAACAGAGCGCAGCTGCTCCACCACCGGCGATGGTGCCGAGGCGTACGTGGGCAGCACCACCGCTGACTCCTTGTTGTTACTGGGTTGTGGTGACAGCATATCGGCGACGCAGCGTCTCACAACAAAGATTGGAAGACAGAGGACGCCTTGACGGTGCACCTGCTCTGCGGGAACGACTTGGAGTTCTCGGCTGTCAGAAGCACCGTCGTATCTGTTTCGATTTTTCTTGCTTTCGCGCTTTGTCGTTGCATTCCTCTCTCTCTTCCGTTTTCCAGTCGCATCTTCTTTCCTTTTACAGTTCCATTAAAGTCGTCTTTTTCTTGTTCGATCTTGTATATCTTTTTCTTCTGCTTCCCTTCGACTCGAACACCAATGCCTAATGCCAATCATCATCATTTCATTCTGCCTCAGCCACGTCTTTCATTTCAGACGCTTAATTCTTGTTCTTCTTTTCGGGCTTTGGTAAACCTGTCGTTTTAACGTGCTCTCTCGCTATATGGACGAACATCAGCACCATGTTCATAGTGAAGGCACAAGGGGGTGTTGGTGAGCACATCGTACTCGGTGCGCTACAAGCGCAGGCCAAAACCCCAAACGCATTCGCACTCCCCTGCGTCGAAGCCACCATGCCATGACGCGCTGCGGCGGCCTCGCGCGAAAGGGCGTCCGAGTACGCCAGCGAGAAGGGACTGAACGGCCACCAGTGCGGCATGTGGCGTCACGTCTGCTCATCTGCGGGCGCTGAGCAACGCCGATCGTGCCCCTCCGTTCTCCCTCATTGTCGCAGCACCGACTTCAACCAGCGTCAGCCGGACGTTTCACACGAAGCATCAAATGCAGCAGGCACAAAGAGTAGCACCTCGCCACACACGAGAGGCGTCAACAAGAAGCCACGAGTCCCGTTGGCGGCTGCAAGCATCAGCGGCACAGCGTCCACGTCCAGCAGTCTCGCCGTCTTTCGATGCGGCAGCCACTCAACACTACCCGCCGTCAGCGCCTCATAGTCCTCCGTGTGCGCCAGCAGCAGAGAGATGCGGAGTCGAACGAGGGAGCCGCCGCCTGCACAGCAACATCGACAGGGCAGAGTTGCCCGGTACACTGCCCACACCGTCCCGCGCGTGCCCGCGCCGAAGTCCGCCACGGAGCCGCGGACGCGAAAGCCGTGCCCCACCACTTCTCCAGAGGGCCGTCGGGCACTTCCTCCTTCCTCCTCCCTGCGATTCGCCTCGACGGCCCGTTGCACCCCATGCCCTGCACACCGGCGAAGGAGGGAAGCCAGAAGCGGGGTTCGGGTGCGGCGAGGGACGGGGGGGGGGGGGGTCGGGGGTGCACAGTAACCGCAGAAGTATCCGCACAAACGCAACGTGGCGTGGGCAGAACGGCGTGGGTGTCGCTCAAAGAATGGGAAGCAAAGGGCAGGACGTCGCACAGCAACGCAAAAGCAAAGCGCCGCACCTCCGCCAGCCCCGAAGGTGGCAGCACAAGCAAAGCCAGCTGCCGCCGTCATTTACCGGAACGCGCAAACGCACCTGCGCGTCCTAAGGTGGGACGGTCCGCTTCATGTTGCAGCGGAGAGAAGAGAGGAAGGAAGGAAGGAGAGAGAGGAGGGGAGAGTGAACGGCGCCATCATTCAAAACGCGAGCGCACCCGGTATCCAGCGCAGGGAAACCCGCCCAGCACACCATCATCCCTTCGAGCCGCGTCGCCACAAACGGCGCACCGTGGATGGTGCAGAGAGGGCAGCCAGCGGCACCCTCCATCCACACCACGCCGCACCGCGACACGCTCGTGATGCCGTCGCGGCTCCGACGGCACAGCACGGTCGAGGGACACAAGGCACAGGCGCAGCGGAGTGCGCCGACGGGCGTCGTGTCGGCAGTGAGAAATTCGGAAGGGAGAAGGAACCTACGTGTGGAACCATATAGAAATAGAAATAGAAATAGAAAGTCTCGAAAACAAGAGGGGGGCGGAGGGCCAACACACGCGCACGGGAAGCCAGCGGCCCAGCGCAGACGAGCAGCCAGTCGTGAGAGACGCAACGCTCGCTCCGCAAGCCGCGAAAGTGAAGACAAGCACAGGTGCACCGACGCGCCTGTGCGACGCGCATGAGGAGCCCTCGCCCACACCCCCGCCACACCGATGACCGGGCTGCCACGGCGCACGCACCGCCCTGCCCAAGGACGGCCCCGTCGCCCACTCCCGCAAACAGGTGCCACGGTGCGGCGCAGTCCGAGACACAAGAAACAGAATCAGGAAACAAAGGAGTAAAGAAAAATTTGGCCAACGGCCGTCGCACTCGCAGAAGCCAGTGCGGCTGCCCGCTTCAAAGGAAAGAAAAGGCTGTGAGACGATGCTATCTACATTGTTGCTTCAGCGCAGGTCGTGCACCAGGCAGCGCCTCGGTGTCGTCAGCCATCGACGGCGCTCCAGCACGTGGAGCAAGCACAATGAGGCGTGCATGCCCACGTGCACGGCTGCGCGCAGGGCAGCGTCGCTCAGCTCGCCAGCTTCACCTTCATTCCGCGAAGGCCCCTAAAGAAAAAGACGGGAGCAAAGGCGGTGCCTTACAGAAAAGAAAGGCGTCGGACGCCTAAAGAAAGTTTTGATGTGAGTTACGGGAATAGCGCCGTTCAAGCTGGAAGAGCAGCCGCGGCAGCACTCGCGTTGACTGATAAGGAAGGCAGAGCACAGCAGCACGAATGATGCCACACAAAAAGGAGAGGGGCACAAGGAGACGTCAGGCACCTCTCGCACACGGGTGCGTGTGCAGTGCGGGCTGCATCGGTCGCCGCCACAGAATGAGGTCTCCGTGTGTCTTCACCCGCAAAGCACTGCAGTACGCCGCACAGCTCCGCAACGGGGAGGTGCGCCGCGGGAAGTGGAAAGGCACGCGCGTACCGGTGCGGCGCATAAAAAAGAGCGTAGAAAGAAACGAAACAAGAGAACAATAAAGCAATCAAACAACGAAAAAACCAAACAAGAGAAGTCGGAAAGACTACGGTTTAGCACTGTGGAGCAAAGCATGAAGAAGAGACCTCGCGGTCGAAAATACCAAACAGGATTAAAAACGGGAAGGGAGGCGAATGTATCAAACGCGCATTAGTGTTATGCAAGCTGCGTGGAGTGCATTCTCCGATGCCCTTGGCGGTTGTACTCAACGACGCGCTCAGCAACGCCTCGCCACACAGGCAGCAGAGACACGGGAAACAGGACAATCACAATTAGCGCAAAGGCAAGAGAGGCGGCACGCAGTGCAGATGGAAGTGAAAATAGAAATAGTAATTAAAAAAATAAAAACGCTGAACGGCTGAGCTGCGAGCAGCGGACGTCCGCACATGTGTGGGTGGGTGAGCTCGTCTCGCAGACGGGAACCTAAGTAGCCAGGAAAAGGGCACCGACTAGGGGAGAGTGAACTCTGTCGCTCTCTGCTCCCCGCACGGCGGCTTCTCTCGGCGGCTCCACACGCACACACGCAGAAACATCTCACGGACGCATGTTCAGAGGCGGCCACGTCAACCACGGCCCCAGAAACGCAGACAAACTCGTGCAACCACTCCATGGGCACACACCGTTCAGCCATATCCACGCAGAGACGCCGGCGTCAATTGAAAGAGAGAAGAAATCTACTTTTTTAGCAAAAGAGAAAAGGCGGGCGGTCGCGTGAAGAGCGGCAGAAGAAAAAACGATTAATTGGCAAAGGCACTTAAACACACCACTTCACAGAGGAATAAATAGAAAAGGGCCAGCTCAGATGAGCCTCGTTAGAGAATCAAGATCGTTGTCGCGTGCGTTCACCGTCTCCGCACTCTGCAGCACGTCGAGGTCAGCGGGAGGAACGGTGAGAAACAAAAAAAGGAAGCTAAAAGGGAGAGGGAGAGAACAGTTAAAAAGAATTAACGCGGTCACGCGCATGCGCACCCCCCGCTGTTCCGCAGACGCGACAGCGGCAACGGTGGCGCCTCGCCAGCGACCTTTAATACGGCGAGTCAGGCGTCGTCGCAAAAGGCTCCATCTCCTTCTCCTCAGAGTCCTGGAACCGCCTCACCTCCGCCTCCTTGAGCTGACGCCGGCGGTAGAAGCGCACGCCAAAGCCCACCGCGACTCCCACCAGGAGCCCACCCACAGCACCCAGCACGCACCACAGTGGGATCAGGTTCCGTCCAGACTTCTTCTTCGGCGGGGCTGATGTGCTCGACACCGCGGGGCACGCATTCGCGCTCGCGCAGTCCCGCGCAGTCAACGCGGCATCCGCAGCCACCGTCTTCGACTTCCACCCCGCGGGCAGGCACCCGCACAGGCCCGTCCCCTTCAGGTCGACGCTCACCAGCTTCGTCATGCCGCCCCAACTATCAGGCACGCCACCGGACAGCGCGTTGCCGCTCACGTTCAGGCTGCGCAGCGACGTCATCTCGCTCCAGGCAGACGGCAGCGTGCCGGTGATGGCGTTGCTCTGCACGCGCACCGTCTGCAGACGCGCCAGGCGGCCCCAGCTCGCTGGAAGCGTCCCCGCGACCCGCGAGCCCTTACCGTACACGCTCAACTCCGTCACCGCAACCTGCTGCCCGTCCACGTCCGCCGCGAGCTCAGGCAGTGACACGGCCGCCGTCGACGTTACAGTCTTCATCAACGCGGCGGCCTTCGTCCGTGACACAGCCGTCGCCAGCGGCAGCGGTGACAGGTCCAGCTGCACCGCACCGTCCGCAGAGCACCTCACGTACGCCCAGTCGCAGTAGCTGCTCCCGGTCCACCGCATCGCCAGACTCGGGTCCATCGTCGAGAACGCCTGCAGGAACTTCAAGGTGTTTCGCTGCTCCTGCGTCGGCGCAGCGGTGGTGGTCGTCGTCGGCGGCGGCGGCGTGGTCGTGGTCGTGGTTGTGGTCGTGGTCGTGGTCGTGGTCGTGGTCGTGGTGTTGTGCACGTCGCACGCGTTCTTATCGCTGCAGTTGGACGCAGACACCGCGGCATCCACGGTAATGTCGATGAGGAAAGTCTGCTTCGACCAGCCATCAGGGAGGCATCCGCACAGATGGTTCCTGCTCAGATCAGCAGTGAAGTACGTCCACTGGGCTGCCCATTCTCGAGGGATCGAACCTGTAAATTGATTTGCTGCGAGGTATAGAGACCGCAGGAACTGCAGGGAGGCCCACGCCGCAGGCAGCGAGCCAGAGAGGGCGTTGCTCGAAAGGTTGAGTGCATTTAAGCTGGTCATTGCCTTCCACTCTGCCGGTAGTGTGCCGGTCAACGCATTGCTCGAAAGCCGAAGCTCGCGAAGCTTAGACAAGAACCTCCATTGGCCGGGAAGGCTGCCATCAAGGCGGTTGCTGCTCAGGTACAGTTCCTGCAGCGCAGCCAACCCGCTCCAAGCACCAGGCAGCGAGCCTGTCAGCGAGTTGTTCTGAAGGTACAAGTACTTCAGCATCGTCATGTTGGCCCAGTCCGCGGGAAGAACCCCTTCAATACGATTGTCCTCCATGTGAAGCGTCTGCAGCGCAGACATCCCGCTCCAGTCCGCAGGCAGCGGTCCCGTAAGTGCGTTGCCTTTCACGTCCAGCTTCGTCAGGTGGGTCAGGCGGCCCCAGCTCGCGGGCAGGGAGCCCGTAACCTGTTGGCCAAACCCACTCACGTCAATCTCATCGAAGATCACGGCGGAGCCGTTCACGTCCGCACCCAGCTCAGGCAGGACCAGCGCTCCGGTAAACGCCGGCGCGCTGTAGGCGTTGAAGTTAAGCACGTTCGAGTAAGAGGTGCACTGCACGTACGGCCATTCACAATAGTAGATGCCGGTCCACCTGCTCGCAAGAAACGGGTTTTTGGCCGCAAAGCCACGCAGGAACTTCAGCGTGCTCTTCTCCTCCTCCGTCATCCCCGCCATGCTGTCAGAGCTGCCGCTGCCGTCGACACACCTGTTTGCGGTGCGGCACTTCGTTGATGTCACCGCGTCATCGGCTCGGACGTACGGACGATATCCCCCCTTCCAGGCGCTCGGCACGCACCCGCAGAAGTCGTTGTCCGACAGGTAGATGTCCTGCAGTGACTTCATGTTGCTCCATCCTTCAGGGATCGCGCCAGCCAGCTGGTTGTTGTTCAGCCGCAACTCGGTCAAGGTCGGCATCGAGGCCCATTCGACGGGCAGCGTGCCCGAGAGGACATTCGCGGCCAGGTTGAGAGTGTAAAGCTTCGTCATGGTGCTCCAGTTCGCAGGCAGTGACCCTGTCAGTGCGTTGCCGTTGAGTACCAGCTCCCTCAGCGTCGTCAAGCGGCCCCAGCTCGCAGGCAGCGCGCCCGTCACGCGCGCACCCTTGTCGTACAGCTCGAAACTCGTCACGTCCACAAGGCTGCCGTCGATGTGCGTCGTCAGCTCCGGCAGCTGCGCCGGGCCGGAGAACGTGACGTCGCTCAGCGCGACAGACACCAACCCGTCAGACCCGCACTTCACGTTCCACCAGCCGCAGTACCACACGCCACTCCAGAGGCTCTGCAGCTCCCCGCCCACAGCAGCCCGCACCAGCCGCAGGAACTTCAGCGTGTTCTGCTCGTTCGCCGTCAGCAACGCGCTCGCCTCGGAGTCGTCCGGCGCGGAGGCCGAGTCAGCACTGTGCGGCTCGCACGGGTTTGCAGTGGTACAGTTGTCAGCGGACACATCAGGATCCACAGTGGGGAGATAATAACTGTTCTTCAGCTTGGTAGGAATGCATCCGCACAGCTCGTTGTTGCTCAGCACCAATGTATACACTCGCAGCTCGCCCCACCGCTCAGGGATCGAGCCCGTTAGCTGGTTATTGGACAGATCCAGAGACCACAGCGCCGTCAACGCCACCCACGCCGCAGGCAGCGGTCCCGTAAGGATGTTGTCGTTTAGGTACAGAGTACTCAGTGAAGTCAAGCGGAACCACGCAGCAGGCAGCGTGCCGGACAGCGTGTTCTTGTCTAGCCGCAACGTCATCAGCTCCGACAAGAACCTCCACTGGCCGGGAAGGCTGCCCTCAAGGCGGTTGCTGTTCAGGTACAGTGACTCCAGCGCAGCCATCCCGCCCCAGTCCGCAGGCAGTGACCCGTTCAAGGCGTTGCCGCTCAAGTCCAGACTTGTCAGCGTCGTCAGGCGGCCCCAGCTCGCAGGCAGGGAGCCCGTAACCTGTTGCCCAAACCCACTCAAGTCAATGCCAGTGAAGATCACTTCGGAGCCGTTCACGTCCGCACCCAGCTCAGGCAGCACCAGCGATCCCGTGAACGCCGGCGCAATGTAGTCCATGAAGGTCAGCGTGCCCGAATCATCGTAGCATCTCACGTACGGCCACGTGCAGAAGTCCGTGCCCGTCCAGCTGGTCTCCAGAGTTGAGCCCGCTACTGCAAAGCCCTTCAGGAACGCCAACGTGTTCTTCTGCTGATCCGCGGTGTAGTCGGAGGTGGAGGTCGCGGAGACAAAGAGGGCGTTCACGCACAGCACCAGCAGCGCACCGGCCACCATCATGCGACGCAGCGGGTAGCTGAGACACGCCATGGGTCGCAGTCAGAGAGGTGAGGGAGGAGGTACGGAAGAGGAAGGAAGGGGTCGCCGTGAAAAGCTTCGTACAGCTTGACAGAAACGAGAAAGTCGGTCGTCGCACGTGGGGCTTGCGCTTGTGGAGTGTGCCGCAGTGACGAATGCTGCTGAAACAGCTGATGTATTAAAATTAAACAGAAAAGAGAAAGTGTGTGTTTAGCGAAAAGAGATTATGAAGAGAGGCGTAGTGAAAGAGAAGGCCTTCAAGCTGCGGCGGTCGGCGCCGCGGTGGAGCAGTGCAGGAAGAAAGGGAGGGGAAAAGAGAAGAAGCGCATGGAGCGGCGAGCAAGGCAGCGGACGAGAGAACATTTGTGGCGGCGTGCGTCGGCGTGCACGCAGCAGGCAACGCCGCAGGGCTGCACCACAACCACGCACCCCATCGTGCGCACGCAAACACGCACACCCGCACACCAGTCGCGCTACACCACGGGAGGGCAGCAAGCGATCCCCCTTCACCGCCGCGGCTCGAGAAAAAGACCGCATGGCGGCGCCGGCACAGCAGGCGGCACGCAGCAGACTCCGCCCGGTCGGCACAACCCGCTTCGCGTACGTCGCTCAGCATTCATTAGAACTGTTACCGTCAGCGAGTGAGAAAGTGTTTCGCTGACGGGGGCACCCGCCCCCGCGTCTTCACCGGTGCGAGTCGCCCCTCCTTCACAAGCGCTCGGTATGTGCACCGGCAGCACTTGGCCCGTCACAGCCTGCACGGTCCGCCGGTACACACCGGGCAGGCGGCATTCACCCAGCACAGCGCAGCGACCTCGCTCGGCTCCCGCGCCGCCACGCGTGTCCGCCAAACGCCCCGCCCCTCCCGCCCAACGAAGGACCACACACAGCTGAGAGTCAGCGGCGGCGCTCTCGCTCACCGCGTGGACGTGCGCCACCGCCATGCTCGCAGTGAAGGCACAAGGGGGTCATGGTGATCGCATCGTACTCGGTGCGCTACAGGCGCAGGCCAAGACACCAAACGCATTCGCACTCCCCTCCGTCGCGGCCACCACGCCACGACGCGCTGCGGCGGCCTCGCGCGAGAGGGCGTCCGGGTACGCCAGCGAGAAGGGACTGCACGGCCACCGGTGCGGCATGGGGCGCCGCGTCTGCTCATCTGCGCGCGTTCAGCGACGCCGGGGCGGCCCCCCTCTCCGCCACCCGCCGTACACGCCGGTCGCGGCCCCGGCGCCGCCAACACACCCACGACGCACGCGCCGCTTCGATAGCCGCCGACGCTGGCGCGTGTGGTCGGCACAGTGAAGATCGCGGCAATGAGCACGCGCACGCGCCGTAAAGCGGGGAGGCGGTGCGAGACGAACACCTGACGCGCGAGAGTGCGTGTGTGGGCGAAAGAAAGGAAATCAGGAGAGCAGCGGCTCATGCCGGGCACACAGGCGGACGAGTCGATGCAGAACCAACGCCATTTCGTCTGCTTCTCCCTCGCCACGCAAACGCCAGGGCGAGGGCCGAGCGGAGCCTCGGAACGCACGCAAACAAACGACACGCTGCGAAGCGAAGGGGTGGGGCGGCACCGGCGCGTCGCGAAGCACCACCCCGAACCCACCACGGGAACCGTCTGCGGTCGCGCAGTAAAACGCGGCCCATCCGCCACAGCTGCGGCAGCGGGCGCACGACCTTTGCAGACAGCACGGAGCCCAGACAGGACGTCGGCTCATCCACCAGCAGAATCTTCGGTGCCACGATCAGCTCCACGCTGATGTTGCAGCGCTTCCGCTCGCCACCGAACAGACAGGCCTCCAGACCGCCAATACAGACCTGCGTGTCGCGGCAGTGTTGCAGGCGCAGCACCCCCGGCGCCTCCCGCACACGCGCCGCCGCACAGCAGCGCAAAAAGTCAAAGCACCGCACCTCCGCCTGCCCCGAAGGCGGCAGCGCAGGCAAAGTCAGCTGTCGCCGTACTTTATCGCAACGCGCAAACGCACCTTCGCGTCCTAAGGTGGGACGGTCCGCTTCATGTTACAGCGGAGAGAAGAGAGAAAGGAAGGAAGGAAGGAAAGAGAGGAGAGGAGAGTGAACGGCGCCATCATTCAAAACGCGAGCGCACCCGGCATCCAGCGCAGGGAAACCCGCCCAGCACACCATCATCCCTTCGAGCCTCGTCGCCACAAACGGCGCACCGTGGATGGTGCAGAGAGGGCAGCCAGCGGCACCCTCCATCCACACCACGCCGCACCGCGACACGCTCGTGATGCCGTCGCGGCTCCGACGGCACAGCACGGTCGAGGGACACAAGGCACAGGCGCAGCGGAGTGCGCCGACGGGCGTCGTGTCGGCAGTGAGAAATTCGGAAGGGAGAAGGAACCTACGTGTGGAACCATATAGAAATAGAAATAGAAATAAAAAGTCTCGAAAACAAGAGGGGGGCGGAGGGCCAACACACGCGCACGGGAAGCCAGCGGCCCAGCGCAGACGAGCAGCCGGTCGTGAGAGACGCAACGCTCGCTCCGCAAGCCGCGAAAATGAAGTCAAGCACAGGTGCACCGACGTGCCTGTGCAACGCGCATGAGGAACCCTCGCCCACACCTCCGCCACATCGATAACCGGGCTGCCACGGCGCGGGGGTCGCCCACTCCCGCAAACAGGTGCCACAGTGCGGCGCAGTCCGAGACACAAGAAACAGAATCAGGAAACAAAGGAGTAAAGAAAACTTTGGCCAACGACCGTCGCACTCGCAGAAGCCAGTGCGGCTGCTCGCTTTAAAGAAAAAGGAAAGGTTGTGAGACGCTGCTATCTACGTTGTTGATTCAGCGCAGGTCGTGCACCAGGCAGCGCCTCTGTGTCGTCAGCCATCGACTGCGCTCCCGCACGTGGAGCAAGCACAAAGAGGCGTGTGTGCTCATGTTCACGGCTGCGCGCAGGGCAGCGTCGCTCAGTTCCCCAGCTTCACATTCATTCCGCGAGGGCCCTTAAAGAAAAACCGGCAGCAAAGACGGTGCCTTACAGAAAACTAGAAAAGCACGCACGTACCTGTGCAGGATATAAGAAAAATACAACAAAACTAAAAAGAAAGCAGGGCTTCGAGTTAACAATGTTTGAACAAAGCATGAATAAGAGACCCCGCGGTCAAGAATACGGAAAAGAAGACAAACGAGAGGGAAGACGCGTGTATATAATCGCGTTCGCTATATTCAATCTGCGTGGAGTGCATTCTCCGATGCCCTTGGCGGTTGTGCTCAACGACGCGCTCAGCAATGCCTCGCCACACAGGCAGCAGAGTCGCGAGAAACAGGACAATCACAATCAGCGCAAAGGCAAGTGAGGCGGCACTCAGTGAAAACGGCAGTGAACACAGAAATAGTGAAAAAAAAAGAAAATAAAAACGCTGAACGGCTGAGCTGCGAGCAGCGGACGTCTGCACATGTGTGGGTGGGTGGGTTTGTCTCGCAGGAGGGAACATAAGTAGCCTGGAAAATGACACCGACGAGAGGAGTGTGAACTCTGTCGCTCCCTGCTCCCCACACGGCGGCTTCTCTCGGTGGCTCCACACGCACACACGCAGAGACATCTCACGGACGCATATTCAGAGGCGGCCACGTCAACCACGGCCCCAGCAACGCAGACAAACTCGTGCAACCACTCCATGGGCACATGCCGTTCAGCCATATCCACGCAGAGACGCCGGCGCCAATTGAAAGAGAGAAGAAATCTACTTTTTAGCAAAAGAGAAAAAGCGGGCGGTCGCGTGAAGAGCGGCAGAAGAAAAAATGATTAATTGGCAAAGGCACTTAAACACTCCACTTCACAGAGGAATAAATAGAAAAGTCTAGCTCAGCTGAGCCTCGTTAGAGAATCAAAATCGTTGTCGCGTGCGTTCACCGTCTCCGCCCCTCGGCAGCACGTCGAGGTCAGCGGGAGGAACGGTGAGAAAAAAAAAAGAAATGAAAAGGGGGAGAGAGAACAATCAAAAAGAATTAACGCGGTCACGCGCATGCGCACCCCCCGCTGTTCCGCAGACGCGACAGCGGCAACGGTGGCGCCTCGCCAGCGACCTTTAATACTGCGAGTCAGGCATCTTCGAAAAAGGCTGCATCTCCGCTTCTTGCACGGCCTGGAATCGACTCACCTCTCTCGCACGCTGACGCCGGCGGTAGAAGCGCACGCCAAAGCTAACTGCAAGTCCCACCAAGAGCCCACCCACAGCACCCAGCACGCACCACAGTGGGATCAGGATCCATCCAGTCTTCTTCGGCGGGGCTGATGTGCTCGACGCCGCGGGGCACGCATTCGCGCTCGCGCAGTCCCGCGCAGTCAACGCGGCATCCGCAGCCACCGTCTTCGACTTCCACCCCTCGGGCAGGCACCCGCACAGGCCCGTCCCCTTCAGGTCGACGCTCACCAGCTTCGTCATGCCACCCCAACTATCAGGCACGCCACCGGACAGCGCGTTGCCGCTCACGTTCAGGCTGCGCAGCGACGTCATCTCGCTCCAGGCAGACGGCAGCGTGCCGGTGATGGCGTTGCTCTGCACGCGCACCGTCTGCAGACGCGCCAGGCGGCCCCAGCTCGTGGGCAGTGCGCCCGTCACGCTCGCACCCTTGCCGTGCAGCTCGAAACTCGTCACGTCCACAAGGCTGCCATCGATGTCCGACGTCAGCTCCGGCAGCTGCACCGAGCCAGAGAGCGTGACGTCGTTCAGCGTGACGGATGCAAGTCCGCTGGAACCGCACTTCACGTTCTGCCAGCCGCAGTACCACACGCCACCCCAGAGGCTCCGCAGCTCCCCGCCCACAGCAGCCCGCACCAGCCGCAGGAACTTCAGCGTGTTCTGTTCGTTCGCCGTCAGCATCGCGATCTCCTCGGAGTCGTCCGCCGCGGAGGCCGAGCCGGAGCTGTGCGCCTCGCACACGTTTGCAGTGGTACAGTTAGCAGCGGACACCGCAGGATCAACAGTGGGGGGATAAGAACCGTTCTTCAGTTTGGTAGGAACGCATCCGCACAGCCTGTTGCTGCTCAGCTCCAACGTATACACCCGCAGCTCGCCCCACCGCTCAGGGATCGAGCCCGTTAGCTGGTTATTGGACAGATCCAGAGACCAAAGCGCCGTTAACGCCACCCACGCCGCAGGCAACGTGCCGGAGAGCGCATTGCTGTTGAGGTACAAATCCTTCAGTGAGGACATGCGAATCCACGCAGCAGGCAGCGCGCCGGACAGCGAGTTGTTGTCGAGCCGCAAGTCCTTCAATTCAGACAATAACCTCCACTGACCGGGAAGGCTGCCCTCAAGGCGGTTGCTGTTCAGGTACAGTGACTGCAGCGCAGACATCCCGCTCCAGTCCGCAGGCAGCGGGCCATTCAGTGAGTTGTAGTTCAACCGCAGAGTCCGCAGCTTCCTCAGGCGGCCCCAGCTCGTGGGCAGCGTGCCTGTAACCTGTTGCCCAAACCAACTCGCAGAGATTTCCGTGAAGATCACGGCGGAGCCATTCACGTCCGCACCCAGCTCAGGCAACACCAGCGATCCCGTGAACGCCGGCCGGCTGTAGGCCTTGAAACTCAGCGTGCTCGCTAAATAGCCGCATCTCACGTACGGCCACGAGCAGAAGTCCGTGCCGGTCCAGCTGGTCTCCAGAGTTGAGCCCGCTATCGCAAAGCCCTTCAGGAACGCCAGCGTGTTCTTCTGCTGATCGGCGGTGTAGTCGGTGGTGGAGGCCGCGGAGACAAAGAGGGCGTTCACGCACAGCACCAGCAGCGCACCGGCCACCATCATGCGACGCAGCGGGTACTTGAGACACGCCATAGGTCGCAGTCAGAGAGGTGAGGGAGGAGGTACGGAAGAGGAAGGAAGAGGTCGCGGTGAAGAGCTTCGTACAGCTTGACAGAAACGAGAAAGTCGGTCGTCGCACGTGGGGCTTGCGCTTGTGGAGTGTGCCGCAGTGACGAATCCTGTTGAAACAATGAAGATATATATATAATAAACACAAAAGAGAAAGATGCGCTTTGGCGAAAAGAGATTATGAAGAGAGGCGTAGTGAAAGAGAAGGCCTTCAAGCTGCGGCGGTCGGCGCCGCGGTGGAGCAGTGCAGGAAGAAAGGGGGAAAAAAGAGAAGAAGCGCATGGAGCGGCGAGCAAGGCAGCGGACGAGAGAACATTTGTGTCGGCGTGCGTCGGTGTGCACGCAGCAGGCAACGCTGGGGGGCTGCATCACAACTACGCACCCATCGTGCTACAGAATGAGGTCTCAGTGGAGTTTTCCCCCCAAAATGAGAGAAATCGCTCTATTCTGAAGTGCGAGGGTCTTGCAGAGGAAGAGACATGTCGAAGAGAGAAACAGAAAAATATTAAGGACCCTTCGGAGCTAAGGATAGACTGGAGTCAGCTCCACGCCGTCTTTAGCTCCCGCTCTATGGACCATCACACGTACCCTTCGACCCTCGTTGAGGGCAACTTCACATCTCGTCGAAGACAGCCTCCTGACAGTCACTGAAATGATGAACACTCCAGTGGTAAAACCGACAGGGCAGAGTACGTTAGCTCTGAACACATAACTACGAATGTGTTATGGTAACGCGATGGTCCCTCGATAGTCAAAAAATATAAGTAATAATAAATCAGATGTATCAGATAACGCAAACATAGAAAGAGAAATACTTTTGTCTGGTTAAGACAGCACTGGGTGTCCCTTCTGGTTACACAACACAGGGCTTACATATGTGCACTTCCTCGTTTTGAGAAAAACAAGATGAGAAGAGTACTAGTAGCAAGCAGTAACACCACCACAGAAAAGAGAAAGAGAGAACCCTCTCCCCTTGACTCCTCTCCAGCAGGTCGAGCGGGAACCCAGAACAGTGCGCAACGACCGTGGCAAACGATGAACGCTGCGCCTTCAGTCGCCCGACAAGCGATGGGTGCGGAGGCAGAGAGGCGCCACGGTGCTAGGCGACGCAGGGTACAGAAAGGAGAAGCGCCCCGAAAGACACAACAACCGAATTTTAGTACACTCGCCGTCGTGGTTTGTGGACGTAGGCGGAAAAGTGCGGCTGACGACATCCGTCAATCTCCCGCGCAGCTTCCTCACTTAGTTGGGTACTTTCATGGAAGGCATGATCACCTTGTGGCGCGCACACGCGTCCCGGCGCGCTCGTACTAGATCAAGCAGCGCTCTGGGGCTTAGATTAAAGAAAATCACGATAGAGTGCCGAAAAAGAAGTCCGCTGAACCTCGCTCGCCATCGACGTGCATGACATGCCACGTCGGTGCGGTGTGCGCTCTATGCGCACCTACAAGCGCCGTGGTCAGCACCAGCACGGACACCACGCCGCCGGCCGCCGTACCCCGCACAAGAGACAAGCCTGTCAGCTAGCGTCCCAGATCTTGGGATAGCGGTGTAATGGGCCTCGCGTAGTGCACCGGCGGCAAAGAAAGAAGTGGTCGCACGCGCCGAAAAACAAAGTGTGCCCACCGTGCCAGGTGCATCGTACCACCGCCTACATCGGTGCGCATACCGCCGCTATGCCTAGCGGCGCGTGCTGCTCGGTTGCGCGTCCCACATCGTGTGGCGGCCGGCAACCCCTGCAGCATGGTCCCGATGACGAACGCGTCACTCGGCCGACCATCTTCGCCCCCTCGTGCAACGTCGGTGTCCTGGCGTGACACACGACGAACGCCACGAGCGGTGGCGGTGTGCGACGACGTTGCGGCGTCGCCGGTGAAAGACTCTGCGCAGCCCGCGCCAGCAGTCTCCACACCGAGGACAGCACAAACGGGTACGTTTGCTTCGCACCGCATGGAAGCCTCGTGCACCGCTCCGGTGCGTTGTTCCCGTCCGCCGCTGACCAGGATCTCAACTGGCCAGCATTCGTTGGCGGCATCGTCACGTCGCGCGGCAGCATGGCCGGTACCTCCGCGGTACGGTCCGTGCGTCTTCGCGCATGTGCCGCGGCGCACCGTGATCCTCACGCGTGCGTCCGGGCGGCTCGGCTACCAGCAGCCCCACTGCATGGTGCCATCATCTCCATCCGCAGGTGCATGTTTACCAGGACGGGCACCAAGGTCCTCGCGCGTGCGCGCAACCTCTCGAAGGTGTGCGTCGCCATCGCTCGGCAGCGGTGTGTCTGTACACCCGTTGCTGCCGACTGTATTCCGCTAGGTCGTCGTGCCAGTGCACACGGCGACGCAGCTGCAATATCCGCGCGGTCCCACGTCTCGACTCGACCGAAGGGAGCTCCTCCCTCGCGAGTAGCTTGCTGGCTGCGAGGCGACGGGACGGGTGTGTGGTGAGCGTGCTTGCGCACCGCTCGACGCTGCGTCTCTACGCGAGCGACCTTCAGAGCCCTAACAGCTTTCCTTCAATTTTCACCCGGTGGACGTCGCAAGCTGTCTCAAAGACCGCCTCAAGTTGAAAAAAGCTACACTGCACTAATGGCCAAGAAACAAAAGAAACGTTAAAAAATAAAGAAGTTAAGAGAGAATAAATAATCCATAGAAGAGGGAAGAGAGAAAAACAAATCAAACAAAGAAGGAACTAAAGTAAAGAAAAAAAACTAATAACCTGGTAGTTGTAAACGTAACAAATTTCTGAAGCACATATGCTCGCCAAATTGCCGGACAAACTATTGTGGTGACCGAAAGTGCACTTACGTAAGCACTGTAATCTGCTGCTTTTAGAAAGGTAGCACAGAGACGTGCTCATTAGAAATGCGCACATTTGAGTTGCCTCTTGTGTCTTTGTGTTCGCCAAAAGGAGCAAACGAAACTGCTCACGAGATGTCTTACAGTGTCTTTGGAAGCACTCTGTGTTTGTATTTGCAACGTATCGCAGGAACGTGTTCACGAGGTGAATACCGGTGTTTTATTTGCTATCGGTTTTTGTGTTGGAGATTTAGCATACGAACATGCTTTGATCAACTTGATACCTGTCAGACGCTGTCTTTTGTGCTTCCTCTGTGCTTTACGTTTGGCGACTCTTCACTTGAGTTTGATAAAGAACTGTGTACAGTTTTCGATTGCCACTTTCCTTTTCTTGTTTTGGGGAAAAGAAACACAGCAACCGAAACTGCACAGAATTGCGGATGTCTCCGCATCCTGTTTGCAACGCAACACGGAATGCTGCGAGTGACATTATACACATCTCGCATTGCCCATTCGCATTCTCTTTTTGCCAAATTAATTAATTAAGAAAATAAAGGAAGAGATTATGAAAATAACGTGGCAGTCGAAACTTGTACATGATACTCACAAGCACATCTGCGCGCCATACTGCCCGTCTGTTGCTACAGTGAGCGTGGCAGCCGAATATCTGCACATTTCGTGAGCGCCTTACTGCACTCCTCTGCCGAAAAGAGAAGAAAGAGGCAACGGGACGCGGTCCTTAAGCACAACGAAGTGCTGATTGCCAAGAAAATAGAAACTAAGGCCTGCAGTAAACTAATCAACACCTACGTAGCACCCTGAGCTAATCGACCATTTCGGGTCTTTTAACGTCAGACGTCCAAGGATACAATGTTCCCTTTAGACAATTGTGGAAATGGTCACCATTGTGTGGATAGTGAACCACCGTGTGAAGAGTGTGTGGGTATGTGTGTGCGGAGGAGGGTGTGGTGCTTGTGGAGGTATCTGAAAATCTCTTGACAGAATTTCAGCACTCCCAAGCTTCGCTACTTCGTCGATAGTCGTCGATAGTCATCGATAATCGCACGAGTAGCACGTCGCAGAGAGAGGATAGAAGAGAAACTGACTTCCATCGTTTCTATCATGCCAGCCTCCCGCTTCGGCGCTTCAACCTCCATCCCGTGAAAAGGGATGTGGCATTCTCTGCGCGGTCAGGCCTTCCCCCCCCCCTTCCACCAATTCTTCTAGGAAACCTTAAACGGCGTTTGTTCTGTACAGTGCGCACATGTTAGAGAATCTGTTGAAGCTGATCTTTGAAAGGTCATTGGCGAACACGCGTGTTTTGAATTCACAAATAAGATGTTTTCGACCGAGGCTTTTTACCGCGTTGATATTAAGGATGAAGAAATTATTACACAGTGTGGCCCTTCACGTTGTAATTGTGCATTTCCAATGCGGAGTTCCTGAGATTTGCTTCCTACGGACACAGTCTGGTTTTCGTGGACAGAATTTCTGCGGATATATTACTAGGCAGACCTGGTCCAGTTCGTGCTGATCGAAATTGCTGCGCAAAACATGGCTTCACTTTTCTCCACTCTCAATATCAATTCCAGCTTTCGTGACTAGGCTCTTTCGATATTTTTTTCTCTGCTGCTCAATAGTTGCCTGCACCGTTGATGCTCTGTCAAATACCACCTCGAAAACCAATGCTCGAAACGAGAACAGCCTTTAAATTGTTTCCGGTATCCTTCAATAGTGAAGAAAACTAGTGGTGTGGAATCGAAAATGTGAATTAGCGTGGCTGTTGACTCTGACCTTCGATTCGTTTCCGCTGCACACGTTGATAAGATTAGACTAGGATAAATTACGATTCACCATTTCGTCATGCGCTACCAATGGTATTCTCTACAATCACCTATTTTCTTGTTTTTATATTCTTCATCACTCTGTAATACTTTCCTTACCCGTAATAGAAACTTTTTAGGTTCATCTTTTTGCATTTTTTTCACCAAAAAAGGAAACTGAAGTGCTGACGGACGTTTCTGTTTTCTTTCTCAAAGCATTCAGCGGAGACATTCAAAAGTCAACTGTAACAAAGTGTCTCGGTGCCCTTAGTTCAGCGAACCACATTATTTGCTTCTGCTGCCTCTCGTTCAACTTTATTAGATTGACAACGCAGTCGCGAATCTCAGCGCTTTGTAACGCGTTAACTGAAAAGTTATATTGAAGAACACCATCGCGGTACAGCATCGGAAATAGAAGATGCCGGTGGAGTACTTGAGTGCTGTCGAGCGCACTCGGTTGATGGATGCATTGTTCGAAAATAACATCTTGTTTGGGGCGCTTTCCCAGAAGTTCAAGGAAACGTTTCAACCACCTCGCTACACAGCAGCCGCTTACGAAATTGGCCAAATATGCAAGGAGCTGGTCGCTTCTTCAGAAGGGGCAAGTCTGATCAATGCCTTGTTTGTAGTTGACTGCATGCGTAAGCAGGACAACATTGCCGCAAAATCGACGTTTTACGACATTTTGATCGAGTTAGAACACGCAATTCGACGCGATATGTTTGTCGTGGAGCAGATTAAATACAGCGCAAAGGAGTCGAAGGAGAGCAAGAAGAGTCTGGAGGCCACTAGGGCCGAGATCTTCCGCATTCACTGCGCCGCGAAGGTTTTTGCTTTCCAGCTATTAGGCGACGCTGTGACGGACGATGAGAAGTCGGTTTCCTACGTCTCGAAAAGGCAAGATGCGATCGATGAAGCGCTCAATGCGTGGGAGAGAGCCAGCGTTAAGATCAAGGAGCCGATGGCGGACATGGAGCACTGCTGGGTAGCAGAACATGAGAAGCAGCAGTGCGGCTGCATTTACGAAACGGCAGCCGTCTTTGATGACCAACCAAACAGGAGGTCAGCGTTGCTTCTGCCTCGCATGACGGCGAAGCTGCCCGTGTTGCCCGTGCAAGAGGGAGAGTTGCAATACTTGCTTCCCGGCAATTCGGCGATGCTCCTCTTTGATAACACCGTGCCGAGTGAAAACTGGACTCGCGCAAAACGGCTGCTTGTGGAAGCGCGCAAAACAAAGCTCTCTAAGGAAGACGAGCAGACGCTCCTCGGAGTTCTGAATGAGTCCATGGTTTCCCGTTTGGGTGTCTCGCCGCAGCTGTTGAGTGAGTTAGGCGCACACAACCCCGAGGTGTGTGCGTCCATTTTACTGAAAGTGCCTTCTCATTCCGCCGGTGCCTTTGTCCAATTCTTACTAAAGGCCAGCCTTCCTGACGACAACATGCAAACGATTTTACTGCACGCCTCTTCCGTCCTCCAGCAAATAAATATTCGAACTTTCGTCTCCATTATGCTGCACAAACTGAAAGACAGATCGAGTGCCGCGTCGGCTGATGCACTGAAAAACTTTGCACTCACACTCCAACAGTTGGTAGGCCGCGCCGCAAAGGAGAACAAAGAGATCTTCATTGCGGACGGCCTGCAATCTGAGCTGGATCAACTGTTCCAGGCGACCAACCAGCAAGAGATAAAGAGCCGCTGGGAGGAGATGAGGCGCCAGTAAATAGAATGGTGCTCTTCGCGTTGCGACACGTCTCTTTTCTCTTTCCAGCACTCTATTGTTTTAAGGAGTTTTTTTTATTGTAGCTCCACGAATAATACTGTGATTTGGCTATTTTTCTGGTTTTCTTCGTATTTTTGACGGTTTTCGTCGACTGGTTTCCTCTCAGATAATAAAGTAAAATTGTACACCAAACAGTTGCCAACGTTTGCACGGAAAAGCTACATAAGCTTCCCTGTTTTCTAGCGCAAAAATCAAATTCGCGTCCGTAAAGATTGTCAGTTTTTAAACGCGGTCGCTTAGGATGCAGTTACAAAAGTGATATGTATGGTTTATTTACTTGTTCAGACTAGCTCAGCATTGTGAAATTGTTGTCCCAGTCGAGATTTATTTCGAAAGATACTTGAAATGTGATTATCGGCAGCAAGCTACATTTCTCTACTACTTCTTTTTTCCCCTCTATTTAGTTCTCTTTACTTCACTTTGGTCACACACTACTATTACTATTTTTGATGCGAAGTAGTTTAAATGAGACGAGGCAAGTGCATTATTCGATGTAATCAGCAATGGGTGAAATTCAGGTTTCATTTGCGTTCTTATCTTCAAGGACTGTTGATTACTGCTGCAATGCTGGCTCGAGTGCTGACTTGAGTAGCTCGGCATCGCAATTTAGAATTCCGGAAGTCTCTAGCAGACGAGTTGCCCTTGTGAAGCTGTTAGACTTTGAGAGTGGCTGCTCGCGTGCTTTCCGTGCGTCGTGTTCAGAAACCGCTGATGTTGGCGCCGTTTTTGACGCACTGAGACGAAGCGAAAATTCTAATGCTGTTGAATTTGTTGGCTTCGAATTGATGTCGTTTTTTCCTGGTAATTATACTCATTTAAATGTTTCACGAGTGCTTTCTCCGCATGATCCAATTCCTGATTTTTTCTCATGTCAGCGAGTGCGGCTCGGGCAGCGTCTCAAATTTTCGGTGACGAGATGGCTTGTGATCAATACGTTTGTTTGCAGCAACGATGGGGAGCTGTTTGTTGGTCACGTACCCTTTCTTGTCCCTCTAACAGCTGAGGACGTTAGTAAAGCCTCAATTCTCTCAGCGGTAGCTCGGATTCTCAATCTGAATACAGAATGCGAAGCACTTCTGCGCAACTGCATTGTTCTCGCGTGCACCAACGATGGACGGAAGATTACGATCGATGAACCGCTGCAAGACGGCTGCGGTGCGGACCAGATTTCAATAGTGTACAACGCTGCGGACATCGGCGACATTGTTGTGGTGTCTGCGCAGTGGCACGCCAGTTCTCACAAAGGTCCAGCTCCCATCATACAAGGTGTGGTGACGCGTCGTTTTGTGCAAGACGGCATGCTTTTATTTGATGTTAAGGAAATGGATACTGCTGTCGTGATGGAGCGACTGAGCTGTACACAGCTTGTCCCTTTATAGCTGCTTTTTGCGAAAATAAAATGATTGAAATTTCGAACGGTAATTAAGAGAAATAAAGTCAAAAAAAAAAAGAGTCATAGTTCTGTTATTGTTCTACAAAGATCAAGATTAATCGTACGCATGTCGAATTTTTACAAAAAAGGTAACGTTCTTGACAAAAAAGAAGTTTGTATTGTATTCAGTCGAAGTTTCAAAGCAAACTACGGTTAGGTAGTGGGTTTCTTTCTTGCGTGCCTCGCTTTTTGCTGAGTTTCTCTCCTCTGTTACCTTTAATTCTACTCAACTCGTTCGTTTCTGTTCCATTTCTTACTTTATCATGCATCTTTTCTTTTTCTTTTTGCCTACGTTTCCTGCAGCTTTTCAGTCCTAACTCTAACCTTTTCTTCGCCTTCCGCGGTCAAGCATTGGAGAATGAGCTCTGATTGGGCACTGCCTCTCCGAAAGGTGCCCGTCAGCACGTCGACGGACACGTCCGTGGCGTGGAACACGGTGCACCTCTGCTACGAGCAGTCGTTCTTTGGGCAAATCACCAGCCTTTGCTACAATCATTCCGGTTCGCTACTCGGTGGCACCTCCACTAACCAGTTTGCTCTCCTGCGCGTCCCGCAGACCGAGGGCGTTGTCGTGAATGAGCAGACAGAGCGCAAGAACTACTCGCTGCGGTTTCGCGAGGACGACAAGCTGTACGTCCAGGCTGTAGATCAGCGCGTCCTCATCAAGTCCGCCGAAACAGCGTTTGAGCGTCAGTTCCTTGGCCACTCGCGCGATGTGCGCTCCGCAGCTTTCCTTGGAAAGCACAACTTTGTCTCTGCTAGCGATGACACAACGATCAAGCTTTGGGACCTTATGAGCGACGACGACCTCGGCACCGCTCGAGCACACACAGATTACGTTCGCACGCTGGAGCCGTACACGGGCGGGTCGTTTCTCAGCGGGTCGTACGACCACGTAGTGAATTTGTGGGATCCGCGGACGGGGTTGGACACGCCGCTGCAGACGTCCGGAAACGTCATCTCACAAGCCGTGGAGGCCGTGTGTTACGTTCCCGATGCGGAAATCGTTGCCGTAGGCGCGGGTGATCGGGTGCTGCTGTTTGATCCGAGAAAAGGCCTCACCATCCCGCTCTTCGACGGCTCCTTCCACACAAAGTCGGTCGTTGCCTTGGCGTACTCGCGAAAGTTCCGCAGCCTTCTCACCGGGTCGTTAGATTGCCGCGTGAAGATGTTCGCGCTCGACGGGAGCGAGATGCGCTGCATCTCGAGCAGGCGCTTCGAAAACCCCGTAGCGGCCCTGGCGGTGCATCCTGAGTCCGCGGAGTATGCCGTCGGCAGCGCCACTGGCGAACTGAATGTCTACCGCTTCAAGACGACGGAGAAGACGGTGGAGGGGGAAGAGGATCAAATGCCTGCTGAGTTCTCCCTGGAGAAGACAAAGCCCAAGTCCAAGGAGAAGGTTCTGCAGGACAAGATGATCGAGGTGCAATTCCAGCTCCGCAGCTACCAGTACAGCAAGGCACTCAAAACGGCACTGTATTCACGCCACCCTGACGTGCTTGTTTCTACGTTTGATGAGTTGGTTCGACGCGGTGCGCTTCATGTTGCACTCAACAACCAGAATGATCGCACTATCGTGCGCGTTCTCCGCTTTGCAACGGAGTACGTGGACAAGCCTCAGTTTACCGACACAATGCTCGTCGTTTTCGAGACGATTTTCGAGATTTACAGCGCGTACGTAGGCCAGAGTCTCTTTTTTCATCGTGAGATTCTCATCGCACAGAAGAAGATTGGCGCATCGCTCGCGGTGATGCAGCGTATGGAGAAGACTATGGGAATCATGGACCTGATCGTGAACTCAGATTGAGCTGTGTGAACACTAAGTGGCGTGATGTGTTCTTCACGAGAACAGGAAGTGGTCAGTTTTTCTTGGCGTGCCGGTTCGTGCGTGTGTGGGTTTGTATGTGGGTGTGTCGCAGCGTTTAATCTGTTGAAGTGTATTTGTGGTAACCGTTTCGTTTAAGTAAAGCAAAAAGCAAATACCGTTGTTAAAGAAAAAAAAAGGGAGAATGAGGTGTTATTCTAAGCAAACATCTTAGCTGGAGCTCACGTCAGTTGCTCTACTGTTTTTGCGTTACAGTCTGGTGCGTCTGGGATCTTCTTCTGTGCTCATCGCCTTTCATTTTTAGCCGAAAGTCAGAAAGCTGTTTCGTGTAGCCTCTGGAATAAATATGTAAAAGAAGAACACCAATTGCGCTTCCGTTTTCCTTTAGTCTTCAATACAGCTACCACTTGGGCTGTTTGCGTTGCCTTGTTTTCACAGACACATCGAATGTTTCGCAGCAATTTCCTGCCGATCTCTCTCTCGCTCTCGCTCTCGCTCTCGCGCTTCGCTTCTCAACTGTACCACTTGTTGCTCTGTTCTTCTCTAACATTCTCCGTTAACTTTACAATGCGTTTTTTTCTTTTCGGTTTCATCATTGTCATTGTGGCTCCATGGTGCATTCATTGCACCAGATTATCGACTCACCGCAACAAGCAGAGTTAACATGTTCCGCCGTCTCGCCGCCACCTCCTTCCAGAAACGCGCGCTGTGTCGCGCCTTCGCGACCACCGCCCCACTCCTGAATCTGGATTACCAGATGTACCGCACCGCCACTGTCCGCGAGCCGGCGCCGCAATTTGCTGGAAAAGCAGTGGTAGGCGGGGCCATCAAGGAGATCAACAGCAACGACTACAAGGGCAAGTATGTCGTGCTGTTCTTCTACCCCATGGACTTCACGTTTGTCTGCCCGACAGAGATTACGGCCTTCTCGGACCGCAACGCTGAGTTTGAGAAGATCGACACGCAGGTCATTGCCGTCTCGTGCGATTCCGAGTTCTCGCACTTGGCGTGGGTGAACACCCCGAGGAAGAAGGGTGGTTTGGGTGAGATGAAGATCCCCGTGCTCGCCGACAAGAACATGGAGATCGCACGGGACTACGGTGTGCTCATTGAGGACATGGGTGTTGCTCTTCGCGGTCTCTTCATTATCGACAAGAAGGGCATTCTGCGCCACTCCACCATCAACGATCTCCCTGTTGGCCGCAACGTCGACGAGGCCCTGCGTGTTGTGGAAGCGTTCCAGTACGCGGACGAGCATGGGGACGTGATCCCGTGCGGGTGGAAACCGGGTCAGCCTACCATGGACCCCAAAAAGGCGGCAGAGTTTTTCGACAAGAACGCGTAATGATCCTATGCGTTTTTCTTGTGCTTTTTCAATTCGTCTCCTTTGATTCTTTGGACTCCGCCCAACTTTACAAATCAGCAGATGGGAAGGAGCAAATACAAAAGCGAAGAGAAATCATGCTTTTCTGCGTGAGTTTTTTTCTCCTTGCGATCAGAAGTGTTGCTAACGAGTGTTCAAGACACATAGGAGAACACTTGCGCCAGCGTTTCCAATACTCTTATTTTTCCTCGTTACCTTATTCTATTTTACATTTCTCAGATATACTCTTCTGGATAGTTTACTATTTACGTAAAGTATGAGCGATGCAAAAAGGAAAACACTGCAGCTTTGTGGAAAGCACTGAAAGAGAGACATTTGAAAGTGCAGTTTGCTTTACGGTCTGCACAACACCGCTGCTTTTTTGGCGACGCTGTCAAAACACCGCTTTATCTGCATTTTTTTTTTTGTCACGCTTCAGAAGTTTGTGTTGGAAAGGCCTCACCTGCGTTTGCAATGCGAGAATGGCTGAGTGGATGCTCGTGGATGCTTCTGCATCATCGAATTGTACCTTTTTCTTGTAGGTTGCATTTCTACAAGTGTGCCCTTTCCGTCTTAACTTCTCGATAGATTACTTTCTTTTCTCTTTCCTATGCATACTGTGTTTCTTCTTTGAAAATATTTATATATTCTTTCAACAGACAGCGGTGTATATCCGCGCAGACACACTCATTCACACACGCGCCCATTCACAATCACAGATCAGATTCTTCGTTCTTCCTTTTGCAAAAAGCATGTCGCGCATCAGTGTCCCACCAAAGTCAGCAAAGAGTCCTGGCATCGTGGCGGAGAAGAACTCCAACCCAAAGGTGTTCTTCGAGATCAGCATCGACGGCAAGGCTGCTGGCCGCATTGTGATGGAGTTGTACGCCGACACGGTGCCGAAGACAGCCGAGAACTTCCGCGCATTCTGCACGGGTGAGAAGGGAAAGGGCCGCTATGGCAAACCTCTGCATTACAAGAACAGCGTGTTCCATCGCGTTATTCCAAACTTTATGTTACAGGGCGGTGACGTCATTCGCGGCAACGGCACCGGTAGCGAATCCATCTACGGGCCGACCTTCCGTGACGAGTCGTTCTCCGGAAAGGCTGGGAAACACACCGGCCTCGGCTGCCTGTCGATGGCGAACTCTGGACCCAACACGAACGGCTCTCAGTTCTTCATTTGCACTGCTCCAACACCGTGGCTGAACGGCAAGCATGTCGTTTTCGGCCGCGTCGTGGAGGGTCTTGATGTGGTGAAAATGATCGAGCGTCGCGGCTCGGAATCTGGCAAGACCCGTGGGCGCATCGTCGTCGCTGACTGCGGTGAGATCGCGGCGGAGAAACCGGAGGTGGTGCAAGCCCCGGCTGCTGCGGTGAAGGTGGTCGCACCGAAAAAGGTGTCCACGCCTCCGGCAGCGGCGCCCGCAGTGGCGAAGAAGCGGGAACGCGACGAAGATGAGGATGAGACCCGCATCGCCCGTCTCCGTGCCAAGAAAGCGAAGCTGGCCGCTCTCCGGTCTAAGGCGGAGGATAACTAGCAGTCGTACGCGTTGTCTTTTGTTGGACATATAAGCCTTTAAGTAACTGTGAATAACTTGTTAATGGGCACCTTTGCTCTACGCGACGTAAAGGAGCAACGAAGGGACAAAAAGAACGCGGGAAGGCAACGCAACAGGGACTAGTCCTCTTCATTAGTCACCTGCTTTGCAATCAACCCCATTGCAAGAAACTGCGTCACTCGCAATGCGGTGAGCGGCTGAAGGCGAATACCACAAGCTCGAATGCGCCTGTGCTTCACAAGATGCGCAAATATTTTGTTGTTGCCTGAGACGAGGAGCGAGATGCAGCAGCTTCCCACAAAGTCTGCAGTGGGGCACGACCGCGCTCTCTCTCTTTAACTGTTCACCATCTTTCTTTGTCCTACCTTTTCCTTTCATCTTTTCTTGTGCCCGCTTGTGCGTGCTCCGCTTGTGGTGCGCTGGTCGGGCTGGCGGTGTTTTCCTCTCCTTCTTCTGTGACTCTCAGCGTGTTGGAGATTGTTTTTTAAGGAGCGGCACATTGAGCTGGTTTGCCGTGGTGCAGTTAGCGCGCGTTACACAAGGGCGTGAAGCGATAGCGCGTGCGGCCATGTTGCGGTGCGCCAGCAGATGGTTGTGGTACCCGTACAAGGACGTGAAGAGCAAAACGATCCTTGAGAAGATGGCTAAGGCGAAGCTCAAGGCCGGGATGGATCCGTCCGACGTCGACATGCAGGAGCTGGCGAGAGAGAGCGGTCTGGCGCCGTCGAACACCGCAGACATTCAACACTTTGTGCAGGGCAAAGAGACTGTTGTGGCCATGTTGCAGGAGCAGCGGCTGCGGCGGATTGCGCGCCGTGAGGCGTTCCTGGAGTGGCAGGCGGGTCAGCGGGAGAAAGGTGCCGCACACCGTCTTCTCCGACAGGCTCGAAAGGCAGAAAAGTACAAGCAACGCCACTACCACGCAACCAGCGGACGAATGGTGCCGGTGCTGCCGGCACGGCACGAGGCATTAGACGCGGCACAACTCCTCAGCTCTCACAGACACGTGCTGAATTCAAAAGTTGTGGACAAGGCTGATTCACAGAAATGGGAGAGACTGCACCTCACCCTTGGCAAGAAGTAATCTGCCACCGAGTCGAACAGTGCGGAGTGGTGCTCTTTACGCACGGTTCGGTACACTTGTAACAATTACCTGCTTTCTCCAACGGTATAGTGCTAGCCTTCACGATGACCTCATTCACATTTCAATCAAGACAATTGTATTGCCAGGTAATGGGAGAAGTAAAGGTAAAAGGACAGCGAGGTATGCGCATTAGATAATTGCTGTTACCCCATTCCAGCGTTGCCAGTTCACAGCAAAGAAGATTTGCGGTTGTCCGACTAATTGCAATTGCCGACGCAGCCGATCTGACTTGTAGATCACAATAAATTCGCTTTGTTCATTTGGAGCCCGTACAGTGTGTTTCTTGTTTTCTCGAAGTCAGCGGTTGTAACAAATAGATATATTGCCGCGGAAGCAATCGAGACGTGTGGAATCTCATACTTCTCCTTCCCCTTCTGCGTCCTTAATTCTTTCTGTTCATCTGCGTTCCTCCTCCCCCCTCTCATCTCAGCAGTCGATCGAACTTCCACTTTTGCGCGTTTGGCTTCTTTTATGAGACTAGCAGAGGGCTTCTCATTTTTTTTTTCTTTACCTACTTAGGCTTACTTATCGGTTTATCGTTCCATTTCTTCTTTGATCTCTGTAACCACCTCCAAATGTTCGCAAAATTTCTCTCGCGAGTGAAGGCCATTCCTGCACGCTCTGGCGACTGGGCGAATCGTCTGGGCCCGGTCGCACTCATGGGCTACAGCGGCGGTGCACGCTCCAGCGACGTCAAGCTGCTCGACAACTTCTATCGGAGTCCCCGCGATTGCGACATGTACGCTGAGCTGACGTTTCACGAACCCGGGCCGGTGGAGTGTCCCCCTGAAACTGTCGTCTTCTTCCCTGTAGTCAAGTGCGGCAACATGCTCGACGGAGGAGTCAAGCACGACGCGGCAACGCGAGATGACTGGTACCTGGCCACCACGGAGGCCACCACCGACTTGCTGGAGAAAGGCTACATCCCCATCAGCGCAGGCGGTGACGGATCCGCCACGTTGGCTATGGTCGAGGCCTACAAGCGGCTCTTCCCAACGGAGGAGGTAGTGCTAATTCACTTCTCCGCGAGACCGTCACTGGAAACTCCAGAGAAGCCAATTCGTGTCCTGCTTGAGAAAGATCTACTGAAGGGCGTCATCGAGGTTGGAAATCGCTGCGTCTCCTCCTACGATCGGAAGGTACGCAAGCAGCACAAGGTCATGTACATGGATATCCAGGCCATCTACGCTAAGGGTCTGTTTTGCATTCGCGACATCCGCAACGACTTTCCCGTGTTCATCAGCATCGACGCGGACGTCCTCGATCCGGCTTTTGCACCTGCGGTGGAGTCACCTGTGCCAGGCGGTTTCACCACGCGCGACCTCCTGCACGTCATGACCAGCCTTCGCGGACCGAAGGTGGCGGGGATCGATATTCACGGCTACCGGCCGGAACTGGATATTTGCCGTGGCGACGGGTTGGGCCTCACGCAACTGGCCCTTTCGAAGGTGCTGAAGGAATCTATTGTTAAGGCCTACGTCATATCGACGCAGACGGAGGAAGAGGGTTTGGAGAGAGTCCGCGTAATGCAACGGCAGGGCACCATTTCCGACAACCCCTATCCGGACTATTAGGGCACAACTCACAAACACGATGGGTATCGGAGTGTTTTTTTTGTTGGGGTATAAAGGCGCTGCTTGGCTTTTATCAGGCGAGAAACGCCTTGTACTGTGTGTTGCGTTTGTTGTCTTTCATTTTAAATCCCATGCTTTCAGCGTTTCCACAGAGCAGTAGTTTTCCGTAAATGCAAAATATATTTATTATACTATTACTGACGAGTAACAATTGAATGAGTCGGATTGCGCATGTTACTGCTCCCTCTCGTTTTCCTGCGGTGTCTTTGAGGCTGTTGCCTTAAGACGCTTGCTTTTCGAAATCTCCGCTTCCTTCTTGTATGGGCTCTGAGAAGCTGGGAGGGGTGGGGTTTATTTTTTGCAACTTGATTCCCAGGTACGAGACAGGCGCACCCTTTTCTCTTTGGTGGTGTAGAAGCTCGAGAGGAAAAGGCTCCATGCTTTTACCTCTGTTGCCGCTGTAACTCATTCTCGCCTTTCTCTTTCTGCTCTCCTTTGGTTTTCGACAACGCTCTTTGACACTTGCAATCTGCACGGACAAACGTTAACACGTACCCGTTTCACACTTCGTACACGCGCCCACTTCTTATAACATCCAGTCGAAACGATTTGATTGACCGATCCGTCTTTCCTTCGTGCTTTTCTTCTTCTCCGTTTGGTAGGAACACACTACACAATCACAATGTCCGACAAAGGTGCCATGGTGCCACGTGAGGAGTCGCCGCACTCCATTGCCAGCGAGTTGGATCGGCGCCGCAGTGAGGCCCGCACGTTAGAGCTGCAGGTCTCACGGAAGGAGGCGGAACTCCAGCGCGCGAAGGAGGAGCAGGCGCTGTTGAAGGAAATGCGCACGGTGAACGAGATGATCATCCACAAGAAGGAGCGGCAGAAGAGTGAAGGACCGGTGAGCGGGCTCAAGATTTCTCCTGAGTCGCTTGTCGAGCTGAAACAGCTGGAGGACGCGCTGAAGATGGAGAACCGCAAAACGGCGGGGCTGCAGCAGGTGTCCGACGTGACTTCTCGTCAGATGGAGGAGGTGGAGCGCTCGTTAGAGCAGACGGAAAACCAGCTGGCAGAGGCGAAGCGCTCGACAGGGTGGGACACGGACCGCCACTCGGCCCACACAGAGGCGAAGATGAAAAACGAGTACCGCCAGAAGAAGATGCTTCTGACGTCCTTGACGTCGGAGCGGCGCACCTTGACGGAGCTGACAGAGCGACTCAAGCACCAGGTGGAGGAGCTGCAGGAGAAGACGGCGGCGGCAGACGAACTGGACGACCGCTTTGCAGAGTCTGAGGAGGAGCTGCGCCAGCTGGACATGGTGTACAAGGAGCAGATGGAGCAGGTAAAGAGCAACGAGCGCATTCAGAAGAAGACGGAACGGTTACTCAGTGTCACCAAAGATGAGGACGTGTACAAAAGCATCCGCCAACTCGATGGGGACAAGAAGGTGCTGCACACCAACCTTTCCAAGCTTCGTGAGACGAACGTGAGCAACTCCAAGTCGATCTTGTCTCTCGAGGTCCGTCTGCGCCAGCTGGAGACTCGGTTAGAATCCGTCAACGTGTTCCTCCAGGAGGTCTTCGCAGAGGTCGAGGACGATGAGCCGATGGAGGACGTGCCGGAGGGCGTGACAGAGGTTCCTTTAGTGCGTTTTGAAGAATTAAGTGCCGCCTTGGAACTTTCACGCGAAACCGTAGCCCAGCGCGACGCCCAGCTTGATGAGCACGACGCCAAAATCGAGCAGCTGGAGCGAAAGATTGTGATTCTGCAGAACGCGATAGCGTCGAGGCAGGTCTCGTCGCAGGTGCAGAGCCGCACCCGCGACACAGAGCAGCACAACCTCCAAAGGACCCACGCACAGCGCCTCGGCCAGTTGCAAATGGAGCGCGAGCAGCTTGCCGTGGAGAACTCCACTTTGCGGGGGCGCTTAGCACGGTTACAGTAGAGCATCGAACTGCGAGAATTTCACGCAGACGCATCTCACAAGCACCGCTCTTACGCGAGAGGATCATGAAGTTACCTACAGACGCGTCTTGTTGCTCTGTGTTGTTTGTTCCTGTACTTGTGCGTGCCGCGTAGATCGAGGAAAAAACTCCCTTTTTCCTCCTCCTGCGACACGCCGCACTTACAAAGAAAAAAAAGCGTTTTGATTAAAATGCGTCGTCCCAGTTTTGAATGACTTTCCATGCAAAAGAGCGCTTCTTCTTCCTCTTTTCTTCTTTCACGTTGGCCAATTGGGCCTGTGAGGACGTACCCTTCGCGCGACTCTTTGCTTTTCCTTTCCTACGGGCCCATTTTTGCTCAAATCCACCCTCGTCTCATCGCACTTCGGCGCTTTTTCATCTGATTGTTGTTGATACCGTTTCCTTCATATCCCTTTTTTTTTTTTACTGTACGCACTCGACTACGCGACTTTTTATATTTTAATTTTGAAAAGAAATTGGAATGCTCTGCATTACTCAATTGAAAAAAAAGAAGAATCTATACTGCGAATGTTCTTCGTTTTCTTTTCGACAACTCCTGTACACAAATGCACATACACCGTGGGTGGTGCTGCGTAACTTCTTTTTATTTTCCTGATACGTCTTCGCTCGTTGTTGTCGTCGATCTTAAGCAACAATGATGTCTCCGAATACAGTGACTGGTAGTGCTTTGGATTCCTTTAACGTCGTGGTTCTTTGGTGTGTTGGGCTCAACCGATGCGCTTCATCATTTTCGGCCTTCGACTTCTCCGTCTGGCCGTTGAGGCAAGTCGCTCGCTGGATAGCGGTGGTTGTGACGTTGATGACAATGAGAAGAGAGAAAAAGGGTAGCTTAAGTGGCACATCCATCTATTCCCTTGGAGAATGCAGCATCAACAACTCGGTTCCTCACCTTCTGTTTTATGTCCTTCTGTGTGTCACTTCTACGTCTTCCTTCTCTTTCTTTCTTGCTCTCTTTCAAAATGAAGTGCACTTCATCATCGTAGATTGTGTGCGGAGAGACAGTTTTGTTTCTATCGACAGCTGATGTAGTTTTTTTTTCCTCTTTTCCCTTTCATCTTCTTTGACTACGTCGGGGTCAGGTTGGCCAATGACAACTCTCGCGGACAGAGTGAGAAGCGAGTTTTCGCTGTCACTCTCCGCCGACTACGCCGAGCGGTGTCTACAAGCAACGCCGAATTTAACGTCTTCGGAGCTGTACCAAAAGGCACTGAAAGAAAATCTGCGCGACATTTGCGGCGCCAGCGTGCTGCCATACGGAGTGGCAGCCCAAGTTGCCGCGACACTGCCGAACGCGGTGGTGCTGCAAATTAATAACTCACGCGACGCAACGCAGCCGCTGCGACCGTGTGCGGACATCACGGATGAAGAGGCCATCCTGAACGCAGCGATGCAGCGCAACTCTGATAAGCGCCTGCTGCGGCTGTTGTTGACCGATGGTAACGTGGAGATTCCGGCGCTTGAGCTGTCTACGCTGCGAGCCTTCAGGGGCATTCCCGTACCAGGTGAAAAGCTGTTGGTTCACAAAGACGCTGAGGTGCGCAACGGCTGCATCATTCTGACAGAGGATAACATAACATTGCTCGGCGGGGAGGTGCAGCAGCTGAAGCAAGATTTTTTAGCGCACCGTCGCCGACTCGAGGCTGGCTATCAGACAAGCAACGGCCTCGACGGCGCACCGCGCTTCGAGCCCCTGCAGGTTGGTCAGCATTATCGTGGCATTCAAGGTCCGGGAGGGTTGCCGAACGCGGCGGAGCGGCAAGGCGGTGCTCCTCCTCAGTGGTCGACTAACGCTGTGCGAGGCCGCGGTGGCGGCTTCAACAACAACTACAGTTACCGTGGTAGTGGTGGCGGGCGTGGCGGCGGACATGGGCGTGGCAACGGCGGTGAGCGTGGACGTGGCGGCGGTGGCGGCTACCGCGGGGGTGGCGGCCGAGGTCACGGCGGTGACGACGGTCGCGGTCGCGGAAGAGGCGGTGGTGGGTACCGCGGGCGGGGCAGTTCAGAGTCTTACCACTTCGACGTGACAAGCGGGCCGCCCCCGGAAGAGAAGTTCCCAGCAATAAACGAAGTGAATTTCCCCCGGCTGAGTTGAGAGACCGAGGGGATTTCGAACAGAGCAGAGGAGTTCAATTACTTATTGAAGAAGCGGTCTTCCTTGCACCGGTGCAAAAGGGTTTTTTTTTCTGTCTTCGCTTTGAGCGCAAAAGTAAGTGACTGGCATTTTTGACTGCACCAGGGACAGTACAGGGGCAACCTGCGCTTTGCGGATCCGCCGCATTCGTGCTGCGTACGCATTCCGGCCCTCACACATCAAGGCGCCGCGCACATTTTTGGCTGACAGCGCTCAGCGGCACAACAAGAAGCACCACGCAGCGCCTTACCTGATTGTAGATGATGTTCGGAGTGCAGTCCTCCCTCCGCCTTCGCACACGGGTGCTTTGAAGGGCTTTTTTTCTTCCTATTCAATCCTGCCTTTCTTTGCCGTGTTTCCAATGATCACCTCAAGGAAGGTCATCTGCGCGTTTTGCTCTCGGCGTATTGAGCGCCCATTGGCGTACTCGGTGTCTTATTTCCCGTCTTTGGTGTGTCGTGTTGCCTGAGTAACTTGCGAAGGCTTGATGGACTCGCCCTCCTGCAGCTGCGCTATTTCCCCGTCATGCGATGAGGCAGACCCGGAAAGCAGAACTGTACTCAACCGGCGCGACTCCCTTATCGTGCTCGCTTGCGACACGAAATACAATCACGTCGACGCACTTCGGAAGCTGATGCGGCGCGATTCACGGTTTGCGTGGGTGGACCTTTCGAGCTGTAATGACGTCCGTCACGCACAGATTTTTGTTCGACAGAGAGGCGCGACAGCGGCGGGATGGACCGAAGACGACGCGCAACTACGTGCACTGTTGGAGTCCGACAGCATCCCGCAGTACGTGTGGCCCGCAGCAGGCTATCTGCAACAGTGGATTCGCGCTCATCGCAGCACCTTTGCAAGCAAGACTATTTTGGAGCTCGGGTGTGGGACGGGCATTATTGGCCTCACGGTGGCTCAGTACGCCAAGCTGGTCGTTCTTACCGACTGCTCTGCCGTGTCACTTGCCATGACACTGGAGTCCCTCGCACGCAACAACGTCTGCAACTGCAGCGTTGCAGCACTGTCGTGGGGCCGAGAGGATCAGATGGCACACGTTAAAAAAGTCTGTCACGTTGACGGCTTCGACGTGGTGATCGGAAGCGACGTCTTTTACTTCAGTAGCGCAATGAAGAGTGGCCTGGCAACAGTGCGAAGCGCTTTTGCCCCCACAAACAACCGCGCCGCCATTTTTCTCTGCGGCAGCGTTGCTCGCTCAGAACGCATGGAGGCTGAGCTCGATGAAGTACCGATCCAAGAGGGTTTTGAGTTGACCGATTTTGTCGCCCAAGATTCTTTTCGACTTTACTGTTGGAAGCTAGCGGCTCGGTGACGCCCGTCTGCCGCTGCGCTTTTTTCGGTAGATTTGCACCGCGTCCACTGCTTTACACTCGGCATACCTTCTCCATGGCGTGTGCAGGACGCTATTTTTGCCCCTGCTTCATCGAAGGGATCCGATATATAAAAAGAAGCATCAGTGCAAGTTGAATTCCGCGTTCGTTTCGGTCAAAGCACAAGCAGAACGGTCACGCTTTTTTACTTGAATGGGTGGCCTCGCGTTTTCTTCGTCGTGCTTGCATGTATTTGCGAATGTGGAAGGTTCCTCCCTACGCTCAGCGCCGCGGCGTGCAGGACGAATTCAACGCCCAACTCCGTTACGTGTTGGAAGATGACGTCTCGTTGCTGGATTCCTTTTGCCGCTCTCGCCGTTCAACGTTCCCCTCGTCCTCCTCACAACTCTTTACCTTTTTTTTTTCCGCTACGAAGATCTTAACCGAGCTAGTTAGCATCTCCTGTTCTGCGAGCACGCATCAGTCAGAGAAAAGAAAAGTCTTTGGTCTCCGTTCTATTTGTCGTTTGGGCATTCGAACACTGTACGTGAGCCTTTCTTCCGTTTTTCCTGTTAGCCTTCTTTTAGTTCTTAACACCAAAACAGCAAACCAAACAAGATGTCCGTTGATGATGGTAAGGGAATGCGGGCTGTGATCCTGGTCGGCGGCTTCGGCACGCGTCTTCGCCCGCTGACGCTGACGGTGCCGAAACCGTTAGTCCCCTTCTGCAACAAGCCGATGATTATCCACCAGATCGAGGCACTTAAGAAGGTCGGGGTGACGGAGGTCATCCTGGCCGTTGCGTACCGCCCGGAGGCCATGAAGGCCGAGATGGACGAGTGGGCCAAGAAGATCGGTGTGTCCTTTGTCTTCTCGGTTGAAGAGGAGCCCCTTGGCACTGCGGGTCCTCTTGGCCTCGCGCGTGATATCCTCATGCAGGACGACAAGCCGTTCTTCGTGCTCAACTCGGATGTCACCTGCATGTTCCCCATGGAGAAGATGCTCGCCTTCCATAGGGCACACGGCGGCGAGGGCACGATCATGGTCACCAAGGTCGTGGAGTGGGAGAAGTACGGCGTTGTTGTGTACTCGCCGGAGTCGCAGATGATCGAACGCTTTGTCGAGAAGCCGAAGACGTTCGTCGGCGACCGCATTAACGCCGGCATCTACATCTTCAACAAGAGTATCCTGGACCGCATTCCTCCGCGTCGCACCTCCATTGAGAAGCAGGTCTTCCCGCTCATGGCGGCCGACAAGCAGCTCTACGCCTTCAACCTGGAGGGCTTCTGGATGGACGTCGGCCAACCGAAAGACTTCATCACCGGTATGACCAAGTTCATTCCGTCCCTGATTGGCGACCGCGCCACCGAGGACGTGCACACGGAGGGTGTCCAGCACCCCAAAGGCAGCCACTTCACCGTCGTCGGCTCGAACATCATCGACCCCTCCGCCACCATCGGCGCCGGCGCTGTTGTGGGCCCGAACGCGTCTATTGCGGCCCACTGCGTCATTGGCGCCGGCTGTCGCATCGACAACTCCGCCATTCTGGCCAACACGAAGGTCGGCAAGGGCACGTTTGTGTCGCGTAGTATCGTGGGGTGGAACAACCGTATTGGCAGCTGGTGCCACATCGAGGAGATCTCCGTGCTGGGCGATGATGTCGAAGTGAAGGACGGCGTTGTGATGATTGGCACCAAGGTCCTGCCCAACAAGGACATCTGTGACCATCAGCTGCAGCCGACGATTATCATGTAAAAAATGCTTCGTGGAAAACGTACATGGAGCGTTGGAAAGGAGAAAAAATGCTCATTATCGCATTCAAAAGGCGCTCGCCGACCACAGGGCTGATGAAGTGCGATGGGGTTGGCTGCGTTGAATGAAAAGGAAGGGCCTGACAAGCCCTGAAACATTGCCCTCCCATCAATGCAGCTCTTCTTTTGTGTTCTCAGAGCGCAATTCCAAACAACAACAACAAAGAAAGTAAGCCCTCGACGGTGCAACAGGTGGTGAGTTTGTGTTTTAAAGTGTTATTTTCCTTTTGTTTCCCACCAAAATGGTGCAGAAAGAGAAGAAAAAGACCGGAACCAAAATATAGTGTGCCTCATTGTTCTTTGTGGGCGATCTTGAGACCGAGGCCTTCGTGGACTGCTGTCATGCCGCGGTCCATATTTACGACCAACATAGCTTTTCTTTTCTCTTTGTCTTTCCGGTTTGTTTGTTCTTTGTTTTGTCCGTAATATTTCCTTCGTTTTAGTTTCCGTTTTCACAGCTGTCAAGACATCCATCGAGGTTTGTGTGGGAGAAACTCTCGCCTTTGTTTCCTTCTCTAGACTCGTTCTCCTTCAGAGGCGCAATAAGTCGTGGGAGTACGACATTTTGCAGTACAGCTGCTGTCAACTGCTTTTTTTTTGACTTGTGCATGAAAAACTTTCTCTCGTATTTCAGACATGCCTGTCCTCACTGAACTCCGTATGTTGATCGTGCTCACGTCAACGGCCAACACAACGGAAAGTCTTCCCCTTTTCCTCGTCGGAAACAGATGTGCGCGTGTGTCGCACAACAAAAAAAGATAAACCACACAAAAGACGCAGAATCTCTTCTCAGCGAATCACCGCCACAACAACAAAAAGCGCCTTTTTCTCTAGTTTCATTGGTGCATATCTCACCCCACACGTGTTAAACGTTCCAATTTTTCTCAATCAACGCGTGCTGCTGCTGTAGCTCGACACGACGGTGGTGGTGAGGATGCTGGATATCATTTCGACGTCCAAAGTTTTTTCCCCTATTTTGTTCCCCTTAACAGTAGTTTTCCATTCATTCATTGTTTTCCCACAAATCAAGAAGAATCAAAATTTCCACCTAACAAACGAAACAAAAACGCGAACCGTGCGCAGCCAGTGTAACGCGGTGGTTGTCGATTTGCTGCCGAGTCCGCGGTCCTACCACCTTCGGAGTCTGTGGCTCGACAAGTCCCTGTACGAAGTGCCATTTGTGCCCTCTTCCTTTCGTTTCTGCTACGCTGTCTCTCTCTCTCTCTCTGTCTCTACAGCGCTGTGAGGCTGCGCGTGTATACCCGCACAGGCTCTTTACAAATGTGCTCCTCAACTCCTCTTCCCTTCTCATACTTCCCGCGTTTTAAATCGTCCTTTCTTCTGCTGTCTTTCGCTCTTTTTTTTTGAGACAGCTGTTGCTGCTAAACAGTGTTTTGAATTCTTCTATACAAGGTGACACGTGCGGACAAATACATCCATATCTATCGGCACGTACCAATCAAATTTTGTCCCATTCGAAATATCTTCGTTGCAATAAATCCTCTCTTTTTTATTTGTGGATACACAGCTCTGCTTTTGTGTAGTGAAAATTGTATATGAGGTCTCCGGCAGACGGCTGGAATGCAGTCAGCTCTAAGTACTGAATTGCAGCGACTGTGGCTTGACGCACGATGCACGCCGCCATCCTCAGCGCAGCACGTGGAGAAGGTGAGCGCATTTCTCTCTGTGTTTGTGAGCTGCTTTGCAGGACGCAAGTCAGCGGCCTTTAAAGTTTTGTTTGGCGATGGGGCAGATTTAGTGATGCTTCTTTGCAGGGACTATGCCACCCTCGCTCGACAGCTGAGCCAGGAAAGCTATCCAATGCCCCCTGCTGCGCCAACACTCTCTACGTTGCAGCTATTTGCGCAGGCGCTGCGGTTGCTGATCAACGACGAATCACTGCCAAGCACGGAGGTGGGGCGCCTGGCGAGCGCGTACGAGGCGTACGGCAAGTTCAACGTGGTTGCCCTCTCCCTCGTGATTCACGAGCGCTTCCTCGTTTTCATCCGTGCAGCAAGGGTGGAAGATCCAATGCTAAATGTTGTTGCGCAAACTGACGCTTTGCTGTTGCAACTGGTTGACTGCGTTCTCTCCTGTCGAAGCCGGGAGCTGAACCGGCACTCTGTGCTGGAGGCGACCATCGCGGAGCGTGTATTTGGTGTCGCCGCGACCGCCGCCGCCTATTTCGAGACGCCGTCAGCGGCCGGCGTTGACGCGACGGAGTCGAGTGGTCGAATCCTGCACCAGCAGCTGCCCAACGTCCTCAACGCGGACGTCGCCAACCAAACGCTGCACAAACTCGAAGACGCGCTTGTCTCGTCGCAGCGACGCGTCGCTGGTGCGGTGGTTGCGCTGTACGCCCTCAAGTGCTTCGCTTGCCTGCTGGAGAACATCCTGTATGTGAAGCAGCTTGTTGGCTGCTCCCCTGTGGAAACCGTAAGCTTCGACATCGTTACCGCGACGGTGCTCAACTTCGAGAAGGAGGTTGATGCAGAGGGGCTACCGGCGTTTCGACGGATTGCCGGGTGCATTCGTTTCCTCGCCCTGGCCGAACGCCCCGACCTCTCTGCTCGCAAACTAGCGTCTCCTGTGTCCAACCTGAGCAGCAGCCTCCTTCGCATGCTCCCCGCCTCTGTCAGCAAGGTGCAGCAACGCATTGTGGACTCGTGGACGGGGGGTGATCAGCGAGAGATGCCGCAAAGAATTCACTGCGACGGCGCCGTCGACTCCCTTGCCCGCTTGTTTGTCCTCAGCAGCACGCTCCAAATGTCAGAGCTGTACGGGCAGCAACTGTTTCAGCTCCTCTCCATGAGGGGCGTGCCCTCAGCGGCTCTCAGGTTTACGCTGTCCATTTGTGCGGAGAGTGCCGCCACGTTTGAGCCGGAGAAACTGCGATCTCTCTTGAGTTTTGTCGGCACGCTGCCATGCAAAAGTGAAGTGGGCGACTTTCTCCAGGCCATCGTGACGCAGCTGGGCGGCAGTCGCTTTGGCCAACCGGAGCAGCGGCGCGCCGTGATTGAGTTCTTCATTGACTGGTGCCCCAAGGCGGAGAGCCACATTACCGTGGCACTGGCGTTGGGCGTGGTGCAGGCCGCCGTGCAGTGCATGGTCGGTCTTGCCAAGGATCCACAGGGCAGCGCGCTGGACATCTACGCGGAGCGCTTTTCTGTGCTGTGCAAGGTGGTCGTGTCCGCGAAGACCGCGGCCCGCTGCCTCGTGGGCGACAACTTCTGCGAGTTGCTGCTGCAGGTCATGCTTGCCTCCTTGAATGCCGGGGAGGCCCACACCGCCGTGCTGCTGCGCGATGCTTTCGTTGCTTTGGTGCTCAAAACTGAACTGTTCTGCGACACGCTGCTGGGGCAAATCGCCGCTGCCACCAACAGTAGCCCGTGGGCGTCGTCGGCGACGCCACTTCTGTCGACGTTGGTGCTGCTGATCCACTCATGGGGGCGACACCACCGCGCCTCCCTGCCGCACAACTCCATCGAGCTGTGTCTCTCCTTGACGCAGCAGGTGGTGAGCAGCAGTCTTCACCCAGCTGTAGACCGGCACCTGATCGGGTGCTGTCTGAGCCTGTTGCTGGTGGTGGTGAACTACAGCGATGTATGGGAACTGGTGGAGCACACCGTCGGCTCGCTCCCTGTCTCGTGCGAGCACGTGCAGGGCTTGCTGGACCTCAGCACTGGCGTGTACCGGTCCAATGACAACCTCACCGTCGCCGAGGGCTACTTCACGGACCCGGTCGAGTCTACCGAGTTGTGGTCGGCACCGCACTTTGCTCATTTTGGCCCGTTTGCCGTCATGAGGGAGCCGTACTGCGAGATGGTGTATCCGGTGAAGCTGCTCGTGCGCATGGCCGGCACTCTCCTCACGGAGCAGCACGCCGACGCCGCGAACGCCGTGGACGCCGTGGAGTATTTGCTGCTGCACTCCGGCGTGACGGTGCCGAGCGCCTTTTTGGTGGACTTCATCGCAACGTGGGAGCGCTTTTCGTGGCTGCGCTGCGTGTCGAACGTGTCGGACCGGAAACTGCTGCCCTTTTTCTTTGCCCCCTCTCAGGAGGCAACGGCGATAGTAAAGTGCCAGCAGCGGTGGTTAGAGGCGCTGAGGTCTTCCAGCAACGTGGAGGGACAAGACGGCACCTCCTTTGGCGACTACATCCACTTCGGCGACGGCGGCGGCGCCAGCGGGTCCATCACGTGCGGCGGGGACGTGTGGCCGCCGGTAGACGCCTATGCGACGGGCATGTGGGTCTTCGTCGGCCCCGTCACGCTCTCGGGGCGGCAGGAGGGAAAGGTGGTGCTGTGGCAAGTCGACTGGGACGCAGCCGGGAAGCACTTCTGCGTCTCCCTCGTGGCCCACACGCAGCGCAAGTGTTGCCTGTACAGCTGCGACTTTGACGGGGACGGGACGGTGGTGGAGTTGCCGATGCTGCCGGAGGAACAGTGGGTTCACGTTGCTACCACACACAGCCGCGGAAGGGTGTTTGCGTCGCAACTGAAGGTGTTCGTGAACGGCGTGGAGGTGAGGCGCTGCGGGTGCCCGTACCCGGCGTCCGGCCTCCAAACCGCCGCCGCCGTGGCCAGCTCGATTCCGGCGCTGCTGAATCGCGAAGTGAGTGTCACCGTCGGCTCTCCGCGCGACACGCCAAACAACAACGCCACGCTGCGCGTCATCAGCTTCGAGCTCTACGGATGCAGCACCTCTTCCAAGCAAATCATGTCCATGTACGCGATGGGCCCCTACCACTCGAGCCAGGCGTGGGACGGCGTTGGCCGGCACCAGTGCGATTTGCGCGTTGCGTCGCTCAGCGACGAGACGGTCCGCTGCCTCGCGGCGCATCTCCAGTCGGCGTCTCTCGAGGCGGTCGTGCGGGATCAGTGCGTCGAGCTGGTGCTGCCCCCGGTTCAAGTCCTCGTGAGCATCCACGCCTCCGCGATGGGCCAGGTTAGCAAGACTCTTGACTACCTGAACAACAAACAATGGTCACTGCGTAACATGGCAGCGGCGAATGCGGAGTCGTCGTTTTCTTTGCACGGTTACTATCGACCTCCGCGCGGCACACACACCAACAGCGTGGACGCGCTTCTGTGCAATGGTGCCTTTTATATGTGGCTGCGCTGGATGGCGTGGGTGGCGAGGGAGTCGCAGGAGGTTTCGTCCGCAGAAGGCGAAAAGTGCACCGGTGCAGCCGTGCGCCAAGTCGCGTACCACTTGGTTCAAATTTTGAGCCTCAGCAACAAGCAAACAGACTTGCTGCCGCTAAGCTGGCGGCGCTTCGCTGCCCAGTTCTCCGAGCATGTCTCCCATCAACCTCGGATCTACCTGCACGACCCCACCTCCATAACGTTGCTGCTGCACGTGTGCGTCAAGACGCTTGTGTACCGTGACAAGAATCAGCGTCGCACAGAGGCTACGCTGCTCGCGAATAGTCTACTATTGGAACACATTTTCTTCGACTGGAAGCTGCTAGGCAACTTGCCACAGGACTGCTGGCTGATCGTTATGACAACACTGCGGCAGCTTGTCGCTCCCTCCAACGCCTTGGCTGCCTTCAACACGGTGCGACTCCTCACAGCGGACTTTATCAACGGCTTCGTGATTGGGCTTCTGCGGGAGTACGTGGCGTTTCCTCGATTGCTGGCTGCGGTGGAGTTGATGAAGGCGGTCCTGCTCACAGGCCAGGCGACGGAGGAGCTGATGGAGCGGCTGTTGACGACGTGCCTACTGACGGTGCCGTGTCGAGCGGGACCGGAGAGCAGTGTCAGCACCCTCGAGAGCCACCTCGGCAGCGTGCTTTCGGTCACGTCGCTGGCGTACATCGTTCTGGTGCGCAACATGTTGCTGCGGTGCCTCAACGAGGTCCTGGAGACGACTCTCAGCGATGGCAACACCGCCTTCCTCTCCGCCTTCGTGGCCACCGTACCGGACTGGTGGTTCTCAGCGATGCTGTCCGCCAACTCGCACCCCATCTCGGCGACGCTGTCGCTGCGGCTGCTCGTCCTCTGCTTTCTCAATTCCAAGGCATTCCGCGAGGGTATGACGGTCACGAGGGCCACGTGCATGGCCCAGGCGATGGAGCCGCATTGCCACCAGCGAGAGTTGATGGACGTCCTCGTGCACGGCTACATGGGGCACTTGTGGCCGGTCAGCTCCTCGCACGCGGCGTACAGCACCGTCGCCTGGAGCGGTAGGACAGAGATGGAGGGGCTGCTGGTGCTCGTGCTGCACCTCCTGAAATCGCAATGTCAGCTCCTGCTCCGCGGGGCGGCGGTTCTATCGGAGGAGGGCACCGTCCGCGGCTACTTCAGCGGCGCCGCTACGGAGGTGGGCTGCACCGCGGCGAACCGCAGCGTGAGGGCGCGTCAGCAGTGGCGGCGTGCCGGCGATGTCCTCCGCGCCCTTCGTCGGCTGCGCACCGCGGCGGAAAGCGGCAAGCAGCGCGAGGTGGTCAACGCCTCTTGCGCGGAGCCCTCGGCATCGTTCACGCCATCGCCGGAGGCGCTGAAGAGTTCGATCTGCGAGGTGATGGAGTGGCTCACGCTGTCCTATCGCCTCTCCAACGCGTTGCGCAAGTCGCTCTATCGCAGCAACAGCCCCAGCAACCTCATAGATCTACTCATGTGGCCCGTGTTGGTGGCTCTGCGCGCGAAGGAACCGGTGGCTGCCGCGGCGAGTGCCGCCAACGCCGCTTCGGTTGCAGACCCAGATGGCTCGCCCATGAAGGAGAGCAGCAAGGGCTCCAGCGGCCCTTCCAGCGAGCTGGATGAGGCGGACGAGTGGGAGGTTCTGCCAGACCCGTCGACGTTTGAAACGCGCAGCTTCGGGCTCGATGCGATGGGGCCGGCGGACGGCATGGACGGCGTGTACGACGCGTGCAAGTCGTTCTTTCTCACCCACGCCGCCTCCCGTGCGGCGACGACGGATATTTTGGCCCTGGCGCGCAGTCACACAAAGGTGAGCAAGTACGTCCTCGCTCTCCACCGTGCGCTCTCCACCGAGGTGAAGGGCATCGGCAGCCAATCGGAAGACATCCGCCAAGCATTTCTGTGCTTCGTGTGGTTGAAGGCCTCGGAGCAGTGTATCGACCGCATCTCCGACTTCAGCGCCGGTCCTGTGAAGCGTAACGCGTTGGAGCTCGGGAAGTATGCGCTGGACCGGCTCGTGAGCGGCTCTGCGGTGCCGCCCAACGGCGTTGCGGGGTTTTACCGCTTCCTCCTCGCCCGTGTGGAGGGCGATGGCGAGGTGATGAAGCAGAGTCGCACCGCCATCTTCGAGTGGTTCATGTACATCACCAGCGCCTCCTTCTACAAGTTGGAGGCGACAAAAGTGGGGGCTGTGGTGGACATTGTTTACAACTGTGTCGACACGCTCTTCTCCTCTCCCATGCCAGCCACCGAGCTGCTCAAGACGGTGGTGGCGCGCATGCTGCAGGTGACGGTGTGCCTGTGGAACGGTGTAGCCGACGATGCACACCCCTCCATCAAGAAGATGGCCACGCTGTGGAAAGCGGTTTTGACAGCGAACCAGAGCAACGGCTCCTTGGCGTCGCTCTTCTGCACGACGACGCCACCGATGGACCTGTTTCGCGGCGGCTTTGACCGGCTGCTGTCTGTCTCGTCGACCACGGACGACTTCGCGGCGTGGCTGCGGCAGCATCGCTCCGAGACGGTCCAGCTGCTGCAGACGTACGGGGGCGTGTCGTACACGTTTTTGATGGCGAACGGCGTGGAGTACCTGCGGTTCATCACGCGCTACACGGCGGCTTCGGTGGCTGACGGGGATCGGCAACGGCGCCACGTCTCATTGCTCGCCACGTCGCAACGCCTGCTGTGGACGGGGATGTACGCGACGACGACGTTCGTGGACCGGGCGCTGCTGACCTGCGCGGCGAGTCGCTACCCGAACTGCTACGTCCTCAACGGTGGTGCTGCAGCGATGGACGAGACAGACGACGTGTGCAGCGAGTGGTTGCTCAACTGCAGCGGCGCGGTGGGGAAGTGCCGGCGGTACGTCTCGGAGCGCGTCGAGGAGGTGGCCAGCGACCCTCTCAACTTTTACATCCGCTACGCACCTCCAATGTGTCTGCCGCTGTCTCGGCGGGAGCCGCAGAGTTCGACGGTGGTGCTGCAGACGAATGCGCGGGCGGTGGTGGCGAAGGTCGCAGGCCACGGCTCCGGCGGTGCGATTCTGTTCGTGTGCAACGCGTACCTGGTCGTGGGGACGGAGAGCTACATCTGCACGACTTTGTTGACGCCGGAGGAGCTTATCATTGTCACCTGCAGCGCCGTCACACCCGCCGGTGACTTCTTCGTGGAGCAGGTGCGTGTCCACAGCGCGGTGCAGCGGTCAAGTGCGAAGTCGTCTCTCCTCCAGCAGGCTCTTCGCCTCTTCACGTCGGGACAGGGCAGAGGCCCCGGCAGCACCTCCTCACAGGCAGCGTTCCGTTACTCGCAGTACTACCGTCAGCTGCAGACGGAGTCCGCGAAAGGCAGCACCGCGCTGGTGTGGCGCTTCCCGCTTGGCATCATCACCTCCGTACACCAACGGCTTTTCCAGCACCTCTCCGCCGGCCTCGAGTTTGTGATGGAATCGGGCGAGTGCGTCTTCCTTGTGCTGCTGGACGACGAGCTGTCCTTCTCGAAGGCGTCGCGTGATCAGCTCTTCTCGTACTTCGATAGCGACTTCGACCCCATCATCGCCGGCATCTCCGCGCGATCCTTCGCCGAGAAGCAGTGGGCGCTGGCGGTGTGGACGCGGCGGTGGGTGCGGCGTGAGTGCAGCAACTACACGTATCTCTGCGTCCTCAACGACGCGGCCTCGCGCTCCGTGGCCTACTTGGGCCAGTACCCGGTGATGCCGTGGACGCTGTGCAGCTACTCGGCAAGCACGTTGGACCTCGGAGACGCCGGCGCCTACCGCGACCTGAGCAAGCCTGTGGGGGCGTTGAATGAGGTGAAGGCGAAGCAGCTGCAGAAGCGGTACGCAGAGTGGATTTCAGCAGACGTCGCGACGGACCCGCCCTACCACTATGGCACCCATTACAGCACCGCCGCCATCGTGCTTTACTTTCTCGTTCGCCTGCAGCCCTTCACGGCCCGCTCCATTCGCTTCCAGGGCGGCAAGCTCGACATCGCGGACCGCCTCTTCCACAGCGTCGCGGAGGCGTGGGTGAATTGCAGCGGGCGAGGCAGCGGCGATGTGAAGGAGCTCATCCCGGAGTTCTTTCGTGTGCCGGCCTTCCTGCAGAACAAAAATGGTATCGCCCTTGGCACTTGCAGCGACGGTGAGACCCTCGGTGACGTCGTGTTGCCTCCCTGGTGCGGCGGCAGCGCTCTCGCCTTTGTCTACATGAACGCGCTGTCCCTGGAGAGCGAGGTGGTCAGCGGGCAGCTGCACAAGTGGATCGACCTCATCTTTGGCTACAAGCAGGTGGGCCCGGCCGCTGTGGAGGCCATCAATGTTTTTAGCCCCCTGTCCTACAAGGAGGGCGTCGACCGCGCCATCAACCACGCAGCCACTGAGGAAGAGCGACGCTCCATCGTGGCCTCTGCGGACAACTTCGGCCAGACGCCGCTGCAGCTCTTTCCGAAGGAGCCCCACCCGCCTCGCAAAGACGCCGCTAAGGTGCACACCACGCAAACGGCCATGCTGGAGTCGCTCACAGACTTGACGACGCGGCCGTGTGTCGGGGCGCAGCTGGCGGTCCGAAAGGGAGAGCAAATCGCCTCTGGCCTTTTCTGCGACGACACCCTCTTTCTGCTCGATAACACGAGTGCCGTCGGGTCAGCACGACCGGCTCTGCTCTTTTCGTATCAGCGTGAGATGGACCGAATCGTGTGCACCGCCTTGAGAGGGGATCGCGTGTTGGCGACCATCGACCAAATTCGGGCTTCCGGCTGTGGCCCAGTCCGGTGCATCTGCGCATCGACTCGCGGCAGCGTCGTGTGCGTCGGCACGGAATCGGGCCGGGTCGTGGTGTACAGCCGCGAGACAGTGCGCCACCGCTTCTTCATCATAGCCGTGCTCGACTCCACGATGGACACGTGCCTGGCCGAGGCAGGTGCCGTAGCCCGTCTGGACTTGTTCGATGAGGGGAAGCTCGTCGTGGCGTACGAAGGGGCGTCCACCGTGTCGGGGTGGCATCTCTCCTTTCTCTCCACGACCTTCTCTTTCGCGGCGAGTCTGGCGACCACAGCAGACCGCACCCCCGTCCGGGCCATCTCGCGGGACACGCACACAGGTCTCTACTACGCTGCGAAGACGGACTCCGTGGTGGTCTTCTCATCCGGCGGCGTCGTTCTCGCGCATCACCACATGGACACGCTTCTTGTTTCTGCTGTCCCCGCGCACGCACATCGCATGGCCAACGCCTGCGTCACCGCACTTTTCTTTGCCAACTGTGCCTCGTTCTCCTTCTCGAATCTGCTGCTACTCGGCCACTCAGACGGCATGGTATCGTTGTGGTGCGTTGTGGCTTCGCAGACCATGGCAGAAGCGCCCGACGTTGCCCGTGCCCCTTTGTGGTCCTTTCAGTTTCGGCACGCTGTGGTCTTCGAAGCCCCTGTCACGTGCCTCGTCGCGTCGACAGAGGAGACACGTTTTATTGTCGGACTCGCCAACGGCACTGCACAGACGATTTCATTCCCCTCCGTGGACAACGAAAGCTCTTAGCCGTTAATAGCGCATGCGCGGCCACGAAAATGTTGGCACTTACTCCTTCGTTCTCATTTGTATAAAACGCCGTCAGCAGCGGCGCCTCAACAGCACATCTGCTTCAATTTGAGTCCACTTGCTACAAAAACAGAGCATCTCTTTTCCTTCCCACTGCGTGGCTGAACGTCACCGTTCACGTTTTGGCGCTGCGTTGTTGAGTCCTCTTCACGCAGTTCATCTGTCGAGCTCCACACGCCGTTTTCTTTCCCCGCAGCTACTTCTCAGTGCTTGTGCCGATAGCCAGGAGCTCTCCGACAACCTCAGCTGAACCAACCAAACGACTTCCACTTTGCCGACAGCAAAACACTGGGGAACAGCAATTGGCTTGTGGTGGCGTTGATCTAACGGCAACTTGTCTCTCTTCTCACCTCTCTACTGCAGAGCACACAAAAACAACCCTGTCTGTGCTTCAAAGGAACTCCCCGAACGACACTATTGCTTCGAGGTCCAGATGTGCGCTGTAAGACCAACGTCTTGCTGTCCGTCAGCTGCAACACAGACGGTGCACTGTAGGATTGGTGAGGAACACCTATAAAACATCGTTCCGCAAAATACCCTATAAAAGCCATAGAATTACTCTCTCTGTTTTGTTTTTTCGGTGCCTTTACAACCGATGGGGTTTGAATGCGCTGGGTGACGCCGGTTCGCCCGAGCGTGGGAAACGCCCCAAAGAGCCTTCCTGTTTGCGACTGGGCAGACGGGCCCGCGCGCACGTGCGCTTGGGCCTGCGCCGCTGCTGTGATTATAACGGAATATCTTTGCTACAGGTGATGCGCGCGCTGCGTGCGAGATGACCTTACTTCTTCCAAACCCCAACCAAGATCAATGAGCTGCGGCTTTGCGGCGTGCCTGTGCGCGCGTGCGTGTATGTGTGTGTAAGTGTGTGTGCGGGCGTGCCCCCCTTGCGGACGGCCGCGCTGCTGACCTTTCCTCCTCCTCCGCGGTTGCCTTCTGCGGGAGCCCCCTGCGCCGCTCCTCTCCCGTGCGGTGCGCTGTGCGTGGCGTGCGCGATACATGATTACGATCAAGGACGCTCGAGTCAAAACCAATTTTCTGTCTGAACCTCACTTGTGTTGATTGTGTCCCCCGTGTCTGAGCGATCGCGCTGCGCCGCGCCGTGGGTGCTGTTGCTGCTATGTTGCTTGCGTGCTGGAGCGTGGAGGCGCGTGCGCGTGAATGATGATGCGTGTATTCTGCAATGCTGACCTGTCTGACGAGAAGCAATACTACTACTATGACTATTGGCATCTGACACGCGGTGTGCTGCCGCTGCGGTTGGCGGTGCCGCGCGCAGGGGGGTCAAAAGGTCGTGCGCGGTGAACCGGTGTCGCGCACGCGGGACAACCCTCCGAGATGCGCCGGGGTGCGGTGCTTCTCCTCCCCTGAGTGTGTGCGGAGGTGATGGAGTGATGGGGTTTGAATGCGCTGGGTGACGCCGGTTCGCCCGAGCGTGGGAAACGCCCCAAAGAGCCTTCCTGTTTGCGACTGGGCAGACGGGCCCGCGCGCACGTGCGCTTGGGCCTGCGCCGCTGCTGTGATTATAACGGAATATCTTTGCTACAGGTGATGCGCGCGCTGCGTGCGAGATGACCTTACTTCTTCCAAACCCCAACCAAGATCAATGAGCTGCGGCTTTGCGGCGTGCCTGTGCGCGCGTGCGTGTATGTGTGTGTAAGTGTGTGTGCGGGCGTGCCCCCCTTGCGGACGGCCGCGCTGCTGACCTTTCCTCCTCCTCCGCGGTTGCCTTCTGCGGGAGCCCCCTGCGCCGCTCCTCTCCCGTGCGGTGCGCTGTGCGTGGCGTGCGCGATACATGATTACGATCAAGGACGCTCGAGTCAAAACCAATTTTCTGTCTGAACCTCACTTGTGTTGATTGTGTCCCCCGTGTCTGAGCGATCGCGCTGCGCCGCGCCGTGGGTGCTGTTGCTGCTATGTTGCTTGCGTGCTGGAGCGTGGAGGCGCGTGCGCGTGAATGATGATGCGTGTATTCTGCAATGCTGACCTGTCTGACGAGAAGCAATACTACTACTATGACTATTGGCATCTGACACGCGGTGTGCTGCCGCTGCGGTTGGCGGTGCCGCGCGCAGGGGGGTCAAAAGGTCGTGCGCGGTGAACCGGTGTCGCGCACGCGGGACAACCCTCCGAGATGCGCCGGGGTGCGGTGCTTCTCCTCCCCTGAGTGTGTGCGGAGGTGATGGAGTGATGGGGTTTGAATGCGCTGGGTGACGCCGGTTCGCCCGAGCGTGGGAAACGCCCCAAAGAGCCTTCCTGTTTGCGACTGGGCAGACGGGCCCGCGCGCACGTGCGCTTGGGCCTGCGCCGCTGCTGTGATTATAACGGAATATCTTTGCTACAGGTGATGCGCGCGCTGCGTGCGAGATGACCTTACTTCTTCCAAACCCCAACCAAGATCAATGAGCTGCGGCTTTGCGGCGTGCCTGTGCGCGCGTGCGTGTATGTGTGTGTAAGTGTGTGTGCGGGCGTGCCCCCCTTGCGGACGGCCGCGCTGCTGACCTTTCCTCCTCCTCCGCGGTTGCCTTCTGCGGGAGCCCCCTGCGCCGCTCCTCTCCCGTGCGGTGCGCTGTGCGTGGCGTGCGCGATACATGATTACGATCAAGGACGCTCGAGTCAAAACCAATTTTCTGTCTGAACCTCACTTGTGTTGATTGTGTCCCCCGTGTCTGAGCGATCGCGCTGCGCCGCGCCGTGGGTGCTGTTGCTGCTATGTTGCTTGCGTGCTGGAGCGTGGAGGCGCGTGCGCGTGAATGATGATGCGTGTATTCTGCAATGCTGACCTGTCTGACGAGAAGCAATACTACTACTATGACTATTGGCATCTGACACGCGGTGTGCTGCCGCTGCGGTTGGCGGTGCCGCGCGCAGGGGGGTCAAAAGGTCGTGCGCGGTGAACCGGTGTCGCGCACGCGGGACAACCCTCCGAGATGCGCCGGGGTGCGGTGCTTCTCCTCCCCTGAGTGTGTGCGGAGGTGATGGAGTGATGGGGTTTGAATGCGCTGGGTGACGCCGGTTCGCCCGAGCGTGGGAAACGCCCCAAAGAGCCTTCCTGTTTGCGACTGGGCAGACGGGCCCGCGCGCACGTGCGCTTGGGCCTGCGCCGCTGCTGTGATTATAACGGAATATCTTTGCTACAGGTGATGCGCGCGCTGCGTGCGAGATGACCTTACTTCTTCCAAACCCCAACCAAGATCAATGAGCTGCGGCTTTGCGGCGTGCCTGTGCGCGCGTGCGTGTATGTGTGTGTAAGTGTGTGTGCGGGCGTGCCCCCCTTGCGGACGGCCGCGCTGCTGACCTTTCCTCCTCCTCCGCGGTTGCCTTCTGCGGGAGCCCCCTGCGCCGCTCCTCTCCCGTGCGGTGCGCTGTGCGTGGCGTGCGCGATACATGATTACGATCAAGGACGCTCGAGTCAAAACCAATTTTCTGTCTGAACCTCACTTGTGTTGATTGTGTCCCCCGTGTCTGAGCGATCGCGCTGCGCCGCGCCGTGGGTGCTGTTGCTGCTATGTTGCTTGCGTGCTGGAGCGTGGAGGCGCGTGCGCGTGAATGATGATGCGTGTATTCTGCAATGCTGACCTGTCTGACGAGAAGCAATACTACTACTATGACTATTGGCATCTGACACGCGGTGTGCTGCCGCTGCGGTTGGCGGTGCCGCGCGCAGGGGGGTCAAAAGGTCGTGCGCGGTGAACCGGTGTCGCGCACGCGGGACAACCCTCCGAGATGCGCCGGGGTGCGGTGCTTCTCCTCCCCTGAGTGTGTGCGGAGGTGATGGAGTGATGGGGTTTGAATGCGCTGGGTGACGCCGGTTCGCCCGAGCGTGGGAAACGCCCCAAAGAGCCTTCCTGTTTGCGACTGGGCAGACGGGCCCGCGCGCACGTGCGCTTGGGCCTGCGCCGCTGCTGTGATTATAACGGAATATCTTTGCTACAGGTGATGCGCGCGCTGCGTGCGAGATGACCTTACTTCTTCCAAACCCCAACCAAGATCAATGAGCTGCGGCTTTGCGGCGTGCCTGTGCGCGCGTGCGTGTATGTGTGTGTAAGTGTGTGTGCGGGCGTGCCCCCCTTGCGGACGGCCGCGCTGCTGACCTTTCCTCCTCCTCCGCGGTTGCCTTCTGCGGGAGCCCCCTGCGCCGCTCCTCTCCCGTGCGGTGCGCTGTGCGTGCTGCGTGGAAACGGGGAGGTAAGGTTTGTCTCAGAGGAGTGCGTATGTTTTGTTAATCCCTTTCCGAAGAGGTGTATGTTGTGGAGGGCGGGCCGTGGGCGTCGCAAGGTGTATTTTCCTTCTAATAAGTGGTGATGTGTACTTCGCTCAGGGCTCAAGAAGGGGCTTCTCATTGGCATTGCTCGCTTTCCTTTGTGACTTCCTTCTGAAGGCTTTACACAGTTACGTTGCCGGTGTGTGCGTCGGTAAATGCAATTTTGCGTCGTCTTTAACGATGCCGACACGTAAACGTCCCCCGCCTTGGTGGGTGGTGCTCCTGCTTCACTTGATGCTTCTCCTCTTTGCCCCCACCTTTTCGTTCTCTGTGCTCCGTTAATATCATCCGAACTGATATAGTACGCGCAAAAGATAAAAGGAAAATGGCCAGTGAAGCACGCGTTGTGCAGCTGCAAACTAGTTGCGGATCCCTCAGCGTTGAATTGTACGAGAATTACTGTGCAGATGCGTTCTGGCAGCTGGCGTGTAGTGGGCAACTTCGCCGACTTATCTTTCGGCGTGTGTTGGCCGGCTTCGCCATTGTGGGTGAGGTCGACAACCTCTGCGCGCGGTGCACCACCGCAGATGAGGTGGCAGCGGTGGAGGGCAGCTCCGAAGGGCCGGGGCTGCGGCACGTGGGTGCGGGGCTGCTGAGCTGCCGCCCAGTCATGGGCACGCCGGCCTGCAGCAGATTTGTGGTGACGCTCTCGCCGCAGCCGCAGCTGGACTCGACGCAGGTTGTATTTGGTCGTGTTTACTCCGGCTTCGCGACGGTAGAGAGCATCGCACGGATGCAGGTGGACACGAACTTCACTCTCTACACACCAGTGACAACTGTGAAGTGCATCACGGCTGTTCTTCCGAAAGGGACACCGCCGAATAGTGCGAACGGCAGGTCAGCTGCAGAGGGCTGCGTCGTGAAGTCGGTGTCGTCTGTGCCGCTGGTCTCTTTGCTGGAGTAGGGCCTCAACGCCGCTTGCATTTTTTTGGGCTGATTGACCGACGATGGTTGCGTTGGCGGCAAAAAGGCGCGTTTGGACGATTGTCTCTGGCGCTACGGTTTTCCAGACGAATTTGTGCTTTGAGAAAATGAACACGAGGAATAGTTGATAGGATAAATTGGTTTGATTATCTTCTCACCCAACAACAACAGCAAACAAACAAACAACAACGGCTGACATGCCGTTTCACACTCTGCCCACGTGAGCACCCGCGAAAAGCTGTCAGCTCGTAGCTCCCTGCATTCTTCATGAAACTGCTGTAGTGAAGTGCCTTCTGTAGGACTTGATGTGGCGCCCTTCAAGAGAAACCCTTTCGCATAGCTTTCGACTTCTTTCCTTCTTCTCTTCTTCTCTTTCTCTCTTCTCCCCCATTGTTGTCTTTGCAACACCGTTTCCTCGTTGACGTACTCAGAAGTTAAGGTGTTTGCCGTAGTGTGTAGCGCAGTTCAACAGGAGAGTGTGAACGCCTTCTTGAGCAAATATTCTAGCGAAAGAAAGAAATCGCGACAATCGAGATGTCCGCAACGAAGTCGTGCGACCCCGAAGCCTTCCTCTTTGGCATGCTGGGCGCAGCCTTCTCCCTTGCCCTCGCCAATGTCGGGGCCGCCTACGGGACGGCGAAGGCCGGTGTGGCTGTGGCGCAGCTCGGTATTGTGCAGCCCACACGCGTCATGCGTGGCATCGTGCCGGTCGTCATGGCTGGTATCTTAGGCATTTACGGGCTCATCGTGTCTGTGATCATCTGCAACAACATGAAGATTAACGGATACCCGATCTTTTCCGGCTACATGCACCTCGGTGCTGGGCTGGCGGCTGGCTTCGCCTCCTTGGCGGCGGGGTACGCCATCGGCATTGTAGGCGATATCTGCTGCTACGCGTACGCCAAGACGGAGAAGGTGTTCGTGCCGATGATTTTGATGCTCATCTTTGCGGAGGCGTTGGGGCTGTTCGGTCTTATTACGGCGCTGTTGATGAACAACAAGGCCAACTCGGTGGTCGGCACCTGCACTTCCAGTTAGGATGGAAGGTCCTTTCGCTCCGCCCTTTCTCTCGCCCTTTCTTTCTCGTATTCGTTGTTGGTCCATGACGCTGTCGGTGCCTCGGCGTTTAATTTTCTTTCTCTGACTTGATGTCGCTGGTTTGTTTGAGGAGTCCTATCGAAGTTGAGGGAGCGAGGCAACTCTGAGGAGGGACAACGCCGCTTTGACGGTGGTGCTTCCAGGCGGAGCTGCGAGGCAATGCGCAGCTGATGAACGTGTCAGTGATATGCTGCCTGTCGCCTGTGCGCAGTTGTGCGTCATTTTTTTGTCTTCTTTGTTTTGCTGAAACGGCGAGTGTGGCTCCATCTTTCTCTCTCTGTGTGTGCGTGTGTGTGTGCGAACCTTGACCTCATGCTCTTCGCGCAATAGTCCTTTTTTTCCCTTGCCTGAGTGGTGTGTGAAACCTGGAAAGATTGTTTCCAGAAGGGGATTGTGCGGCAAGCGACTGTTGAAGATGAATTTCAATTTGGCGTCATTTCAGTTACCGAAGAGAGAAGAGTATGTAGCGTCACTGTTGCGTCATGCCAACAGTATTTTTGCGCCGTGATGCGGTCGCCGATCGATGCTGTGCCTTTTGCCGGCCCTTTTCTTTTCGAAATGGAGGCACTGTGTAATGCCGCATGACTTGTGTGCGAAATGACAATGAGAGTTTTCATCTCTTTCGTGGGCGTGCGCGAAGGAGGGTACTCCACCGGCATTGGGCTTCGATTCAGCGAATTATGTTGACTTCTTCCTGGTGCGCTATCCTCTCTGTGTATCATAATAATAGGTATCATTGTTATTACTGTTGACTCTCCGCACTCTTCTCATCTATTATTCCTTTTCGCGCTCATTTTCCTCCGCCTCTCACTGCGTCCATCGTCTTTTTTCTCTTTCTGTGTTTGTGTGCTCGTACGCGAATTCAACATTGCGTGTGTTTCACCGCCTTCGATGATTCCCGCCTCCATCAGCGAGGACTCAAACAGGAGAGTTTTTGCGCCCGTTTCTGCTTTTGCTTTCGGGCCTTCATCGATCTTCGACGGTGATCACCCCACGCAGCTCTCCATTGTCCAACGCAGCCACTCAGACTCGTTGGAACCGCGACATCGCAACCATCCCCCTTTCTGCCTTCTTTTCATTCATGTCTGTCGTTCACCGACGCAGCCCCGTGTTGTGTTGCACGCCGGAGCCGCAGGCAGAGCTCTACAAGCGTCAAGCTCCGCACCGGAAGCACTTTTATTCGTGGGTGGCGACGGACAGGAGGCAGCTCGAGATCACGGAGCGTCTGCTGCTTCGCGGCCTGCCCTACTACCAAGCCAGAATTGCAGGTCTAAACACCATCTCCACGGACGACATACGCGGCTGCGATGACGACCTAGCAGCCACGGCGGACACCTCTAGCGGTCTGCGCGCCGTGAGAAGCTCCGGCGACCTCGCGAACATCGCCGCCGCAGCGGAGGCGGAGGAGGAGGTCGATACGAGGGACGTGCTGGTGCTGGTGCACGGCTTCGCTGGCGGGGTGGCGGGGTGGGCGCAGAACTGGCGGTTCTTCGCGGAGCACTTCCGCGTCTACGCGATGGACCTGCCGGGCTTTGCGCGCAGCGAGCGTCGTGCGCACCGTGCCACGTCGGTGCAGACGGCGATGAACTTTGTATGCGGCTACCTGGAGCGGTGGTTCCAGCGGCTGCGCTTTGGCAAGCCCGTCATCGTCCTCGCCCACTCCTTCGGCTGCTTCGTGGCGGCGCACTACGCGATGCGGTGCGGTCCGGCTGAGATCAAGCAGCTCTGCCTGACCGAGCCGTGGGGGATGGTGCGCGGCGACCGCAACCGCGTGAAGAAGTACCCCCTCCTCCTCCAGCTGATGCTTACTCTCTTCTACCACGTCAGCCCCCTCGCTCTTTTGCGGGCGGCGGGTCCGGGAGGTCCGCAGCTGCTGCGCCACACCCGGCCTGACTTCGACGCGAAGTGGAAGTCGTTTCTCGATAACACCGACCCGCTCTACGACTACTTGTACCACTGCAACGCGCAGAGATCGCCTGTCGGGGAGACGCTCTTTCAGGCCTGCTGCCACTACGACGTCTGTGCGAAGGAGCCGCTGCAGGACGTGCTGCCGTTCAAGCTGGACAAGCGCATCCGTGTGATGCTTCTCTTTGGTGGCACGTCGTGGCTCGCGCCGGGTGAGGCGATGGAAATGGCCACCGTGATGCGCGCGAAGAGTTTCCACGTCTTGGTCGACACGCTGCCTACCGCCGGGCATCAGGTTTTTACGGATGACGTGGACGGCTTCAACGAGAAGGTGCTAGACATGCTGAACACCTTAGCGGCGGACTCGGACACGGGGGACGTCAAGGACATCCATGAGGAACCTCTGCAGTGACATCAGAGCGCTTTTCTTCCCTTTGCCGACGTATTCCGCCGCTTTCTGTTTGTTTCATTGTCTCCGAAAGCGCGCATCGTTATGGCGGTGCCCCCGTTGCTGTCACCTCCTGCAACAAGGGTAGCGAGCGATTGCGTAAAGCGTCTCTTGCTTCATAGTTCGTTTTCTTCGTGTTTCTTTTTGGTTTAGGGGCGCAGATGCAGGACGAAAGCTGCGGCGCGGGTGATTAAGTGCGTGGGAGAGACGGAAGGTCACCGATGAGCCCTTCGCTTCCCTCTCGCCCTCTTAGCTTACGTATCTGAAGGGCCGATAAAGGTAGTGATATTTCCAAAGGTTGTAGAGTTGACGCTGCACATTGTTTTCTCTCTCTCCCCCGTTTTGTGTGTTGTGGCGAAGCTCGACCAACCGTGTTTGCATCTCTTTCTCTCTATGAGGTTTTCGCACATGACGTTCCTCTCCTTTTCCTTCGGTGTTTTTGGGGTCTCGAGTTGGAAATCACTCCGTTGGAGTACTCCCGTTGCCGTTATCTTAGATGGGTTTGTATACGCATACAAATATATACATATATGCGTTAGTTTATGCACTTCCATTCCTGTTATTCGAGGTGCGGCGCATCGAAGCCGAATCTACCACCATCGATCTCTCTCATTTTTCTATTTTTCTTTTACTTTTCTTTGAGCTCGCTTCACCCGCCTAACTTCGCCACTGGCATCGAAGAAAAAGACGAAGAGACGGGAGGGGGAAGGTGCAGCAAGCCATCAATACAGCGCGTTGGGTTGTCCCTCCAGCCATCATGCCACGCCCTTCACGATGTCTGAGAAAATGACGTCGTTAAGGTCGTGAAGGCCGAGGCTTCCGCAAGGTGCAGCGCAATTCTATCTATTTGTTTATGCCATAAGCACTGCAGTTTATCTGGGCGCTGAAGCATTCCTTGGACGTACACGGCAGGAGTGTGCAATTCACAGAATTTCGCATCTCTCTTTCTGTTCGTGTGAGCGTTTGCTCTCTAAAGGTGTCTTTTATTATTATTTTTTTTCTTCATTGACGTGTTGATCAATTTGAGGGGAAAAACCACTCTCTTGTCGAAATGAAGAGCGACGGCTGTGCCGTACATAGGCTGGAAAGGCCATGGGTACAAAAGGTCTCGTAGGGGGAGTCGTTCTCCACACCAAGTGCGGGAAAGGTTGAAAATATGCATTGCTGCCTTTGTCGCTTCTGTTTTCTACATGTGTTCTCTTATCCTGCACGTGTGTGGTTTCTGCTTGTTAGTCCTTTTCTTTCCCTTCTATTTTGCACGTCGCCGCTATATGGCCGACAGCTGTGCCGCACGGTGCGGGTCTGCGGCACGGCTGTGGGCTTGTGTGCTTTTGGTTTTGCTTCATTCTTGGATTTTACTTTCTTCCTATTTACGTAGGCGAATTTGTGGTCGTCTTTCGCGACCGACAAACGGTTTTGATTTCGCTTCCCTTCTTCCTTCTTCCTTATCACCTTGGTTCACCGCTTCAGGGAGGTGACCGCACGAACGTCTATCTTTTCGCTTTAGGTCTCCCTGCTGCCATCGCGGCTGCTTTATGCCTTTCCCTTCTTGCTTGAGGTTTGTATTGCTCGGAGCTCGTTCTCGACTGTCTGCGCCGACTCCTCCGTCCCCTCGCCCCTTTTCCCCACTGTTTTGTTGCCGATGGTCTTCCTTATTTCAAAACTGCTTTCTCCTCTCCTTGTGTCTTGAATCCCATCGTGGCACACGGCTGCTTCCCCTCATGGCTCTCCGCCCACGAGGCTTTTTTCCTCCTTTTTGGATGTTGTCTGGTGAAGACGTGCGGTGCGTGCTTTGCCGCCATAAATATCTCACGCTGCGGCATTACTTCTTCTCTTTTTTCCGTCTTCTCTCTGTCTTTTCTGTTGCTGAGCTTTTTTTTTCCTCTTCTTGTGAATAAGCGCACGCGTGAGATTCGACTGCTCTCCGTGTTGAACTCGTCTTGTTAGAGCCTGCATGGCCTCTCCACCGCCTCATTTCTTCTTCTTTTGGGGTTACTCCTTGGCATAAGGGAGAAACACGCGAGAAATATGGTGGTTGGGGCAAGAGGTTTTCACCGTAAACAGCATAAGCATACATTTATACTCCGATCCGTGTTAGTATGACTACTAGTACTCCTAGCATTTTATTTCTGTTGTTTTTCTAAGTTTCCGCAACGGCTGTTCTACTCCCTCGACTGGCAGCGCGAAGCGCTGCCGCGTTGCCCGCTTGAAAATATGCGTCTCAAAAGAAAAAAGACAAACTTGAAAAGAGTGGAGAAACAGTTGTAGTGCACGCAAACCAGCATTTTTGAAACGGTGAGGGCCTCTTTGCTGGCTCTTCGGCGGTGCCAGCGCTTTCTGGCAATTGCCTCATACAGAGAGAAAAACAAATGATAATGTCGAGTGAGGCGCAAGATCCGCCTTCTGCAACGTGACGCGGGTATTTTGCCTCTGCCGTTGTTTCCTCGTCTCCACTTTTGCCTTGTACCCCGACTTGAGTCTTTTGATTCGATGTGTGTCGGTTCGTTTCTTGGCGGACTCTGCAGAGGGAGTTGAGAGAAGAAGGACTTCGCCGAGCGCCATACACTTTATTTTTTTTTCTAGTACCGTTGCGCACTCGCCCTTCAACCTGCACACCTCCGCAGGAGTACTGTCGAGCTGAATTGAAGCGGTTGCACGCACACTTGAAGGTTACGTGACGCGACGCACATTTGTACCACCTCGTGTAATCGGATTTCTTCACGCTTTTCCTTAGGCAGAAAGACTCCAGCTATATAAGGTGCGATTCATCGCCTGACAATGCCGATTTCTACTGCTTGGGCGGATGCTTATCACGCCGCGTGCTGCGCCGTTGGCGCAGAGGTGAGAGAAGATCTGCGCGGCACCGGCTGCACCGGCGCCTTGACGGTACGCGGCAACACCTTCAACAACTTCAACCGTCGTCTGGAGGACAAGGACGTGGAGGCGGTCGTCGTCGCGTTGCGTGAGTTCCGCGGTGTGTCCTCTATCTGCCTCCCGTTCAACAATATATCTGACCGCGGTGGTGCGCTGCTGGGGGAGGCTCTCGCCCAATACGCCGACTCTCTCGTGCGGCTCGACCTGCAGTACAACAGCCTTGGATCGGCGGCCGCGGAGGCGCTGGCACGGGGAGTGGAGAGCAACGACTCCCTCTGCGCCTTGTTGCTTGCCGGCAATCCGCTGGGTGGACAGTGCGGACTCGCACTCCATGCCGCGCTGCGGCACAACACGACGTTGAGCGTCCTCGACCTGTACAACACTGAGATGAGTGTGCAGTCCCTCGTGCCGCTCTGCCGCTCGCTGGGGGCAAATCGTAGTCTTATCTCGCTCAACATCGGGCGGCCGCTGCTGCGGGGACCGGACGAGGTGGCAAGCGTGGTGGACCACCTTTCCACGGCGCTGAAGAGCAACAGCACGCTGGAGGAGCTCAACGTGAGTTACTTTGGCATGACCGATGGCGAGCTTCAGGCGCTGGTCGTGGCCTTGTGCGCGTCTGCTGTGATGACACTGAGCTTGAAGGGGAACAAGCTGTCGGAGGACGCCGGGCTGCTGCTGACGCGACTGCTGGAGCGGAGACACGACTTCCGACAGTTAGATGTGAGCTGCAATCGTCTGCGTGACAAAGGCGCGTGCGATCTTGCCAAGGGCGTCGCGCAGCATCCTCAACTCGCCTCGCTCAGTGTGGCGAGCTGCACGATAGGAGAGGTGGGTCTCGCTCGCTTAATAGAAAGCCTGTGCAGCTGTGCGGCGCTGCAGCAGCTTGCATTGTGGGGCAACAGCATCACACCCGGCGTTGCGCAGACCCTGTCGCGAACGTTTGGTGATCTGCGCAAGATGGAGAGCGTGGACTTTGGGGTTGAACAGCGCGATGGGGAGTGGATGGCCTACCGCAGCTGACAGAAACTGTGAGAAGGGTTTTCTCTTTTCCATCATACATGTACACTATCCCGATGAAGTATACGGATCTTTGAAATTGGCAGAGGAACAAGAGTTGCATCGGCTTCGTTCACAATGCGACGAGACGACAGCGAGCACAACGCTGGACCGATCGCAGCTTCGAGTTTGTTTTTTTCCTATGGGCAGATGTGAAAGGACTTATCGCCTTTCTGCAAGTCTGAGCAAGCGCTACACGCACACCGGGAGCGAAGCAAGGCTGTCGCCTTCGTTTTTGGGAATTCGCTGCGAGCGGAGTGCGTTTGGCTTTGTGTCCGGTCTTTTCCTCCACCTCCCTCTGCCTTGTTCTCCTCCGCCATGTCGACTACTGTGCATCAGAGAAAACAAACAAATCGCTGCCACACCAAACTTTTTTTCCTTAGTGACGATGAGCTACCGACCTGCATGCAGCAGCAGCGGCAACCATGAAAGCGAGGGTGAGTATTATTGGGAGGTGAAGAAGCCACCGCCGCCTGTCACGACACTGCCGAATCAAAACCAACTCTACGCGTTTTACTTAACGCGCTGCGGCCACCACGGCGTCCGCAAACCGCACCGGGCGGTGCTAGCACTCCTCGCCGAGGACACGCCGTCCCACACGCTGCGACTGACAGCGGAGGCGGCGGAGCGCGGCGTGGCGGCAGCAGACCTGGCGCACACGGAGGACAGCAACGCTGACGCCGCGTGCGTGGCGGCGCGTGCGAGTGTTGCCGCGCTCGCCCAGCAGCGTACGTTTTGCCTGGCCCACGACAGCGGTGCTGGCGTGCCGATCTATGTAGGAGCGCGCGGCATGCTACCGCTCCTCGACCTGGTGGCCGAGCTGCCGCTGTTGGAGGAGCTGGACTTCTCGACTGTCTCGTCGTGGTACGACAACGACACCGTCGCCAGCTGCAGCGTGGCGGGGAATGACGTCGTGCTTCGCCTGTGTGAGATCCTTCCCCGTCTGTGTGCTTTGCGTGTGTTGAACCTCAGCGGCCACCCAATCGGCTGCGCAGCGGGGGAGCGTCTTCTCGCTGCGGTTCGAGCGGCGCCGACGGTGGTGGAGGTACATCTGGATGGAGGCGGGCTGAGTACGCATCTGATCAACGCGCTGCAGCAGACCCTGCGTGACCACCGCGAGGCGGAGGCACAGAATGGGCAGCGTCGGCTGATTGCGGCTGATTGCGCGGTGCCGCCGTACATCTCCGCCCTGCCTCTACTCGACCGCAAGACGCTGCGGGAGCAGCAGGTGTTACGTGCGATGCTGGAAGAAGACGTGAACTTCGCGAGCGTAGTGTCCAAAGACGATTTGGCGGCGATGGTGCTCACGGCGCGGGTGATGAGTACCACAGAGGCCATCTTTCGTTGCGGAAAGGCGGGCATCCTCGGCGACGGCGCGCACCTCTTCATTGTCAAGAGCGGCTCCCTCCGCGTGTACGTCGATCTCGTCGGCGTCACGCTGGGAAAAGGCGACTACTTTGGGGATAACTACGATGCCACGCTCATCCCCTGTTCCCACCTCGTGGAGGAGCAGCGAGGGCTCGTCTACGCCGTTCCGCTCACGTCCTGCGCACAGCTGGTGGATCGGTGGGCTCTGCGGGTTGGCGAGGCGTGGCCGTGGCTGCAGCGCACTCCGCTGCTGCAGGCCGTGGGGGCCTGGGCGCAGCTGCGAGTCGGCACGTGTTGCGTGTGGACCTGCCCAGAGCCGGCCGAGACGATCGTGGAGGTCGGCAGCGGCGAAGGGGATCTCTTCATTGTATGCGACGGCGCCTACGCCGCGTTGGACGTGCGGGACGGCGACACGGCGCAGTTCAGCGAGCGCAACGTGCGGTGCGTCTTCACCCGCTACGACGTCTTCGGGGTTGAGGCGTCCGTGGCGCGGCGGCACACGAGCTCCGTGCGCATCAAAGCGGGGAAAGAGAAGGACACCGCTTACCGTCTCCTGCAGATGCGCGGGTGCGGGGTGCGGCTTCTCCAGCAACAGCTGCGGCCGGTCTTCGCGTCGCTCGCCAGGAGCTACTCGCTGCACGCGGACTTGTGCGCAGGGGAAGCGCCGTCGCTGGATGCCTAGACGAAATGAAAGAGTGCCGGCTCTTTTCCCTGTGGTGATGCTCCCTGCCACACGCCTCCATCTGCGGATCTGTCTACCTGCTCATGTTTATAGTTACCCCAAAGAAGAGGACTGTGCGAGACGGCCGCACTCACGCATGACGTACGAAGCGAACTGCGCGTGTTGCACCTCTCATTCCTGTCTTCCTCTTGTGTTCTTGCGAAGATGGTGGAAGGTAAATGCGTTGCTTTTGTTTCTCGGAATCGCACCGACACACGCGAACGGTGTGGATGTACAGTAGCACGATCCAGCGAAAACAACAGCTGAAAGACAGTAGGGCGAACTTCAAGGTCCTCCATTCCTTCACGTAAGTTGGCTAGGAAGGTCACTACACGCATAAACAAAGCCAGGCTGCCTCTCGTCCCCAACGCATGTCCATCCCTTGTTTCTTGTTTTGGTTTCAAACGTTGGCGTGTTCAGGCGACGTGAGTCGCGCATTTATGTTCCGGCGGTGCGGGAAGGCGCAACGCCTCGTAAGCGCACTGGAGCCGCCCTCTCGCTACTTGTCATCTCTCCTGTATTCCGTATTGCCGCTGTCTCGCTCCCTCTCGACGGGCGTCGAGCCTCTTCCTCTACCGCCTTGTTCAGGCCCAACTTACATAGGAAAGAAGAAATACCTGCACGGACAAATCTTCGACGTCCGCCGCAGAGTACACGCATACACACACCGACACTTGCACTCACGCGCCTCACAGCATGGGTCTCGGTAGTTCAAAAACGGCCGTATCGCCGCCGCCAGCGCTCTCCCCTGAGACGGTCGAGCAACTATGCGAGGAGGCCTACACGGCCGGGGTCACTGACGCGGATGTGTACCACACGGCGCAACGGGAGGCCATACAGCGGCAAGACGCCGGAGTGGGGATGGCGGCGTGTCTGCTGAGTGCGTGGCTCGCCTACCTGTGCGGCCGTGCCAGCGGGACGCGTGTCGTCGAGGAGGCGGCTGACCTCCGCTTCGGTGCGCAACAGAGGACGCTGGACAAAGTGAACAGCGACCTGGCCGCCGTGAGGGAGGAAAACAAGGGTCTCATGTCCATACGGCAAGAGCAGCAGATGATCATCGCGCAGCAGCGCAGTGAGCTGCAAAGAGCGGCACAGCAGCGGAAGGCGATGCAGCTGTCGGTGCAGATGCTGAAACGGCGTAACGTGTCCGTGCGGAGGCAACTGCGTGGCTTAACAAACTCTATCAACGCAATTCAACGTCAAATGCTTGTTGGCATGGTCGGCGCCGGCGTGTTGCTGCTCGCAGTGGTGTGGAGAACACGCCCGTTGCGCCGGGGCCGCCACCAGCCGCCGGTGACGCAGCTGCCCGAGGTGGTGGAGAGCGTTACGTCCGCTCCAATTGCGGAGGAATAACCCCATGAGGAGTCCACATAAGAGTCGTCTCACATCGGCGCTGTTCTCTCCTCCAATCCACTCTCCTGATCTTCGTGTGCGGTGGTGCGTGCATCCGCAGGCAACGACGCCTGGGTGAGAAAGCGGCCGTTCGGTCTCTCGTTTTCCCACTTGCTGCTTCGTGTTCCGCTCCTCACCCCTCTTCCCATCACCTACGCCTCTACGTACACGCATCAGCGAACAGAGCCGGCGCCTTAGGGTCCGCTTCCCCCCCCCCCCCACACACACACACGTTCACACACGCGTGAAGGGAAACACAACGACAGCACTGAAACTTCATCTTTTTTTCTTCCAGCGATGCAGCGTCTTGTTAGACGCGCTCCCTATTTGGCCTCATGCTTCCTTTTTCTGCCAGAAAGGAAAGACCGTTGATGCGTTGCATCCTACACGCACCGTCTCCCGTTCGAAGAACACGTGCTGTGGTGTTGCTCACGTTGTGGGCGTCTTCATCTTTTTTTTCACCCTTCAACTCTTCTGCTTTCACCGACCATCCCATTTGTGCTTCCCCCAGTGAGGAGCACGACGGGGGCAACATCACCTCCACCGTGATCTTTTGTTTTGTAATACATATCCAACGCATGCGGTTCATGTCTGCGTGTTCACCTCGCAACAACGCGTCTGGCGTGCTACAGGTGTATCGCCTGCACGACGCGTGCGCCACACTGCAGCTCGCCCTCCTCGCCCGGCAGCAGCAACAGCATCGCGTGACGGACTACGTGGAGGAAAACGCCGCTGACCTCGTGGCAGCCTCCCGCACGGTGTTGTCTGTCCCTTCGACCTCTGCCCCTCCTTCGGTGCCGCCATCGTGGGTGTGCATTGGGGTGAGCTCACGTAGCCACCGCGACGTTTACCTCGCGCTGCCGACCTACGCCGCCTTCTTTTTCGATTACAGCATCGAGTGGGCGCTGTTTGCCTCCACGGAAATGTCACGGCAGTACGTTGGCCGTTGCATGATGGCGAAGCTGCAGACCGTCGGCGGCGGTTGGGCCTCGCTGCACCGCGCAGACAAGGCGTTGCTGTGCGCCCTGCAGCTTTACCGCGTCGCCGTGGCCGTTTTTGATGAGGAGGTGGTGCGCAAGTGCCGTCTCTTCATTGGATGGGCATTCCTGTGGAACAGCAATCGAACGAAGGCGCTGGAAGTCTTTCAGGGCGAGTTAGACGACGCACGCGCACGCGGCGACCTTGTCCACGAGCGCCGCTGTCTGCATGCCGTCTTCAACGCGGAGCTGAACCCCAACTTGGCGCCCGGTGGCGCCTACACCGATCACTTCGATCTTGTGGACCGCTGTTCGAATGCCTTCGCGTAGCGGGAGGGAGCGGCAGTGCACGTCGCGGCGCTCTTCCACGCACGGAGAGGGTAAAAGGCTGCGTGCTGTGTCGACTGGCGCGACGCCGCTTTTGTGTGACACGCTTCCCGTTGCGCTTTAACGCCCCGCTCCGCCGCAGCGGTGTCTCTTTCGCCGCGCTTTTCATTCTTCTCCTCAACCAAAGACAATTTCTCTGCCGTAGGAGTTTTGCATCCGTGTTTGGCGTGCCCATGCGATCCGTCACCTTCGAACGCTGCGCGTCTTTTGACTTCGTCGCAACGAAGCCTTGCATATTAAACCGAAAGCGAATGCTTATTATTTTTAAAAGAAAGGCGGTTGGTCATGGCGCCAATCCGTTTTTCGCGCTGCACAGATCTTCTTGTGCCTGTTCTCACGTACCACCGTGTTCCGCTGCGCCGCGCAAACACCAAGTCGTACGCCTTTCGCATCTGTGGAAAGACAAAAACCATCAACAACGCCCTTCTCTCTTCTTCTGCTTTCTGAGTACCGGAGGTGAACGAGCGTGACGCAACGCGAGCGAGGACGCACAAGTGCAGCGAACCATAGGAGACACATTTCTCTGTGCTCCGCTGGACTACAGCATTACCACACGCGGAAGGGCACTACGGGAAGAGTTACAAAGCCGTGTCCATTGAAAACACTCGATCGAATACGACCAGTTGGCAGATCTCAACACAGAAGGGAAAGAGGAGAAATAAAAGCATCGATCTTCGAGTTTTTGGATGCGGCTTCAGCAATCGTTTACATTGAAACGAACTACCCGCTGCTGTATGTGCTGCTCTGTGCCTTCGCGGCAAACGTTCATTACCACCTCTTTCAGCCTGCACCCATGATACATTATCATCCGCGTACGGGCAGGTTTCATTGCGTGAAGCGGACACGCGTGAGCCGCCGCAGAGGCTGGGAGGTGCTGTGTCCCACGCCGCAGTCGGTGCAACGCCTCACGACGCTGCAACTCGTCTTCGATGCCTTTCTCAGCGGCGTGGAGGACGAGACCGTGACAAAGATGGCCAAACGACCAGCACGGTGGGTAGGGCTGCCGTCCGCCCCGGCGCTGGGCAGGGCGGTGCGCGAGTTTATGCTCCGCCGCTCCTTCACCCTGCGGGAGTTCATTATGACACTGCTGCTGCCCAGCCTCCGCGTGGCTTTGGAGTTTCCTACGTTGTTTACGGCAGCCTCTCCCAGAGAAGACTCGGCGCCCACTACGGTGGAGGATATCGGTGCAATGCGCAACTGCTCCGTCGTGGTCAACCAACCCGTCGTCTCCTTCACACGCCGGCAGATGTGGTGTCTGCTTTCCAACATGTTCTTCCGCACTTTCGCCTCCCGCACAGAGGCGGTCACCCGCGACGACGCTGAGGTCGGCGGCGCAGATGATCTCGACTGGGTCGATGCGCGGATGCTGCCGACGACGGATTACACTGAAATTTTTGCCGCACCGGACGGCGCGAACAACGTGGAGGTGACGAAGCTGCTGCTGTTGTTTGACTTCTTGACGGACGCGCAGCGGTGGACACCGCTGCATGGCGCTGAGGTGGAGATGACGGCGTACCGGCTGCGTGTCGCGCCAGCCGTTGCACAAGGACTTCTGCCAAAACATTGGTGTGCGGTGGCGACGGCATCGGCGTTCTCCCCGGCTTCGTCGCTGTCTTCCACGTTGGGCCCGCTGCTGCCGGTGGTGCTGCACCCACTAGCGGAGAGCATCGATGATCAGCAAGGCATGATTCGGCTGGACTTCGCCAATCGCTGGATCGGCGGCGGCGCCCTCTCCGGCGGTGCGGTGCAGGAGGAGATCACCTTCGCCCAGTGCCCCGCCCTCAACGCCCTCCGCTGGTATCAGAGCCGCATGGGCCACGCTGAGTCGATCGTCGTGACGGACTACCGGCAGTACGGCCGCGTGCAGGCCGGCACGTACGGCAGCCTCCTGAGCTACGGCGAGGCTTTTTGCCCTCCGCGGACGTGCCGGGGGGCGCTGCTGGCAGTGGACGCGTTGGACTTTCGCTCCGACACCGTCGACGAGCACAGCCGGGCCGCTGTGTACCGCGAAGTGATGAAGCTGGTCAGCGGGCTCTCCGGTGCGGCGGTGCATGCGTTACCTGCCGTTGCAGGCGGCAACTGGGGCTGCGGCGTGTTTGGCGGCGACTACGAGCTAAAGTTTTTGATTCAGTGGGCCGCGTGCGGCATCGCTGGGAAGGAGCTGCACTACTGCCCTTTCGACAATAACGCCTTTGAGGGCTTTGTGCCGCGAGTCAAGGACCGACTGGAGCGTGGATGCGTCCCGGCCCTCACCACGTCCAATCTCATCACGTTTCTCTACCAACTGGAGGACGCGCCGGATCAAGGCGACGACGAGGCCGCACCGGAGGAGATGAGGACGGCAACAACAGGGGAGGCATTTGGCTTTGTGTGGTCGTCCTTCTTGCGGCACTTTCGCCTCCTGCGCGAGGAAGAGAGCAGCACTAAAGAGAGCAGCTGACGGGGGAGGAGCACGTTTGTTTTGCGTATTTGCGTTACGGCTCGCGTTAGTGCTGACGTTTTGCCGGTCGAGGCATGCCGCAACGAGCAGCTTATCCGAGTCACATACAAAAGTTCGAATCCATGCCTTTTCAATACCGCTGCATTCGTCGACGGCTGACGCCATTTTTTCTTTTGATCACACTCGCGGCCTTCAACGGTTCGCTTCATTTCTCTCTACCCCCTTCCCCATACACACCTTGTGGTTGTCCAATGTACGCTCTGAGCGAACAAGGAGAAACGCAAACTCCAACTGCTTCAACGCGGGCGCTTTTGGTCAGTGTCTTCTGCGAAACCAGGCTGCGTTGCCGAGTTGTTGCACTCCTTGGCCTTTTCCCTCTCCGTCTTATTTTTTTTATCGCATTCCTTTGTCACCCCGATCATACGAAGCAGCGGTTTTTCCTTTTTGCGCTGTGCACGCTTGTTGGTGCATTTACCCAGTAAAAGGGATACAAAAAAAAGAGAAGCGCTACCAACCGTCTTCAATACTTCATTGATTTTAAAAATCAACAATGAATAGCGCTAGTCAGCTAGAGCCGATACCGTGCAGCATCACACCAGACCAGGAACTCAGCATCATAAAGCTGATTCTCGATCTGCGCAGCCTCGGCGACGTCGAGGCCAGTGAGAAGGTGCGTCGGCGCGTACGTGAGGCTCTCCTGAAGAGCGCCGACGACACCGCAGCGATGGCGAAGGTGGAGGAGATCCTCCGCCGCGGCAAGCGCACACAGAGCAAATTAGACGGCAGCTACGAAGAGCGGCAGCGCCGAAAGCGGGAGCGGCGGGAGCAGGACAGAGCCGCCGCCTCGCGCCTCGTAGACATCGAGGCCGGCAGCGGCGAGGATTCCGAAGGCTCCGCTTCTGCCGAGGAGGACAATGAGCCGGAATAATTAAGAAAATTGTCAAAGATGGTGGCATTCGGCTTCCGTTTCGCGCAATCGATATTGAATAATTCTTTTATTTCTGCACGTCTCGTGTACTTAAGCGGCAGGTGCACGGTGGTGGTGTGAGGAGGAGGAGGACGTTGTGACGTGGTTTGATGCCTGTGCCCTGCGCTTTCCGTTGGCGGTTCTCGTTTAGTACGTGTCTCTGTGTGCGCGCTGGTTTATGGGTGATTTGGGCGACTCTGTGAAAGCGCCGTTGCGCTCCAGCTGCGGAGAGAGAGCTACGGCTCTGCTGTTCTGCCTTTCTGTTTGTTCTTTCCAAGGAACGGCGCTTGGTCTGACCACGTGCTCGAGCAGCGCGGAGCCGTCCAGGACGAAGGCCAACCGCAGCAAGCAAAGCGTACGATTCAACGTTTACCAAACAGTAGAACAGCTGAGAGCAGATATGCTTCGATTGGTTGTACATATTCGCCCTCTTTAGGAGTTCGTTGTCTTCGGATTTGGGGCTCTACCAGAGCGGAGGTGCAATTATACAAGTGCCGCCGTGAGGCCTGCACGGTCGAAGACTTCTCTTTCCGAAATGCCAGCCTTTTTTCCCCTCCTTTTCCTTCTCTTGTCTGTGCAGCTTCTCCCATACGCGTGACACGGGGAGTCGGCCAAACCTGGTGCATGCCGCTGGCGAGTGCGTTACTTCTTCCCCCAAGCATCTCCTTTCTCTCCTTCTGCGCTTCTTATTCTGAATCTACACAATCGTTTTGGGTTTTGTTATTTCAACGCTGGCGATGAAACTCACACACACCCCCATCAACGCCGTCCCGCTGCGCAGAGTTGTCTCTCTATCGACTTCATTCTTCTCTCACGTATTTATCTCCCCAAAACGTTTCTCTTCAGGCATCATGACCGGCACTGCTGAGGCGAACCTTAAGAAGCTGGGCATCACCCTGCCCGCTCCTGCTGCTCCTGCCGCCGCCTACGTCCCGTACAGCATCTCCGGCAATCAGGTCTACATCTCCGGCCAGCTGCCCAAGAATGCGGAGGGCAAGCTCGCCGTGGGTCAGCTCGGTGCCCCGCTGACGGTGGAGGAGGGCAAGGCGGCTGCGGCTACCTGCGCCGTGCACCTCCTCGCGCAGATGAAGGCCGCGGCGGGCGGTGATCTGGACAAGATCAAGAAGGTGTTGATGGTGCGCTGCTACGTGAACTCGGCGAGTAACTTCCACGAGCACCCCTTCGTCGCCAACGGCTGCTCGGAGCTGCTCGTCAACGTGCTCGGCGAGGAGGTCGGCCGCCACGCCCGCTGCGCCTTCGGTGTCGCACAGCTGCCCTTCAACGCAGCGGTGGAGATTGAGGCACACGTGGAGCTGGACCTGCAGGGCAGCGCGCACATGTAACGTGTGTGCGTGAGTGTGCGAAAACGCGGCTCCGTCCGCGGTGTGGTAGATGGTCCGGAGGCAAAAACAAAGTGGAAAGAAAGCAACAGGGATTCGCTCTTGAAAGCGTGATCGGGTTTTTTTATTTGTCTAATTCCAAAGAAGCTTCACGTTTGGTGGTCTGCTGTGCTCTCTCCTCTTTCCCTGCCATTACCACTTTTATTATTGTTTCAAAATCTTTCCTCTTTAGGTTTTTCTTTTTTTTATTTAGTAACTCTTGCTAACTCACGTTGCAACGTCTTGCGCCCCTCCTCCTCTCACGAAAGATGCTTTGCACGTGTGCACTTCCACACGTGGCTGTAGACGAGGCGATGACGGAGCACCTACTGTTTCTTTTTCTTTCTTTATCCATAACAGTCCCTTGCGCTTGTCTCTTCGCGTTGACACCCGTTCAATGAGCAGGTTGAAGTGCAGATGATTTTCGCCCCTTTTTTTTTGTTGACGCACGCGGTACTTTCTTCTCTGCGGTGGGCTCCTTGTTGCGTTAAGGCTATCGATTGGTGAGCTATGTAGCGAAGGAGACACGGAACAGCTGATTCCCAGGTGAAGGCAACAACAACCACCCAAATCAAGTGGCGCCTCGGTGCATCTGTGTTGTGGGGTTTTTAAAGAGGCGTTTGACGCACGTCCGTTCCCATTTCTTGGAGCGACGACTGCTGTGAGTACTAAGAAGCACACACACACACACGACTTGAAAGAATAGTCTGGTGACTTCGTGTGTGGTCGTGACGCCCCACGACAGCTAGAGATTTCGCATCGGCAGTAAACAGTCCTTTTATATATAGCTGGTGACGGACTGCCCCCATCTGAGCGGCTACCATTTTGAGTTGGTGCCGAATATGCGTTGCGTTGCCTGCAGGGTTTCTTGTTCCCCTTCGTGCGCCTCCACTTCCCTCCTCCTTTCTCCCACCGTTGCTTTGCAAATATAACGCATATCTCTTGAGAGGTCTCCAAAGCACACCAACACACAAACGGTAGAATTCTTCGTGTGAAGAAGTTCGTGAGAAAGATACAAAAAGAAAGCGGTGCACCAGTAACGGAGGCCACGCCCCTGTTGCTGCTACGCCTTTCTCTTTGATCTGCTTTCCCACTCGCAAACAGCTGTCTGACTTCCTGGCGTGTGCGGTTGGCGTGTGGTGGCAACCTGTTCTTACTTGAGGCGGTCAACGACTTTGCCTTCCCCCTTCCCGATTTGCTATCGTGTCTTTTTTTCTTCTTCTTAAGATTCTTTAAACGACTTTCTGGACTTTTCTTTTTCTTTAATTCAATTCCCTTTTCTGTTATACACTTGCGTAGGCGAAGACCAGCCATCACTTTAAGAATCTTAGGCGACTCTTACCCCTGGTTTTCTGCGTGTTTTTCTTTTCTGGTTTAAACGGATTGTTAGAAGAAAGTCTTTATCGCTTTCCCGTTGGCCTGCTTGATTCCATCAGGGTTGAAAAAAATACATATATTTGTCGGATGCTACGGAGGGAAAAAAAAATAAGCGTCATCTGTACCTGTTTCGACAGCCTGCCAACGCCAGATTTTCTTCTTCGATAAAAAAGATTATTTCTTCCTTTTTATGATAACGTACGTCGAGGCGGACACGGTTATTTATGGTATATTTGTTATTGACTGTTGTTGTTCTTCTCTGCGAGTACTCGAGCGGCCCAGGAACATTCCTCTTCCATTACTAAACAGACAAAAAAAAACCGTTAACTTCTGTGTTTTGTGTTTTTTCCCGTGTTTTCTTTGTTTTTTCTTTTCCTCTGGCACTTGTAATAACGAAGTCTCTGCTGCACACAACGTTGTACCTCCGCTGCTTTGTGGACTCTGTAAATAGAGTTATACTTTCTCATTGGCAGGCAACGCGCGTAGCCTTCCGTTCCGCATTTTTCTCCTCCTTTTGTGTTAAGCAAGCTTTTCTGTTGTGATTTTGGTATATTTATTTCCCTGCTCGTGACGGCTGTTAAATCGAAATTTCCACGCGAATCCGCCGCAGCGTTCAGATCCGGACTGATTTTCCCTTTTCTCCTCTAACAAGCAAGGGCTTTTAAACGAAAAGAGGTACGCGGAGGAAGACGCGGAACTCGCCGTCGCTGCGCCGTTGATCATCGGGAGCGCTTTCTTGTTTTCTTTCCGAGACGAACGTAGGAGAGTTGACTTATTCGCGGGGCAGTGGTTTGTGTCCTGTAACGTGAGCACGCCTTCTTCCTCATTTCTGTTCCTTTGCATTCTTCAGCGGCACCTTTCTGTTTCGCGCGATGCTGCATCAATCCGCGGATGAGGAGCTGCCGGCAGAGATGCAGGCGATGTCGACCAACCCCGCCAAGGTGCGGCACCACGCCGACCCTCTGCACGACTACCGCAGCGAGCACGTGGAGCTGCAGGAGAAGTTGGCGGAGATGTGGGGAGCGGAGGAGCCCTACACCCCCGTGGTGGAGGAGACCGGGTCGTTCTTTCAGCGCTACTATTATTCGTGGGTGTACAAGACTGTATCACTGGCTTCAGAGGAGAAGTTGACGAAGGAGATTTTGCCTCTGCCCACCAAAGATGTGCGAGCGCACGAGAGCGGCGGCCGTCTCTCGCGCAGCATTCAGAAGGCGATGTACGCGCGCAACGCGTGGAACTGCATGGTGGGGACGGCGGTGGTGAGCACCCTCGACCCCGCGAGCCGTGGCGTGCTGCGGTGGGTGGGTGTGCCGCAGCAGGGCGGGTACACGCGCATGATGGCGGGCGTGGAGTGGAGCGTGCCGCCTGCGGTGCGCACGGCTGCCCGCGGCGACGACAGCGCCGTGTCGCCCTTCTTCGACGGCGTGGTGCACGGCGAGCACCTCTTCACGCCGGAGCACAGCGACATGTCGACGCTGGAGGAGGTGACGCAGGTCAACCTGGACTTCTCCTGCCGCGGCGGGGTGGTGGCCATTCCAACGCCGCAGCGAGTGCCGCTGTTCACCCTGCTTGTGAAGGCGCTCCCCTACTACTTCTTTGTGCAGATCCCGTTCCTGCTCGTGAGCACCATCTGCACTGTCGTCTTACCCACACTGCTGGAGGCCTTTGTCGCCTTTATTAAATCCCCTGACCCGTCCTGGCCGTACGGACTGGCGCTGGTCGCGGGTATTTTTCTTGTGCAGGCGACGGGGAGCGTCTGTGTGCAGCGCTACAACTACCTTTCCTTCCGCTGCGGCCTGCACTATCGCTCTGCCCTGAATGCGGTGATATACGAGAAGTGCATGATTATCTCTTCCAAGTCCCTTGCAAAGCCGGAGATGAACGCCGGCCGCATCATCAACATGGTCGGCACCGACACGGAGCGGGTGTGCTTCTTTATGTTTTTCGCCATGATGGTGTGGGGCAGTCCATTGGTGCTGCTCTTGGCCGTCTTGCAGCTCGCACGCCTTGTGGGCTGGTGCTCGATTCTCGCCATCTTCTGCTTCGTGGTAACCATCCCCGTCAACGCCTACTTCATGAGCATTCAGATGGCTGCGCGGCAGAATATTATGAAGGCGACCGATGCCCGCGTAAAGGCCACCAACGAGTTCTTCTCCGGCATCCGTATCGCGAAGTTCATGACGTGGGAGCCGCGCTTTATCGCCCACATCGAGGCAAAGCGCTCCATCGAGTTATTTTTCCTCAAGCGAATTCAGACAAGCCGCATTATGATGTCTTTCGTAAACAACGCAACGCCGATCTTCATGATTGCGGCGGTGTTCACCGTGTACTACCTTACCGGCCACGACTTAAGCCCCACTATTGTCTTCCCCACCATTGCACTGTTGGGCGTCATGCGACAGCCCTTCCAGCAGATTCCGTGGGTGTTCACCATGCTGATTCAGTTTATGATTTCAATGGGACGCATTAACAGCTTCATCGAGTGCGACAACGCGGCGTGCTCCACCGTGCAGGACATCGAGGACTACTTCAAGGAGCAGCACGAGCACAGCACGGCGTGCCAGCTTGCCGCGGTGCTCGAGAACGTGGACGTGACGGCGTACGTGCCGGTGAAGCTGCCGTTCGCCCCGAAGATCAAGATGAGCTTGCTGTCACGGGTGCTGCGCATGATATGCTGCGAGCAGTGCAAACCGACGAAGCGCCGACCGCCACCGACGGCGGTGGCGGAGGAGCTCATCTACGCATCACCCACCAGTGCCGTGCGGCGCGTCGTGGATGGTGCGCCGAGCCCCGCTGGCAGGACGTCGCCGACCGCCGGCAAAGGAGCAAAGCGCCCGCAGATGAAAGATGAAGACTTCTTCGAGTTGGAGCCGAAGGTGCTGCTCCGCGACGTCTCGGTTGCGGTGCCGAAGGGGAAGCTGACGCTGGTGCTTGGCGCGACGGGCAGCGGCAAGTCGACGCTGCTGCAGTCGCTGCTGTCGCAGTTCGAGCTGACGCAGGGCCGGATCTGGACGGAGAAGAGCATCGCGTACGTGCCGCAGCAGCCGTGGATCATGAACGCGACGGTGCGCGGCAACATCCTGTTCTTCGACGAGGAGGAGGAGAGCCGGCTGGGCGAGGCGATCCGCGTGAGCCAGCTGCAGACGGACTTGCAGCTGCTGGGCTCGGGCCTCGAGACGGAGATCGGCGAGAAGGGTGTGAACCTGAGCGGTGGGCAGAAGGCGCGCGTGAGCCTTGCGCGTGCTGTGTACGCCAACCGCGAGGTGTACCTGCTGGACGACCCGCTGTCTGCGCTGGACGCGCACGTTGGGGAGCGCGTTGTGGACGACTGCTTCCTCGGCGCTTTGGCCGGGAAGACGCGTGTGCTGGCGTCGCACCAGATGCACGTTGTGCCCAAGGCGGACTACGTCATTGCGCTGGGGCACGGCAGCGTGGAGTTCAGCGGGAGCAGCGCGGACTTCATGCGCAGTCCAATTTTTGCCTCCATGGCCGTCGGCTCTGCCGTTCATGGCGAACACGAAAAGGAGCGGGAAGAGGAGGTAGTGGAGGTGCTGGAGGCCGAAGACGTCATCGACGAGGAGCCCGAATCCGCGGAGAAGCTCACGAAGTCGGCGGCGCAGAAGAAAGACGCAGAAGAGGACGACGACGCGGGCGGTCACCTTATCATCGACGAGGAGAAGGCGAGCGGTGGCGTGCCGTGGAGCGCGTACGTGGCGTACTTCCGCTTCTGCGGCGGTGTGTCGGTGGTGGCGTTTATTGTGCTAGTTTTTGTCTTTACCGAACTCCTTACCGTCTCCGGCAGCGTGTGGTTGTCCTCATGGACGACACACCAGTACAACATCTCTGATGCTCGCTACTTGCAGGTGTATCTTGTGCTGGTGCTCGCGACGGGTGCCGGCTATCCCCTGCGCTTCTTCTTCTCCTACCGTGCGATGCTGCGCGGGTGCGTGACGATGCATCGCGCGATCCTGCGCTCTGTCACCACCGGCACGATGGAGTTCTTCGACCGCACCCCGCTCGGCCGCCTGCTGAACCGCTTTTCGCGCGACATTGAGATGCTCGACAACGGCTTGCAGATGTCCACCATCGCCCTGCTTGAGTGTCTCATGGCGATCGCTGCGGCGATGCTCGTCGCGGCCTACTCGCAGCCGCTCGTGCTGCTGGCCCTCGTGCCGTGCGGGTACATTTACTACCGCCTCATGATCTTTTTCAACTCGGCCAACCGCGAGGTTCGCCGGCAGAGCAGCATCTTGAAGACGCCGGTGTTTACGCTGCTGACGGAGCTGACGAATGGACTGGCGACGATTGCGGCGTACGGAAAGTCCGGCGTGGTGATGCGCGAGGCGCTGAGCCGCTTGGATGTCGTACTCTGCTGCGGTAACCTCGAAAACAATATGAACCGCTGGCTTGCAGTCCGCATTGAAATGCTGTCGAACGTCGTCGTCACGTCCGTTGCTCTTGTCGCCGTCGCACGGACCTGCATGAGTTCCTCCTCAGTCAACGTCGCCCTCGTTTCTCTCTCGCTGACCATGGCGATGCAGACCACGGGTCAGCTCAACTGGCTGGTGCGCACCATCGCCAACGTAGAAGCGGACATGAACAGCGTCGAGCGCATTCTCTACTACACGGAAAAGATTCAGAAAGAGGAGATGCCGGAGCTCAGCGAGGAGGTGAACGCTCTGGAGAAGCGCATTGGGGTCGATGCAGATGCCACGGACACGGTGGTGATTGAGTCCGTCAGCCCCACCGCTGCCGCACCGCACGTCGTGAGGGCCGGCGCGCTCACCTTGGACCACGTGCAGATGCGGTACCGCGAGGGGCTGCCGCTTGTGCTGCGCGACGTGAGCTTCTCCATCGCGCCGCGCGAGAAGGTGGGCGTTGTGGGCCGCACGGGGAGCGGGAAGTCGACGCTGCTGCTGACGTTCATGCGGATGGTGGACATCTGCGGCGGCGAGATCCGCGTGGACGGGCGCGCGCTGGGGTCGTACGGGCTGCGCGAGCTGCGGCGGCACTTCTCGATGATCCCGCAGGACCCCGTGCTGTTCGACGGGACGGTGCGGCTGAACGTGGACCCGTTCCTGGAGGCGTCGTCCGCGGAGGTGTGGCACGCGCTGGAGCTGGTGGGGCTGCGCGAGCGCGTTGCGTCGGAGACGGAGGGGATCGACGGGCGCGTGCTGGAGGGCGGGTCGAACTTCAGCGTTGGGCAGCGGCAGTTGATGTGCATGGCGCGCGCGCTGCTGAAGAAGGGCAGCGGGTTCATCCTGATGGACGAGGCGACGGCGAACATCGACCCCGCGCTTGACCGGCAGATCCAGACGACGGTGATGAGCGCGTTCGCCGAGTACACGGTGATCACGATTGCGCACCGGCTGCACACGGTGGCGCAGTACGACAAGATCATCGTGATGGACCACGGCGTGGTGGCGGAGATGGGCAGCCCGCGCGAGCTGGTGATGGACCGGCAGTCGGTCTTCCGTGGGATGGTGGAGGCGATGGGCACGTCAGCGCGTGCGCACTTCCTGAGTCTTTTATAAAACCGTAGTGAACAGCGGACATTGTAGGCCGCACGGGAGTAATGCGCTGTTTTCTTTTTCTGCGGTGTAGCTGAAGGCGCACCGCTGCCCTTGTCAGTTGTCTCTTCTGCGTGTTATATTCAAATCGTCACAGACCGAAGTGAAGATTTGCGTGCTGGCGCGGTCTGGAAGTGGCGGACGAGGCGGTGCTTTCTTTGTTTCTTTCAATCTCTCCTGTGCAAACGTAGCTCCGAAAGGGCTTCATTTGATTCGCGCCGGTTAATCTGTGTCTTCGTCGTGGACGTGCGACGTCATCGGCACACAGAACGGAGCAATGCTCTAGCTAGCGGGGGAACAGTGTCACGTACAGTGGGGCGCAGTTGCACGGGACCTCATACACAAACAGAAATGCAAATGCAAGCGTAAGTACTTTTTTCCCCCTTTTCTCTAATAAGGATGTGCGTGTCGGAGTGGCGCATGTGAGGGGTGTGGAAGGGAGCTTTGTGTGTTTGGCCGCAAGGCCTGCACTTCCTTCACCCACAAGGTGGCAACTCTCGTCGAAATCGGATGTATGGGCTCTGTAGACCTTTTTTGTTTTCTATCTGCTTCTCTATATTTCGATGCGGGGTGTATCTGAACTCGCGTTCCCTAAAGCTTCAAGGGGACAGTGTTGTGTACCTCTAAGTAAGTGTTCCACTATTGTTTCATTAAGCGCTCCTTTCTTTTTTCTTTCCAATCGCAGTGTAATCGAAATGCTATGGAGGCTAAACAACGATGCTTTTGTTTGTTTGTTTGTTTGTTTTGCCGATCAAATTGTGCCGACTTGCACCGTCCTACTGTCACCAACTCAAGTGCGAAATGCATTGGCAGTGCTGCTCTGCGGTTCACTCCCGCGTTGTTTGAACCTTCACTGGCCTCCACGCTCCCATTGCCTGATGGAGGCTAGAAAACGGCAAAGCGCGTCTCGCCTCCTCTTTGAAGCTGAGAGGGGGTCATTTTTGGCAGGTTCTTTAATCGCTGCTTTCTTTTTTAAAGGCAACCTCTTCTACTCTTCTACCCATCTACTCATCTACTCCCCCCTCCCTCCTCCCATCGACGCGTTGCGCATTGTGGTCGTGCACACGCGTGCCATGAGAAGCATGCACGAACTCACGCGCTGAAGATCTGCCTCTCTCTTTCACAGACCCACACATCTATCTTCACAGCACTGACGTACAGCTGTTGGATGAGCCTGGGATCTTCAAAAGCCTTTCTTACCAAGCCTACTACTCCTCACTTTCTCGCACGATCTCTTTCTGAGTTACACCCTGCGGTAATCAAAAGCAGCGCTTTTTGTTGTTCTTATTTTTGTTTTTTTACAAGTAAAGGAAATCGAAAATACACATAAATAAATATATATATTAACTTTACACCGAACGGCACTCCACGCAACGAGGACACGCCGCAGATACAGGTGTTTTGGGCACAAAGAAACGGTTACCGTATCTCGCACCTTCTTTTTACTTTTTTTCCCGCTTCTTTCTTTGTACTGTTAATTCGTTATTGCGAACCACTCATCGTATTTCACGGCGTACGTGTTCCACGTGCTGAAGTTGTGGGTGTGTGCGCCTGTGTCCCCCTAAAAAAAGGAAACAATAACAAAGCGCAACGTCACCTGTTTTACAACACAACACAGTAGATTGTTTTCTTTGCTTTCAAGTAGCTGCTTTTCGTGCTCTTCACAAAACAGTCGGCAGAGATACTGCAATATCTTTTTCGCATTATTAAAAGAAAGAAAAACGTCTAAACCCCAACAAATACCCCCACAACCACATTTTCTTAGGCACAGTACGCACTCCGTCTATTTCACTGTTTGGAGGACTATTTCCACCCGCCGGTTTCGCTGTGTGTGCTGTGTAGATCGCTGCTTCCTTCCTCCACCTCAGCGCGACTGCTATACTCGAGTTCTGGCCTCTTTGTTTTTCCTTTGCTTGTCTTTCTCTGCTTTGCCTTCTACCGTTCTTTATTCTTCTTTTTTCTGCTTTCAGCTGTCGTAGTGCGTCTTCTCTCGTCCTCTCCTCTGTCGCTTGTGTGTCATCTTGGCTGCAGTCACGGCCAAGTCCGTCCTATTCTGGGTAGTGGAAGTAGAGGGAGTGAAAGAAGTCTTGTTCCTTCATCAGCGCCACCGCTGTAGTTTTGAGACTGCTATTATTATTTACAAGCGTACGACGGACTGAGCCTCCTCAGTTCTCTCTTTTTGTTTTGTCTGTGCCAGTCCACTTCTCCGTCTTGGGGGAGGCGTTGCTGCTCTTCGCCCTCATTTGCTGCCGCATTGGTGTGTCCCGTTGAATCGGCGTTGATGCCGCATTTCTGATTGGACGTTTCTGACACCTTTCTTTTTGTTCATCTTTGGTGCAGACCAGGTAGGACGCCTCGTCCCTCGATGAACGCGGAGCTGCCGGCAGAGATGCAGGCGATGTCGACCAACCCCGCCAAGGTGCGGCACCACGCCGACCCTCTGCACGACTACCGCAGCGAGCACGTGAAGCTGCAGGAGAAGTTGGCGGAGATGTGGGGAGCGGAGGAGCCCTACACCCCCGTGGTGGAGGAGACCGGGTCGTTCTTTCAGCGCTACTATTATTCGTGGGTGTACAAGACTGTGCTGCTGGCCTCGAAAGAAAAGTTGAAGAAACATGTACTGCCGCCGCCCACGAGGGACTGTCGCGCGCACGAGTGCGGAAAGCGGATTTCGCGCAGCATTCAGAAGGCGATGTACGCGCGCAACGCGTGGAACTGCATGGTGGGGACGGCGGTGGTGAGCACCCTCGACCCCGCGAGCCGTGGCGTGCTGCGGTGGGTGGGTGTGCCGCAGCAGGGCGGGTACACGCGCATGATGGCGGGCGTGGAGTGGAGCGTGCCGCCTGCGGTGCGCACGGCTGCCCGCGGCGACGACAGCGCCGTGTCGCCCTTCTTCGACGGCGTGGTGCACGGCGAGCACCTCTTCACGCCGGAGCACAGCGACATGTCGACGCTGGAGGAGGTGACGCAGGTCAACCTGGACTTCTACTGCCGCGGCGGGGTGGTGGCCATTCCAACCCCGCACAACGTGCCCCTCGTTCGCATTCTCGCCACCGATCTGTCGTACTACCTCCTCATGCAAAACCCGTTTCTTTTCATCAGCAACGTCTGCACTATCGCGATGCCGCTGATGTTGAAGAAGTTCGTGCTCTACCTGAGCGCTGAGGAGCACACGTGGCGTGCCGGCTTGGGCCTGGTGGTCGCCATTTTCGTGCTCCAGGCTGTCCAGAGCGTGTGCGTGCACCGCTACAACTTTCTATCCATCAAGGGTGGCGCCCAACTCCGTGCCGCGCTCAGCACGGTTGTGTTTGAAAAGTGTTTGATTATCTCTTCCAAGTCCCTCGCACAGCCGGAGATGAACGCCGGCCGCATCATCAACATGGTCAGCACCGATGTCGAGCGTTCCTACTTTTTCATGCAGTTTTGTATGGCCTTCTGGAGCAGTCCAATGATGCTGGTGCTCGCGTTGCTTCAGCTGTACGAGTTGGTAGGCTGGTGCACCATCGTTGCCGTCGTGGCCTTCCTAGCAGTGCTGCCCCTCAACGGGCGCCTTGTCATGCAGATGCGCAACGCACGGCGGAATCTGAGTAAGGCCACGGATATCCGCGTGAAGGGAGCGAACGAGTTCTTCTCCGGCATCCGTATCGCGAAGTTCATGACGTGGGAGCCGCGCTTTATCGCCAACATCGAGGCAAAGCGGGAGACGGAGATCTTTTTCCTTAAACGAATTCAATACACGCGGGTGGCAACGACCTTTCTCAACAGTGCCACGCCGATGGTGATGGTGGCGCTCGTCTTCACCTTGTACTACGCGACGGGGAATGAGCTCACCGCAACGGTGGTGTTCCCCACCATTGCGCTGCTAGGAATTCTCAAGCAACCCTTCCAGCAGATTCCCTTCGTCTTCACGATGATGGTGCAGTTCTTCATCGCCATGGGCCGTATCAGCAAGTTTCTCGAGTGCGACAACGCGGCGTGCTCCACCGTGCAGGACATCGAGGACTACTTCAAGGAACAGCACGAGCACACAACGGCGTGCCAGCTTGCCGCGGTGCTCGAGAACGTGGACGTGACGGCGTACGTGCCGGTGAAGCTGCCGTTCGCCCCGAAGATCAAGACACCGCTGATCCCTCGCATGCTGCGCATGATGTGCTGCGGGAAGTGCAAACCGACGAGGCGCCACCCCGCGCCAGCGGATGTGGTGGAGGGGGAGGCCCGAATAGGGTCTCCAGCAGGTTCACCGGGTGGAGGAGAGGAGGGGAGAGGCGCACCAAACATGAACGCGGAAGAGTATTTCGAACTCGAAAACAAGGTGCTGCTCCGCGACGTCTCGGTCGCGGTGCCGAAGGGGAAGCTGACGCTGGTGCTTGGCGCGACGGGCAGCGGCAAGTCGACGCTGCTGCAGTCGCTGCTGTCGCAGTTCGAGCTGACGCAGGGCCGGATCTGGACGGAGAAGAGCATCGCGTACGTGCCGCAGCAGCCGTGGATCATGAACGCGACGGTGCGCGGCAACATCCTGTTCTTCGACGAGGAGGAGGAGAGCCGGCTGGGCGAGGCGATCCGCGTGAGCCAGCTGCAGACGGACTTGCAGCTGCTGGGCTCGGGCCTCGAGACGGAGATCGGCGAGAAGGGTGTGAACCTGAGCGGTGGGCAGAAGGCGCGCGTGAGCCTTGCGCGTGCTGTGTACGCCAACCGCGAGGTGTACCTGCTGGACGACCCGCTGTCTGCGCTGGACGCGCACGTTGGGGAGCGCGTTGTGGACGACTGCTTCCTCGGCGCTTTGGCCGGGAAGACGCGTGTGCTGGCGTCGCACCAGATGCACGTTGTGCCCAAGGCGGACTACGTCATTGCGCTGGGGCACGGCAGCGTGGAGTTCAGCGGGAGCAGCGCGGACTTCATGCGCAGTCCAATTTTTGCCTCCATGGAGGCGGAGCCCAAGGCTGAAACAAAAGTCGCTCTTCGCGAGGCGCGTGAGTCAAAGGTGGCAACGACGATGCCGGGGGCGTCGGTGAGCGGGTGCACCCCAACGCTGGAGACGCCGACGGCGGAGAAGGAGTCGTGCTCACACGAGGCTGCCGTGGCGGATGACAATGGCGAGAACGGCGATGGCGCGGCGAAGGAGGCGACGGGCCGGCTGACGACGAGAGAAGAAAAGGCTCGTGGGTCTGTGCCGTGGTCCACCTACATGGCGTACTTCCGGTTCTGCGGCGGTGGTCACGTGGCCCTCGCGGTGGTGGGGATCTTCTTTGTGACGGAGCTCCTCTCTGTGTCGAGCAGCCTGTGGCTCTCGCTCTGGTCCACGGATCACTTCGGCTGGGCGACGCCGAACTATCTGATTGTCTATCTCGTGTTGGTGGTCGTGGGCTCTGCCAGCACCCCGTTGCGGCTGTCCTTTACCTTCACGGCTATGCGGCGCGGTTGCATTGGGATGCACCGTAAACTCCTCCGCACCGTCGCCACCGGCACGACGGAGTTCTTCGACAGGACGCCGATGGGCCGTTTAATGAGCCGCTTCTCGCGCGACATCGACATGATTGATAACGGGGTTCAGATGACACTGCAGAACACGTTGGAGTGCTTCTTCTCGATTGCCTCGTCCATGCTGATCACCGTGTTCTCTCAGCCACTGGTAATTCTCGTGCTGCTCCCCGCCGGCTTCTTCTACTACCGTCTGATGATCTTCTACAACGCAGCAAACCGCGAGACACGGCGGTACACAAGTGTGATGAAGACGCCGGTGTTTACGCTTCTGACGGAGCTAATCGCAGGTGTGGAGACGATCACCGCGTTTGACAAGTCTGCGGTGGTGATGCAGGAAGCCCTGAAGCGACTCGACGTGGTTTCCTCCTGCGCGGTGCTGGAGAACGCGCTGCGGCAGTGGGTGGCGGTGCGGATTGAGTTCCTCTCCAACGTCATCGTCACGTCGATCGCCTTCGCGGGCGTGCTTGCCTGCATGACGCGCTTTGGAAGCTCCAACGTGGGCCTCGTTTCTCTCTCGCTGACCATGGCGATGCAGACCACGGGTCAGCTCAACTGGCTGGTGCGCATGGCGGCAGCAGCGGAGGCGGACATGAACAGCGTCGAGCGCATTCAGTACTACATCCAACACACACCGACGGAGGCGATGCCCACCCTTGACAAGGAGACCGACGCCTTGGAGAAGCACAGTGGCGTCGAAGCGGGTGCGACGGACACGGTGGTGATTGAGTCCGTCAGCCCCACCGCTGCCGCACCGCACGTCGTGAGGGCCGGCGCGCTCACCTTGGACCACGTGCAGATGCGGTACCGCGAGGGGCTGCCGCTTGTGCTGCGCGACGTGAGCTTCTCCATCGCGCCGCGCGAGAAGGTGGGCGTTGTGGGCCGCACGGGGAGCGGGAAGTCGACGCTGCTGCTGACGTTCATGCGGATGGTGGACATCTGCGGCGGCGAGATCCGCGTGGACGGGCGCGCGCTGGGGTCGTACGGGCTGCGCGAGCTGCGGCGGCACTTCTCGATGATCCCGCAGGACCCCGTGCTGTTCGACGGGACGGTGCGGCTGAACGTGGACCCGTTCCTGGAGGCGTCGTCCGCGGAGGTGTGGCACGCGCTGGAGCTGGTGGGGCTGCGCGAGCGCGTTGCGTCGGAGACGGAGGGGATCGACGGGCGCGTGCTGGAGGGCGGGTCGAACTTCAGCGTTGGGCAGCGGCAGTTGATGTGCATGGCGCGCGCGCTGCTGAAGAAGGGCAGCGGGTTCATCCTGATGGACGAGGCGACGGCGAACATCGACCCCGCGCTTGACCGGCAGATCCAGACGACGGTGATGAGCGCGTTCGCCGAGTACACGGTGATCACGATTGCGCACCGGCTGCACACGGTGGCGCAGTACGACAAGATCATCGTGATGGACCACGGCGTGGTGGCGGAGATGGGCAGCCCGCGCGAGCTGGTGATGGACCGGCAGTCGGTCTTCCGTGGGATGGTGGAGGCGATGGGCACCGACGGTGTTTCTGGTTTTATTTCTCTCGTGGGCGGCGTCGTGGCTACCTAACTACTGCTGCCCTCTTTTTCATGTTTCTTCGGTCTGGTCTGCTTAGCGATAGTAGTAAATGGAGACGTGAACGCCTAGATCATCGACGAGGTGTGCGACCCGCTTTAATGGTTTTCTTTGTTGCCTTCACAGGGCCACCTCGCAGCGTTTTGTTTTCGTTGAAGATGTGAGCCGCGACGGTGACCACCCTCGTTGCTGGAGGGAGTCCTGTTGGGTGTGCAAGGGACGATAGTGCAGTTCGGCAGTTCTTATGAACGTTATGTGTACTCTAGTAGATGGGTCACGCGTACAACCCGTTCCCCCCCCCCTCCCCCCACCGTAGCGAGTAAGCGGCTCCTGTGCATGGTGTTACGCTTACAAGAAGAACAGAGATGCAATTTGTTTTCTTTGGGCGCGATGCTGTGTGTATGAAGGAGGCACTTTGGCCTGATCTCTCCGTCGCGTTGAATGCCCACTGTGAAGAGAGCCGATCTCAACTTCGATGGTCGTCGGTGAGGCCACTCGCGGAAAGTGCGGATACCCGTGTTTTCCAAGGAGGGAACAAACTTGACGACAAGGAGCTGTCCACTGTGCGCAACACTGTTTCCACAGGTTTTGTGTATATATATAAGAAATGAGGCTCTATTGACTGAGAGGAGACTTCCTTCTCCGGGCCTTTCAGTATGCCGAAAACGGCACAAGAGAGAGTGTCTCATGGGCTGCCTGTTGACCTTGTCTCAGCGCCTGCACCGTTGATGAAATACACTTCGCTCTACCCTTCCTCCTCGTTGCTCCTTGCTAACCCTCTTTTCCATCTTTCTTCTCTTCGTCTTCGCCGACTTTGCGTTGGTGATTTCCATAGCTGGAAGTCGGCACCAACGCGGCTTCTCTTGGTGCATCGAATCCTTCCAGTGAGTCTGTCTTGGCTCTGTTCTGCATCTTCTTTTGTAAGGCGGTAGACTGCAAAGGGGAAAGCAGCTGAAAAGAGAAAAGGAAAATCATTGCCGTTTCCTCGCAGGCGGAGAGGCGAATACACATAGGTTTGCCCTCGTGAGCGCAACGCGCTTGCCTGCTCGAGAATTGGTTGATTCCTGTTGTTTGCTCATGCGCTGCTTGTTCTTCCTAGCAGCTTCTCCACAAACACCAAAAACTGTATTTCCTCCGATATATATTTTGTGAGGGACAACGAGAATAATCTTTAATAATAAGACGCCCGGACACTTCAGAAGGGAGAACCGATCACACCCGCAGTACAGACGCACGCCCGCCTAACGGCAGCTTCCTCTTGATTGTGTGCTTTTCCTGCTCGTCATCCGCATGTAACGACACTAATCGTACTCTAGTGTTGCACTTATTGATTTATTCGGCTATAGTGTCGAGCTCGTGGGGCCGCCGCCTCGTATTAACTCGGTCTGATTGAGAGTAGCTGGTGGCTATTATCTTTTGTTGTGTGTGTGTGCTGCAGCGTCGATTCACTCCTTTGCCTTCCTGCTATCAGTGATATCCTCTGCTGTTTAGCGTAAACAGAGGCAAAGATGCAGTCGGAGGAGCCACGCAAGTACGACTCGCCGTTTGCGGAGCGCTTAGCAAAACCGAAGCAAACGCCCTCGCAGGCACGCTGCGCCGCAGGCGAAGGAGAGACGGATGTGGAGCGGCAGCGGAGTGCCGCGCTGGACGAGCAAGATGCCTTTTACCAGCGCCTCACTGAGCTGTGGGGGCCGCGGGAGCCCTACGTCGAGTGCGACGAGGACCGCGCGTCCTTCTTCGCACGGATGTGGTACACCTTCATCTACCCTAGCGTGCTGCTCGCGTCGAAGGAGAATTTGGCCAACGGCCAGCTGCCGCCACCCACAAAGGACGTGCGAACACACGAATGTGGTCACCTGCTTTCACGGGGTGTACAGCGTGCCCTGAATGACCGCAACGCGTGGAACTGCATGGTGGGGACGGCGGTGGTGAGCACACTCGACCCCGTGAGCCGTGGCGTGCTGCGGTGGGTGGGTGTGCCGCAGCAGGGCGGGTACACACGCATGATGGCGGGCGTGGAGTGGAGCGTGCCGCCTGCGGTGCGCACGGCTGCCCGCGGCGACGACAGCGCCGTGTCGCCCTTCTTCGACGGCGTGGTGCACGGCGAGCACCTCTTCACGCCGGAGCACAGCGACATGTCGACGCTGGAGGAGGTGTCGCAGGTGCGTTTGCTCTCGACCAACGGGACGCCGCTGTCGGAGGCGCAGCTGCCCACGCCACGCCGCCTCTCCCTCACTCGCTGCCTCATCGGTTCTCTGCCTGGCTACTTCTGGTGGCAGTTTATCTTTAAATTTGTCGGCGACATCTGCACCCTCGCGGTCCCGTTTCTGCTGAAGCTGTTTGTCGGCTTCATTGAAGAGCGCAACAAGAGTTGGCCCTACGGCATGTTTCTTGTCGTGGCGTTCTTCGTCACGCAGATGGTGCAGAGCACGAGCCTGCACCGTTTTTATTACGTCAGCATTAAAGGTGGGCTGCAGTACCGCTCCGCCCTGAACAGCCTAATCTTCGAGAAGTGCTTCACCATCTCCAGTAAGGCACAGGCGCAGCCGGAGATGAATACGGGCCGCATCATCAACATGGTCAGCACTGACACGGAGCAGGCAAACCAGTTTCTTCAATACTGCATGTACATCTGGAGTAGTCCGATGGTGTTTCTCGTCTCCATTGTCTTCCTCAGCCGCTTAGTCGGTTGGTGCTCTCTCATGGCGCTCGTGGCGCTGTTGATGACGCTGCCCGTCAACGCGTGGATCATGAAGTGGCAGATGACTGCGCGGCAGAAGCTGGTGAAGGCGACCGATGCTCGCGTAAAGGCCACCAACGAGTTCTTCTCCGGCATCCGTATCGCGAAGTTCATGACGTGGGAGCCGCGCTTTATCGCCAACATCGAGGCAAAGCGCGCAAACGAGGTGTCCTACTTGAAACAGGTGCAGTACAGTAGCGTCTGCGTCTCCTTCATCGCGATGGCCACTCCGCAGATTATGATTGCGGCCGTATTCATCGTGTATTACTTCCTTGGGCACGAGCTCACGGCCACTATTGTCTACCCCACGATTTCGCTGCTCGGCATTATTCGCATGCCCTTTAACATGCTGCCGTTCGTCTTCACGGTCACGGTGCAGTACGTTGTTGCCATTGCGCGTATCAGCAAGTTTCTCGAGTGCGACAACGCGGCGTGCTCCACCGTGCAGGACATCGAGGACTACTTCAAGGAACAGCACGAGCACACAACGGCGTGCCAGCTTGCCGCGGTGCTCGAGAACGTGGACGTGACGGCGTACGTGCCGGTGAAGCTGCCGTTCGCCCCGAAGATCAAGACACCGCTGATCCCTCGCATGCTGCGCATGATGTGCTGCGGGAAGTGCAAACCGACGAGGCGCCACCCCGCGCCAGCGGATGTGGTGGAGGGGGAGGCCCGAATAGGGTCTCCAGCAGGTTCACCGGGTGGAGGAGAGGAGGGGAGAGGCGCACCAAACATGAACGCGGAAGAGTATTTCGAACTCGAAAACAAGGTGCTGCTCCGCGACGTCTCGGTCGCGGTGCCGAAGGGGAAGCTGACGCTGGTGCTTGGCGCGACGGGCAGCGGCAAGTCGACGCTGCTGCAGTCGCTGCTGTCGCAGTTCGAGCTGACGCAGGGCCGGATCTGGACGGAGAAGAGCATCGCGTACGTGCCGCAGCAGCCGTGGATCATGAACGCGACGGTGCGCGGCAACATCCTGTTCTTCGACGAGGAGGAGGAGAGCCGGCTGGGCGAGGCGATCCGCGTGAGCCAGCTGCAGACGGACTTGCAGCTGCTGGGCTCGGGCCTCGAGACGGAGATCGGCGAGAAGGGTGTGAACCTGAGCGGTGGGCAGAAGGCGCGCGTGAGCCTTGCGCGTGCTGTGTACGCCAACCGCGAGGTGTACCTGCTGGACGACCCGCTGTCTGCGCTGGACGCGCACGTTGGGGAGCGCGTTGTGGACGACTGCTTCCTCGGCGCTTTGGCCGGGAAGACGCGTGTGCTGGCGACGCACCAGATGCACGTTGTGCCCAAGGCGGACTACGTCATTGCGCTGGGGCACGGCAGCGTGGAGTTCAGCGGGAGCAGCGCGGACTTCATGCGCAGTCCAGTGCACTCACAGATGGTTGCTGCGGAGGCGGAGGACGAAGCCGCGAACAAAGGTAAGACTGCACCGGCAGATGAGGTAGAGGTGGCGGAGGCGTCAACGGTGGCCGCTGTTGGAGCGGCGACAGCGAGCAGCATGGCGGAGGACACGGCCTCCGAACTGGGCAGCACGCACAGCACGCTGCATACGGCCAAGACAGGAGACAAGGAAGGAGAGACGGAGGAGGCGGAGGCGGTGGTGGTGACGAAAGCACCGGAAATGGCCGCCCACCTTATGACGAAAGAGGAGAAGGCGTCAGGCACCGTCCCGTGGTCCACCTACCTCGAGTACTTCCACTTCTGCGGCGGTCGGTTGTGGATGACAGTAATCCTGGCGATGTTCGTCGTGACGGAGTTCTGTACCGTCGCGGCCCCGCTGTGGCTCTCGCTCTGGACGGCGAAGCGCTTTCGCATTGCAGACTCCGCGTACATGTGGGTGTACCTCGGCTGCGTGTTGCTGGGGACGCTGACGGTGCCCACGCGCTTCACCTTTTCTTTCGAGGCCATGCGGCGCGGTACGGTGGCGATGCACCACATCATGCTGCACAGCGTGTCGCGGGGCACGATGGAGTTCTTCGACACCACCCCCCTCGGCCGCATTTTGAATCGCTTCTCCCGTGACGTGGACGTCGCGGACAACAACCTGCCCATTTCGATGCTGCAGGTCATGAACTGCCTCTTTGCGCTTCTCTCCTCCACGATCATCACCTTCAGCACCCAGCCGCTCGTGCTGCTGGCCCTCGTGCCATGTGCGTACATTTACTGTCGCATTATGGTGTTTTACAACGCCGCAAACCGAGAAATTCGCCGCACGAGCAGTGTGGTGAAGTCGCCGCTCTTTTCGCTGCTGGGGGAGGTTCTGACGGGCAGCGCGACCATCTCCGCCTACGGCCGGACGACGGTCGTGATGAAGGAGGCCCTTCAACGGCTCGACCTCGTGTTCTCCTGTTCCTTGCTCGAGAACGCTGCCAATCGCTGGTTGGGTGTACGGGTAGAGCTGCTGAGCAACTGCGTGGTGACCGTCATTGTGCTGTTTGGTGTCTTGCGCACCCTCATTGGAGGCACGGAGGACTACTGGGTAGCGCTCGTGTCCTTGTCGCTAACGATGTCGACGCAGAGCACGGCAATCATGAACTGGCTGGTGCGGCAGGTCGCCAGCGCAGAAGCGGACATGAACAGCGTCGAGCGCATTCTCTACTACACTCGCGAGACACCCCAGGAAAGCATGCCTGACCTTGAGGGTGAAGTGGCGGCCTTGGAGAAGAAGGTGCATGGGTCCGTAGATGCCACCGGCACGGTGGTGATTGAGTCCGTCAGCCCCACCGCTGCCGCACCGCACGTCGTGAGGGCCGGCGCGCTCACCTTGGACCACGTGCAGATGCGGTACCGCGAGGGGCTGCCGCTTGTGCTGCGCGACGTGAGCTTCTCCATCGCGCCGCGCGAGAAGGTGGGCGTTGTGGGCCGCACGGGGAGCGGGAAGTCGACGCTGCTGCTGACGTTCATGCGGATGGTGGACATCTGCGGCGGCGAGATCCGCGTGGACGGGCGCGCGCTGGGGTCGTACGGGCTGCGCGAGCTGCGGCGGCACTTCTCGATGATCCCGCAGGACCCCGTGCTGTTCGACGGGACGGTGCGGCTGAACGTGGACCCGTTCCTGGAGGCGTCGTCCGCGGAGGTGTGGCACGCGCTGGAGCTGGTGGGGCTGCGCGAGCGCGTTGCGTCGGAGACGGAGGGGATCGACGGGCGCGTGCTGGAGGGCGGGTCGAACTTCAGCGTTGGGCAGCGGCAGTTGATGTGCATGGCGCGCGCGCTGCTGAAGAAGGGCAGCGGGTTCATCCTGATGGACGAGGCGACGGCGAACATCGACCCCGCGCTTGACCGGCAGATCCAGACGACGGTGATGAGCGCGTTCGCCGAGTACACGGTGATCACGATTGCGCACCGGCTGCACACGGTGGCGCAGTACGACAAGATCATCGTGATGGACCACGGCGTGGTGGCGGAGATGGGCAGCCCGCGCGAGCTGGTGATGGACCGGCAGTCGGTCTTCCGTGGGATGGTGGAGGCGATGGGCCGCAGCGAAGCGGCGCGTGTGATGCACGTGATGCTTGGCAATGGATGCACGTAGGAGCTTCCGCTGGTTTGTGGGGCATGCTGTGGAGGGTAGTGAGCTTTGTCTTTATCAAGAGAGAAATGCTCTTCTTGCTTCAGAACTTCTTCGTGACGGCGACGTTTGGAGGGCAGAGGAGCGTTGAAAGGTGGGGCTTTGCGGGAGTTCGCGTGCTGCCAACGATTGTTGCGGCGAGACGAGCGGTTTCGGAGTCCCCAAACCGCTGGACGCAGACGAAGCTGTATTTGTTTTATTCTCTATAGTTCCGGCCTTCTACGGGTGTTTGTGGTAGATTTCGCGTTCATCGTGGCGCTCGTAGAAGCTGGTATTTCATCTGTGGTCTCGTCGAGAGGAGAGGGTGAAACCACTTTCATAGAAGCAAGGAGATAACACCAGGAGGTCTGCATTATTGGGGAGCTGTTTTGTACGCCTCGGAAGGCGTTTAAAAGAAAGAAAACCCTGGCAAGTGAGACCACTTCTGTAGGCCTTCCTCGTTCTTCAGCTGCGATTCGGAGAGTTGTTGGTCAGCCGGTTGCGTTGAAAGCACCTGCCGGTTTACAGCACGATGGTTGCTCGTCTCCTTTTCTCTGAGCCAGACCCCCTTTCTTTTTCAATTATCGCTCTTCTCACCGTTTATTTGTTTTCATTTGCTTGTGCATTCGCTGTTGAGTAATGCCGTTGAAATGCTGGTAGCGTATCTCGCCATGCAAGTCAGAAGGTGCAGCAGGTAGAACATCGCTCCCTTTTCTCCTCTTGAGAATCCTCCCCGCAGAGGGACAGACGCTTCAATAATTGAAGACGCAACAACATTTTCTGTCCACTCAGTGACAGTTACTAGTATTATTGCTTCTCACTTTTTAGGCTTATGCTGTTAGTTTCTAGCTCCTGTGCCAGTCGGCTCGTGCGCCATACGGGTCCGTCGCGCCCTTTTGTTTCTATTATTTTTCCTTCCGCTGCTGCTGCGTCTCTTCGTTGTTTTCCGCTTTGTCGGCCTCGCGGTGCTGCGGCGGTGCGCACGCCTGCACGTCACTTCGGCAATGCGCCGTCACGCGTTCGTCCGGTGGAGACGTCGCCGGAGCACATGTGGCGGCAGAGCGAGCGCGAGACGAGCGCATCCGTCATCGTTGTCATTATGATTATTGTCCCGCTTTGGCTGTTTGCGCTCTCGGCCGAGTCGCAGGAAAGGAAGCGGGATGCCTTGCGGGCGTGGGCCCTGGCGCAGCGGGCGTCACACCAACCGACGGGGGCCGCGGAAGAAAAAGTGTGAGTTCTGGCTCAAACTGCCAAGAACAGGTGGGAGAGGATCGCACGTCTTGTCGTGCTGATGGGCACGAGAAGGGCCTTTGTATTTTTGAAACGACAGAACGGTTTTTTTTGTGTGGAGGTACAGGTGCTCCCTGCTTTGCTTTTGCTAGGAAGGACACTTCTTTGAGGAGAAGCCTCATCGCTCTCAACCGACTACAAAAAGATGCAACATCCACCGTTGGCAGTGGCGTTCAGCACTACGCAGCGTGTTGTGTGCTTTGCGTTTCTTTCCTTTTTTTTTTCGAGCTCGTGAATGCGTCTCGCTCAACGGCTTGTTGACAGATGCTCGGCGAGGTCGTCCTCCCGTCTCCATAAACGTGAACTGCGCTCCCGAAAAGGCGCTTGGCAAAAAAAAAAAGCAGTCCTGAAATTGGTTCTTTTCTTTTTTCCCCTTCCACCGTCTTTCACCTCGTCTGCTGCCAGTTTTGCTTTTTTCTTTGGGGATTCCCAAACGCACGAAGGTTGCGAACACAGAAGCCCAGGCTCACAGGCATCTGTGTGCTCCTCACTTACCACGTTGCATTTCGGTATCCACACACATCGCCCTGGAGTCTTTAACGCCTCTTCATCGTGCGAAACGCCTCGTGACCTTTCTTTTTTTGCCGAGCAGCATGCATCGAGCACCGCCTTCGCTTCTCCGCGGCACCGGCGCGTGCGTCGCTGTGCCGCACCGCTCCCTTACCCGCGGCATTCCCTACGCGCCGCAGGGCACCATTCAGGACTTTACCTCGTCTCCCCGACACGTGCAGCTGGCGAAGCTGCAGCACGATTTGGACAAGGCGGCGGGCCGGCCCCCGACGGGCCTCTACGACGGCCCCACCTTGACCACCCGCGACGGTCCGCAGCCGCTCTTCGCCAAAGGCACCGCCCGCAACCCGCGCTACGGCCCCTCCGTCCGCGGTGGCCCCTCCCCCCCGTTGCCGCACCTGCCGCACTTCAGCGTGCAGTCGGCCGCGAGGGAGCAGATGCTGCCGCCTCGCTCTGACAACTACCAGCAAGACCTCCGGCGCGACCCCTCGCAGGCGGGGACGCCGGAGCACATTGTGGCGGCTCGGCAACGCATCATGACGATGCAGAGCGACTCTTTTGGCGAGTCCCCGCGTGGAATGGTGGCGCCGCCGCCGCCGCTGGACCCCGACGCACCGCGGGAGTATCGCGCCCCACGCGTTCACCTCGATGACTCGTGGTGGATGCTGATGTGGGCCTTTGTCATCTTGTTTGTTCTTATGGCCAAGTTTGGCAAGTAGACTGGCGCCGTTGCATCTGGCTCTCGCCACGCATTGCGACGCCCAAACGTGTCTGAGGTGTACCTCTTATACATATAGGCGCGCCTTCGCAGTACTGAGCGCAGGCAGCTGGGAGCAGTGCAATCAGAAGTAATTTCCTCTGCGCGTTGCAGTCGAACGCGTTTCTTTCATGATAAAGAAGAAGAAAGACACGACAACGACTTAGTCTGATTTCATTGCCCCCTCCAACACGGAGTGAATACAAATATATGTTTGTACTCCTCCGTTGTTCACCCCATCTACGCCTCTGCGCTTGATAGATTTGTTTGAAGGTGCTGATGGCGACGGCGTTTCGCATTTGCGGTTCTTCTCGCCGTGGACTTTTTCCGGATGCGTGTGGGTGAAGTTTCTTCAATGCGGCGTTCTGCACTCCTCGCTTCCTTAGCCCAACTCCGTCTCTTCAATCGCTCTCTCTCTCTCTTTCCCGTCTTCGGACGTGAATGTCGCAGGTGTCCTTCAGTACGGAGGAAATACAAAAGCCACGATTCTTCCTCGCAAAGTCTACTCTTCTGTTGGGCGAACTCGCTCAGCCTCTCTCATCCGTTTTTGCGTAGTCCTCACGTTCTACATCCAGTTTGGAAGCTGCCCAAGACAAACAGCAGAAGAAGAAAATATGTTCGGGCACGCACTCTCGCTGGCCAGTCGTAGCGTCCATAGCGGAGGCCCCACAACACCGCTGCTGCAGCGCAAGCTGACGATGAGCAAGCGGCGGCTCATGATGAAGCAGCCGCACTACTGCAAAACGACCACATCGGGGCCGCTGTGCGTGATGCTCATGACGTTTGTCTGCTTTATGATTTACCGAGCGCGTTACTCGGAGGATGATGATAGCATGTTCCGTTGATGATGAACAGGGTCAGGAAAGCTGTCTGCCGCTTCACCCATCTTTCTTTCTCAAAGCGACGCGTGAGTTTCTCACAGGGAGTGAGATGAAGGTGCGCGCGGCGGCACAACGTTGGCGGCCACGCTGTGCCGCTCCCCACGCGTTGCTATTGGGCCGCGGCGCCGACGACGATGGAGGGCATCGTTTCAAAAGACAAGAGACCTTACGAGTTTCGACGACGGTCGTTTCGGGTAACAAACGTGAACTGTTTTTTTTTCTCTTCTCCCGACCTGATTTCGATATCTTCACAAGAAGCTGCTCCGTAATACGAAAGCACCCACGTAGATAATACTGAACTTGCCCATTCGACAGTTGGTGATGTGGCTCCGTTTAAGCGCAGCCCCGGCGAGTGCCACCGCTTTTCTTTTGCTCCCTTTAGTACTGCCTGTATTCCTGCCTTCGGTAGTCGCGCTGGCTCGTTTGGCTCCTCCACGTGAGCACGGCGCACCGTTCATATCCAACGCACCAACTCCGTCTCTTTTGCTCTGATTTTTCTGCCCTTTCTTCTACGTGCATCTCTCGTGGAAATGTGAATGTCTACGCCTGCCGCCGGAAGGCCTGTGGTCACGTACAACGCACGGGCTTCTGCCACTTTGTGAGGCGCGCAACGTGCGTGTGTGGGGCGCCATCACAATTCGCCAGACCTGCACGGCAGACTTCACGCATATATATATATATATATATATATATATATATATAT